GTGTCCAAATAAAAAGTGGCTCTATTTCGTCGTCAGTCATTACACGTTTGTTGCTATTTCTCTCTCTGAAGCACTCGGAAACGTTATCCTTGCGTGCGTGAGGTTTCTCCGGGTACACGCCATGGCTTTCATGGGAAACACTGCAGATGGGATATCCCCAGTTACACATCCCAAGACATCACAGAAAGGAGAAACATGCATGTCGAAAGCGTTTGAAGATGTGTTAAGAGGGTGATGGTTCTTGTAAAAGTACGAATCACGATCATTAATCAATCATGTGCAAGTGATTGTATAGCACAGGGTGATCCAATTGTAATGACAGGGTGCCATCTGTTGACCAGGAGGGGTAATCACGAATACGAGTGCGTTATATAATAACCATCCATAAGGGGAGCGTAACTGGGCTAAAGCTTAAAAGCAGAGTCAGTCGCGAAGCTCTGGGAACCTGCTCGAAGGTTCTAGAAGGGGGCGTGACCGGAGGCAGGGCCTGGCCACGCCAAGGAGTATATAAGGGCGACGGGACCAGAGGTTCGGGGCAGTCGTGGGGTCCGGGTCCTGGCTGCCATCGCCGTCTTCGCCGTCATCTCTTCTTCATCGTCCGGCCGCATGGCCAATCCGCTGTACGGCTCCCATCATCGTCGTCGCTATATTAGTCAGCCAGCTATGTGGTTAGACGCCAACGATGGAGCTGTGTGGATGGGTCAGCTATGCGTATTGCTATGTGTATATATGTCGCTCAGTGATTGTCGTGCCTGCAAGTGTTAGAAATAATAAGCTCTCTACACGTCGTGTCTGGAAGTCGCTCATTACACATGTACAGATAACCTCCACTGATTGTGAAAGCGATTGCTCCATATCAAAGATCAATTATTGGTGATGCTGCGTTGGCGGTTATGCAAGAAACATTCATAATAAACACATTGCCTTAAAAGGAATTTTTTTTATAACCTTCCATGTCTTAAGAGTTTTACCAATTTTAACAACTGTATAGGAACTGGTGCGAGATTTCTTGAGGCTGTTAAGTGAAACCTTTCACTCTATTTTGGTGACGTATCTATCAACCGATCATCTTGTACTGTACTGGATATTGCTTAACACATTACAATATACGGGAAGCAGTTATTTCACCGAGCCTGATTTCCGTCCACGGCTAACATCGGTGACGAGTCATATCTGAAGCCGTCACGCTCGTTTGCCCACATTCACCAGCCGACACTGAACAAGCTTGAACCTTGCTCACACCCACGTGACTAAAACGTGGTGGGGAAGCCTTTACCCCTTGCCTTTAAATATCTACAGATAAAATATTTTACATATTGATCTATTAGCCAGGTAATACATTATTCAGGATTGAACACGTGGGCTTTCACAACCAATTCTAGATTTGAAGTTGTCGTGACTGCAATGATCCATAGTCTTTGGTTCTTTCGGTAAAGTCACGTAGGTGAAAATAATAAAATAAAATAATAAATGAAAACTAAAATAAATCACGACGTTTCGGGCGCAACACAAGCGTCCTTCATTAGGTGGGGACCACCACAGCGAAAACAATCGCCGAAGTATGCCAAAGAGATGGCTGTAACAAGGGATTATATAGCTGAGCGGGCGGGGGGGCCAGGGTGAGTGTGGGGGTGGGGAGAGCGACAAGGATGTTCCGAGAGTTCGAACTAAAGCTGTGCTAGTACGTTGAGGGTTGGGGTGGCAAATCTGCACGATCGAAACACTGCACGTCAAATTTCCTAATGATGGTAGTGTGTGCAAGGCTGGGAGTAAAAGACTGGAGATGTGGGTATGAATATAAACTATAAGGCAGCTAAGGTGTAACTTGGTTAATAACATCCTTCCAATGATTGCTCAATTCGAATCCATCTTCTCGGTTGAAGTTATGTCTATGTTTGTATATCTGGATGGCTTCATGGACAAATCTTTGGTGGTATCCAGACGGCTTGCAGAGCACTTTTGTATCAGATAAAAACAATATTATGAGCCCACCGCATTGTTGCAGTGGTCAGCTACGGCAGAAGAGTTCGTCCTACCGTGCTTCAAGTCTGTCGTTTCGTTTCCCCAATGTAACAATCACCACAAATGCAACTCAGTTTGTAGACTCCAGGGTACTGAAAGTCAGGAATGACATCCTTTACGGATGGGATCAGATCACGGATTTTGTGTACTGTACTGAATCGGACCTAGATATTGTGTTTGTTTAGGATTTTGGAAATATTTTTGGTAACGCCTGCTATGTATGGTAACATGATGGTTTTGATCGAAGTCTCAAGGGGTTGTTTCTCCATGGTTGGAAAAACAGCTTTGCGGATAGTTGGGTCCGAATATCCATTAAGGGTCCGATGTACGTGTTCTAATTCCCTGGCCAGGTGGTGTTGGTCAGAAATGCAGTGGGCCCTATGGTGTAATGTTTTGATGAGGGAATTCGTGTGCCGGATGGTGGTGGGAATCAGGTTTCAGATAGGAATCTGTGTGAGACTTCCTGTAGACAGAATCTCCCAAAGAGCCATTGGGCCTCCTCTCAAACAGAACATCCAAGAATGGTAGCTTGCCATCCTTCTCCACTTCCATGGTGAATTTTATGGATGGGTGTATGGAGTTAATGTGGTCGAGAAGTTGGTTCAATGCTGGTAGGCCATGTGGCCAAATGACGAAAGTATCATCCACATATCTATTCCACAGGGAAGGACGCAGGGTGGATGTCTGGATGGCGTCTGTTTAAAATTTCTCCATAAAAACATTGGCTATCACTGGTGACAAGAGGGAACCCATGGGGGTACCCTCATTTTGTTTGTAGAAAGTACCATTCCAGGTGAAGTACGTGTTGGTAAGGCAGTGCCTAACCAGCGCAGGGACATCAGGGTTCAGTCCATGTTGGACTAAGTCTTCAATTATTGTTATGGTGTAAGGCACAGGAACCTTGGTGAATAGAGAAACCACATCAAAGCTGACGAGGACATCATCAGGGGACAGTGAAATGTCCTTAATTAGAGATACCAAGTGAGTTGAATTAAGTACTGCTGAAGTGGTCTTGCCAGTAAAGGGAAGCAAAGTATCCGACAGAAAACAGGCTAGTTTGTAGGTAGGTGAGTTGATCGTGGACACGATGGGCCGCAGTGGGGTACCTTCTTTATGGATCTTGAAAAGACCCTAGAATCTGGGTGGTCGAGCAGCCGAAGGTTTTAGGGGGAACCGTTTGACTGGTTCGATTAGAGAAGTCGAACTGGTAATGATCTTGTTGGTTTTTGTAGTTAGGCTGTTAGTAGGATCTCTATTGATCTTAGAGTAACTGCCATCATTGAGTAGGTTCTGGATTTTGTTGTTGTATGTGGTTTTATCCATGACAGTGGCATTGCCCTTGTCGGCCGAGAGGATGACTATGTCATCCCTCTTTTTAAAATTTGCGAGTTCAGAGCGCTTGTTTTTGCTAATGTTGGTAATTGGTTTCTTAGCATGTTTGAGGATAGTGGCAATTTCAGCTCTAGAAACGTCTGTTTGTATGTGTCCTAAGCCTTTGAGGGCTACATCGACCTGGGAGATTATATCCTCCACTGGGATATGTTTAGGGGTAACTGCGAAATTCAGCCCTTTAGCTAGTACCGTTTTTAGATTGTCAGAAATTGGGATGTTACTCTAATTGATAACAATCTTGTTGACATATAACTTTTTAATGTGAGTCTGGCTTCTTCTTTGACAGGAGGTTGAATTTGGCGATCAAGTTAGCTTTACATTTGGTTGACAATGAATTAGCAGAGGAGACTGTCATGTTGTCAACACGGTCCCAATCGGAAAGCGATATCTTTTGTGTTAACATTAAATGTGATTGTAAGAGAATCTTGTCTAAATTATCGAGTTCAAATCGGAGTAATCTTATTCTCTCTGAGATTAGTGATAGGCTAGCTTTAAACAAAATCCATGTAGCGTTCGGTGAAGAAGACAGCAGCAGATGTGAGTGTGAAAGTGATTGTTACATTCGGGAAACGAAACGACATGTATCTGACCGCATTCGCGAGCACAAGTCAGATTTGAAACACGGTAGGATGAACTCTTCTGCCGTAGCTGACCACTGCAACAATGCGGTGGGCTCATAATATTGTTTTTATCTGATACCAAAGTGCTCTGCAAGCCGTCTGGATACCACCAAAGATTTGTCCATGAAGCCATCCAGATATACAAACATAGACATAACTTCAACCGAGAAGATGGATTCGAATTGAGCAATCATTGGAAGGATGTTATTAACCAAGTTACACCTTAGCGGTCTCATAGTTTATATTCATACCCACATCTCCAGTCTTTTACTCCCAGCCTTGCACACTACCATCAATAGGAAATTTGACGTGCAGTGTTTCGCCCCCCCCCCCAACCAACGTATTAGCACTGCTTTAGTTCGAACTCAAGGAACATCCTTGCCGCTCTCCCCGCCCCCACACTCACCCTGGCTCCCCCCCCCCCGCCCATTCAGCTATATAATCCCTTGTTACAGCCATATCTTTAGCATACTTCAGCGATTGTTTTCGCTGTGGTAGTCCCCACCTGATGAAGGACGCTTGTGTTGCGCCCGAAACGTCGTGATTTATTTTAGTTGTTTTCATTCTTTATTTTATTTTATTACTTTCACCTACGTGACTTTACCGAAAGAACTTTCACGACCAATATTATGATTCCAGCAGCACAACCCTGGCAACTTCGTGATGATGCTGGTTTGAACTATCAGCAAAAATGTCTTTAAATGTTCTTGAGATACGCTCAACACGTCAGTGTGCTGAAGCAGTCATAAATTGGCACGTTTGTTTACGTGACAACTTTATTAATTGGCTGTTGGATTGAGGAGGGTTTATGACATACATTTTGTTTATGCAGTTTGACGCAAACATTCAATTATGAATTATTCAGGATACTCCACAGCAGAGCTCTTTAAAGTTGTATACAATACTAGCTATAAGTATGTTCAATACTCCTGTATACACAATAAACCTGTGAATTTTACACAGAAATAAACTTTGAAAGCGCACCTTGCAGTTTATTAAAATAATACAGCATTTCCAGACATTCCAAATGATACGCACACATTCAGGTTTAGTCATGACGTCCTAAAGTCCAGTGAAAAACACGTTTCGTGACAAAGCGTATTTTCATAGCTTACATATACTGTACTACGTGTATAGAAAAATGACGCCACGCTTTCAGACGTAAAGAAACGCAATGTAAACACTTTATGTATCAAAACACACCTACGATACAACTGTGGCCTCAAGAATTGACCGGGTGACATGGTGGCGCAGTGATTAGCTCAGTGCGCTACAAATCAGCGACCCGATTTTGATTCCCGGCCACAGCTACCATCAGCGGCGAGTGATATGTGATCCAATCCTGCAATGCCCCCCCCCACCCCCAACCACTTCACCAATCCGCACTGACCAGCATAGTGAAGTATGGTCCAACAACTCAGAATACCAACATGGCATGGAGAGGCCTTCACCTTGCAGTGGACTGACGAAGGGACCTACATCTACAAGAGATGAGCACTTTATAAGATACCGACCCCAACACTTAGATACTTGGGCCACAACTTATATAACACCACCTCTTGGGCATGCCAAAGCTAAAGACAGCCTTGCCACGTGGAGTTCACCTGCACAAGTGTTTCTACAGCTTTAATTGAAATTCAGAAAATCAAACAAGAAATACGAGTGGATAAACTGCCACTTGATGTGTCCGGGGAAATGTGATGCACTCCTTCAACAGTGTGGTATGTTTACAAATAATATTTGCAGGTAATTAAGTTAATTGAATACATTGGGTTTTTTTTTCTTTTAAAGCCTACTTATTATGCTCAGCAATTGTATTTCTTTAAATACTAGATGAGGTGGAGTTTTACATCACAGGATCTCACGAGGGATGATGGTAGCTTGGGGGGAGGGGTCCTCATTCAGCAGACAGCTGATGATTACATTTTTTTTAAGAGATAACTTTTTTTAAATGGTAAAAAAAAACGACCAATACAGAAAATGATCTATCCCAGCTTTTAACTCATTGATATTGGTTCCATGTACCTAAACGCTAATGGAGTACCGTGCAACTTGTTGGTAACAACTTTTAATGGAAATAATCCATTATGCAACCACAACACAAAGTGTCTTTCTCAATAGCGGTGAATGTTATTCTGTGTTGGCTTTCTATGCTAATCCACTCAGAACTCATTATCACAGAAAAGCCTTTCTCGACCACGACCAGGTGTTGACAGAACTGTGACGATGAGGTATATGCCATAAACATCCACAAAAGGGACGCGATGCAATGTGTGAACGCTATTCACGAGTGATTAACTTCTGCATATTGAATTACACAAAAAACGAGGGCGTATTAATTTTTCATGCATACAGAACAATACAATTGGTTGACAGAATCTGCTGAATACATTTTTTTTTCGTTTTTGCAATTCATTACTTAGTAGAAATACTTTAGCGCTTTGTCATTTTGTACAAAAAATAACCCGCCCCCCCCCCCCCCCAAAAAAAAAAGATTGCTTTCCCCTATTGTATTTTCTTTTTTACTTCTTTTAAATCAAATGTTGGGAGTAACAGCATTTTGCTTCGACAACACAGACGTTTCTGGACACACGTGTTTGTTAATCCCATGTCCTCTGCCACTTTGCGTCAAGGTCGTTATGCTGCGTCACCGTGACGTTCTCTCAGAAAAGAGGAACGTGTTCTTGCCCGTCGGCAGCATCACTCTTGGGGGATGACTACAAATGGCTGGTGTGGCAGACGCTTCCCCTTGCTGTTGCAAGAGTAAATCCACTGGGGCTTCACAAACGCCAAGTTAGGGTTTTCCGTCAGGGCCTGCACCATCAGTCACAGCACAACAAAATCAGCTTGTACCACTTTAAATCCACGAGACCCCTGACTTGGAAGGGTAGGGAGAAACACGTTTGCCCTCTGCGGTAAATACTCCAACGCATCACGTGTCTTAAGACCTTCAATGAGAATAAAGGAAAACCAGTGACCGCTCGTCTTTGAAAGGTCAAATAAGCATGGCAGCTCAATGGGAAGTTCACCCATGGTTAACTTAAGATTAAGACACTCAACATTTAAAAGGTACTCTCTGGTTCTTTCAGTAAAGTAACATAGATAGAAAAAATTATAAAAGAACACGACATTGTTGTCGCAACACAAGCGTCCGTCATCAGGTGATGACGGACACTTGTGTGTAAAAACATTCGAGAGTTTTGGTGAAATACATTTAAAAAATACACATACATCATTGAAAACTATTCAATCATACACTTTATTCTCTTTTAAGAGTAAAGAAATTACATAATCATTAGTTCATGCAGCAGCACTAATAATAATAATGCACTTGTTATACTGGTAGGAACCTCCTGGTTACACCAGCCCACAGAGGATTATTGTGTCCGTCGTGCAGGGAGGGGCTGGGTGGGGAGGGACTGGGTGCGGAAGAGAGGGTGGGGGAGGGGCTGGGTGGAGAGGGGAGGGTGGGGCTGGGTGGGAGGGTGGGGCTGGGTGGGGAGGGTGGGGCTGGGTGGGGTGTGGGAGGGGTGGGGCTGGGTGGGGAGGGGCTGGTAACCCCGTGGTGTCCTTATAAAACTACTCACGCCGGCTTGTGCCCGCTCTCACAGTCGGGCATATTTGCGGAATACACCACGCCACTGTTGACCCAACGTTCCTACCAGCTCCCTCCGCAGGAATGTGTTTTATACTCTTTGGTTCTTTCGGTAAAGTCACGTAGGTATAAAATAAAATAAATCACGACGTTTCGATTGCAACACAAGCAATCATCAGGTGGGAAAATCACAGCAAGAAAATTTTTGCTGAAGTGGGAGAGAGAGTTGCCGTGGTAAGAGGTTATATAGGTAAGAAAGGGGGAGGAGCAAGGGGGGGGGAGGGAAAGGTGGGGGTGTGGGGTAGGGGGAGGGCTGCGTGGACGCCAGGAGAGGGACGTGAGGCTGAGGGGGGGGGGGGAAGTGGGCGGGGCTGGGAGTAGGAGGCCGAGAGAGCTGGGAACGCGGGGAGGGAGATAAGTTAACTCGGAGAAATATAGTGGTACCCGGCAGATATGATGGACGACAACCACTACAAAGCAGTTAGGGTTTTACCTGGTTAATAACATCCTGTTAATGTGAGGGATTAGCATGATATTAATGTGAGAAATTAGCATGTAAAAGTAAGCTAGGGGAGCGGCCTCCTAGACGAGGGCACGGAAGTGGCTATGTTAATGTGAGAAATTAGCATGTAACTGTAGAAAAAAAGAAGAGCAGCCTCCTCGACGAGGGAGTGCAACCTAACGGGTGTTATCCAAAGGGCCTGTGAGTATGAGAGTGCAATGCAACGGACATGTGAGCATGAGAGATCTAAGAGAGAGGCATTTGTATTGCTATATTTATTGGATCAGCAGTCAAGCTGAATTACACTTGCAAAGGGCCATTACACTGCCTGATACCACACATGGCAGTGTGTAACTTTGACCAGTCGTCGCTGGATGTTTGTAGTGCCTATCTGTCGTTACATTTAATTTCTTTGTGGGAACATTTTATGTGTCTAAATATGCTGCACTTTCCACTACCAGGGTAATAACCGAAGCCGATTAGTTGTCTGTTTATTGGCAACCTTTTAAATATTGACTTGAAGCTTTCGTGACTGCAGGAATCCACTCTCATACTGGTTCTCTCAGTCAAGTGACGTAGATAGAAAAAAAAACACGACGTTTCGGTCGCAACACAGCATCCGTCATCACCTGATCATCATCTGATGACGGACGCTTGTGTAACATTACCTGAATGTATTATAATATACTTTGGAATGCATGTTCTATTAACCGTGAGTACAAAATCATGTATATGTTATTATGCATTGCCACACAGTTTGTGTTTCTGTCCTGAGCACTCACATTCTCATGCATATGACAGATACGCAGGAGCATGATTCAGTCAATTTTTTCGATTTAAAGCTTTCGTGACTGCAGGGATTCATATTCTTGGATCTTTCGGTAAAGTTACGTAGAAGGGAAATCATAAAATAATACCGGCCCTAGAGGGGCTCGGTCAGCGCTGATTGATAGCGCTGGAGGGCATCACGCTCGGCGTGCAGTGCCAGCCCTAGATGATCGGGTGTGAGAGTGCCGGCCGTGGGGAAGGGGTTACTAAAGCCATGGACTCTGGTTGACCCGAGAGGGGCCCCAAGTGGGGGCTAGGGTGGTCAAGTGGTCCGAGTCGAGATCCTGCTAGAGGATTCTGGAAGGTGGTCGTGGCCAAGGGTGGAGCCAGCCACGCCGCAGAGAATATAAGCCGGGTCCCCCAGAGGTGCCGGCGTTGTTGTTCATCCTGAAGAAACCTTCGTCTACGCTCTACGTTCTCCGAGTCTAAAACACGTGGACCTGGACCCAAGCTGAGGTCCCGGTCCGTAGTAGTTATGTTCTAATTAGTGTAGTTAGCCTGGTGGTCACCACCATAGGTTGTTATTCTGTTAAAGGGCAGTTACCCTGTATGTTGGTGTTAAATTAATGTGTTGCCTCCAAGAGCACGTCTGCGACTCGGTTGAACCTACTACACATGTACTGTATCTAAATGTAAAATGCATTGCATATTCTGCTAATATAAGTTTAGCATCCACACAGCGAAATATAAAACATACATTTGAAAGTTTTTTTTTTCCTTTCTACAAGGTGCATTAAATAATTTAAAGTGTAGTAAAAATACCACTCACCTCACCACAAACATTATTAAACCTAATAAGAGTAAAGTATAAAGCACGCCAGTGTTTTGTGTAATATCCATTATCAATGTGCAATGCTGCCTACACGGGCCATCTAAACGTTTTATTTGAGTTTTTATAAGATTCATAAATAGTTCAAAGTCGATGTAATTTATGTTGCTTCTTTAGATTTTTATGGCCAAATGCCTTAAAATCCATTGTAAAAAAAATATATAGACTTGATTTAAGAGCTCTAAAGTTTAAATCGTGCTTTCAATATCAACAAATGCTGCACTTTTGTCATCCCACAAATTATATTTGCTACACCACCAGTGCTCTAAATTTGGAGCCCAAAAGCAAACGGCAATGTTTAGGAATGGGTCAATTATTGTAAAAAAAAAAATAGATTAAAAATGTTACCTTCTTTATTGAAAGCAACTCAGCGAACTAGCATGCGTACACATTTAAACCTGACGTTTGGGAGGATATCTCTTAAGGTTAATAAAATATGCTGTCAGAAGAATTGCATTCTTTCATGGATGGGCTGGGATGTCTTCTGTCCTCTGTTGTCTTGTTGTGTGCCATTTAATAATGAATATTTCATGTTGTTCTGTCTCCCCTCTAGAGTGTTGCTTGTTACAATAGAATATGTAACATTGGCATATAATTTGAATATTATTAAATCAACCATCAATAATCAATTGTCACACGCGCGATTTGATGCACGTATCGTGAGCGGAATAGATTTCGTTAGATGCTTCAGTGCCCACACGACATTTGGCTAAGAATGTGGTTAACATGAACACAAATCACGGACTCTAAATGTGCCGTGCCTACTTCGACACCGCAACAGACCCCTATTGCACTTCAGCACGAGCAACCAACCCGCGGGACACTCCACAACCGTGCTTTACTCACATCGTAAAAATTATCGTCCCACTCCTGAGCACTGACGACGAAGTTCACGCGCTCGTTCATGTAGTCCTCCAGTAGCCTGAGAAGGCGGCGTGCGCATGCAAGTATCGGCAACAATTAGTGCAAAAACACAAACCGTGAAAAAACATTCAAACCTTTACTACGTTGATACGTTCAATGTATACTCGCGTGAGATATATTGTAAAATGTGTGTGTAAGTACAAAAAAGTAATTGCCTTATAAACCATAAATACTAACTTAAGAATGTAATTAAAACCTCCATCTATACTTTTCCAACCATCCCCAATCTTGTCAAACATCATACATAACAGTGCTCAAATACACATTCCATTGGTTGTAAGCCAACAATTAATCTTCAGCATTGCAGACATACTTGAATTGAAAATCTTGCTTCAATCCTTCATCCATGTTCCACTTAAACCCCAATGACCGTTATTTTCCACAACAGATATTGGTTTAAGTGTATAAAACATAATCTTCTGCTTTTAACAGTGCCATCAATTAAATAAAAGGATAAAGTGGCAAACAGCACACATTTTGAAAATCATCACTTTAAAACGAGGGATGTTACGGCAAAGGTGTGCTAGATATAACGGGCGGTTGCCAGGAGCAGCCACGTGATTTATATTTAACGATGAGGCAAGGAAAACCTTGGGCTAGACAGCAACGACTTCGAACTTGTTAATTACGGCTGCTGAATACGCTGCTATAAACTCAAGGGTAAAACGACATACTGCAATAAACCGGTGATATTTTTAGTCATATTTACCCATTACAAATGGACAGTGAAAACGAAATAAAAAACAAATATTTCTTATATTTTCAGGAGACGTAAAAAAAAAATCTGTCTTATTGTATTACATTATAACAAGGGAACATTTAGGTATCATTTTTTGTATAGAATTATTTAGTAATTTTTGTACAGCCACACTCGTTGGAATGCGAAGAATGCTGCAACCATAATTAGTGCTGTAATTTAATATATTTTTTTATTTCCATCTGTCTTCCCTTAACGATCAGTGTACTTCACACCTTAACAAGTGCCCCCCTGGAATTAGGCTCTCAAGCATGTTTTCGACGGTACTTACCCATTAAACGCAACCACATATCGGCACAGTGTGCGTCTCTCGTTGCCTGGGAAATTTCCGTAGAAGTAAAAATGTTTCCCTGTAAAAAAGTCTGCATTTTGCCGGAACACACAAGGGGCAAAAGAAGGGAAGATTTAAAAAAAAAACATTACAACGCAGAATTTGTATCACATATCGTTTCATGCAGACACACTTAGAACCTTTAAATTTCTATCTGTAGCATTAAGAAAAAGGGAGACATTGAACAAAACATTATCTCCAGAGAATGGGCCTCCACCAAACACAGACGATACAAAACCACAATTTCAAAGCCAACCACATTCAAGTGAGAGTGGAGAAGTACATTCATCATAGACTGAGATGACCAGAGCTGTATATTTAACGATGCTCATGTTTAATTAACCAGTCATTCAAGGAGACATCACTAACCCGGGAGTTCTGGTATTGGAAACTCTTTCTCATCACTCTCATCTCCGTTGGATTTTGATGACTTTGCGCCGTTCTCTTCGGTATCCGTATTTTCATCGGTCGGATGCATCATAGATGTCCTCCTCTGTCTCCTGATGCCCCCTGCAGCAAGCAAACGTCACAACGCATCGTTGCACCTCAACTCCAAACTCTCACCAACGTTTTTGATGTGCGCCGTACATACAATGTGTGTTCGTAACATTACCTGCCAGGTCATTTTCCACAAAACAACTTCATAGCCAATTTTGCTTTAAACTTTTATTAAAATATATCGAGGCTGTCACATTCACATTCTCTCCAACCTAGGTCTTTTTATGACATCGGTTTATATTTTATTACTCGAAATAAGCATCGCCACAGCTCAAGAGATTTTCTCCCGCGAGCTGTGAAATTGCAAGGCTGCCCCTTACAATCATCTTTCTTCCATCGTCTTAGCAGTGCGTTTTCAATTTATTTATTTTACTCCCATATGGAGTCATTAAAACAGATTGCCCTCAAAACTACCTAAGTCATCAAGGATTTGCCAAAAAACAGCAGGAAACAACATAAACCCTGCAACGTCTCATCCGTACCAATCTGTTGCAGAACAACCCCCACTGATAAAAATATGGCTTTGAATTCCCACCAACATCTGCGCACAACTCACCGCAGCGCAGCTTTCTGTAAGGTTTGGCGTGAAATTGTTTACAGTGAGTTAAGTGACAAAATTAAATAGAGAATTTTTACAAGAACGCTCACTGATGTTTAAATGTTCCATCATTGCACTGAATTATGGCATGCTTCTTTCATCAGCTACAATTGTTTCATCAACCATATCAATCATCGGCCACCGATGCTAGCGAATGAAGGCCTCCCCACCCCCTTCCAAGTCATCGCGATCCCTCACGGTCTCGCGATGCAACAATCCACATCGCCCCTGCACACCAGCGGATCTCAACACTCCCAATCTCTCCGCAGCATTCATCCCCCTTCGGGTGCAATCTCTCCTTTGGCTACCACTTCCTCAGTCAATCGCGAACAGTGGTCATCGATTCGGTCGTACTTCCACACACAACTGAAAATCCTTGAAGAATGTTTACTATGTTGCTAGAAATGTTAATTATTCTTTGCAATCTTGCATGGGCTTTACTACAAAGCATGAGTTTCAACATACCTCTTTTCATCCTCATCACTCTCCGCTTCTTTGTGGATTCCTGCGGTCTTCTGGGATGTCCCTTGGCCATTTGCATGCTTCTTTACAGGCGTTGAGCTGCTGCTTTCCTGCATCGATGAATGCATTGACAATTTTCCGGAAAGCAATTAACATTTCACAAGGCTCGCAAATGTACAAACAATAATTAATTCACGTTAAAGCGGCGCAATGAGCATTAAAATAAATGGGATAGAAAACATTGTTTCAACTGTGGTTAAAAAATAATTGGATAGAGTGAAATTGTTTGTACTTTTCCTGCAGTTGTTTCCACTTCATCGTCATCTTCTTCTTCACTGGAAGCGCCATCAAACAGGTACCTAAAAAAAACAGCTTTTAAGCACACTGAACAGAGGAATACATCAAAAATAAAGGACATGCCATACCTTGAAACCTGCAGCAGAAAATATCTCTTTACATTACACGTATGATGGGCTTAGATTTATGTATGGGTGCAGGCAACCGTCTCATTTATTTCACGTGTCATTTCAGTCAAAAGAGGAAACACTTTCAACATTTTTGTTTTGCGGTTATTATTGAAGGATTTATTTACCTCTTGTGGGAGAGTTTTTGCCGCCGTTTGTAGCAGTCCAAAATCCACTCTTTGCTTACTATGATTCCACCCTGTGACTTGACTTGGTTGTATTTCGGTGTATTGGCAAACGCACAGCTAAAAAAAACAGTCACAAATATTTAGGGTTAAACACAATCTGGAATGTTTCAGCTTTAACAACAGCTCGCATGTCCTTTGGACATGACCATCTGTCCGTACTTCTCAGCCAGCCAGCGAGCAAAACTTGTAATCTTACTTAGAACCCAGTCTCTCTCCACCTTTCTCTTGCATATTTTTGCAGTATATCCAAATTTATCTCTATTTCTTGCTTAGTATATCTGTTTCTCTATTGCTCTGTCCTCTCTTCAACCTCTCTCTCCCTATTCCTCTCCTCCCTCCACTGTATCCCACCCACTTCCCTCCCCCTGATCACTCTCCCTGTTTCTATCACCTCTCACAATCGCTCTCCTTCTTACATCTACTTTTCCCGGGTCAATTTCGCTTGCCTCTCCCTAATCTTCCCTCCCATTGCTTTTCACTTTCCATCGCGCTCCTCTTTCCGTTTTGCTCTCTTTCCTCTCCTTTCGACGCCCTTTCACTCTCTTCCCAACCCTCTCCTCTCCATTCCTCTCCGTCTCTCCCTCCCTTCTCTTTCTCCCTCCCTCCCTCCCTCAACCTCCATAGCTATACCTCCCCGCCTCTTTCTCCTCTATTGCATACCCATCTCAACACTGTGGGAATGCGGGCGACGTCATCAGACAGATGTGTGTGGCGTTGTCACCACTGCGCACAAGCGCTTGGTCGAGCACTGGCCAGGTAGGCAGGAATCCAGGCACAAAACTATCTTCCAATATAGCACGACATATTTGTGTTTTTTTATGCACGTCACAATCTGTTGTGTTCTTGGGGTGATCGGGCATTTACGGTGGTGGCCCCCCGGTTTTGGCACTCCCTGCCATTAGAGATAAGTCTCTCGGATAGCATTGACATCTATAAATACTGAACCGTCTATCATTTCAAAAGTTTTTCCTAATTAGTTGTGTTCCTCTTTGGCTTTTATTTTGCCATTTCAGTTTTTTGTTTAATGGAATTTCTTCATTCATAGTGCCTAAAGATTTTTTGTAAAAGGCGCTTTATAAGTGCAAATTATTACTATTATTTATCAGGTTCATTTAGAGCATACCAACAGGGTTGATGATCCTATGTATGCACCTCACTGAGTCTAAATTCTATAGTAAGTTGTGCTTACATATTCCTATCTAAAAGAATGTTAAGCAGCAGGGATGTCAGCATCCTGTTGGGATGAATTATGACCTTCATCACCACTTGCTCCACTAGATAATTCATGTTAATATCCCATCAAATACAATTAGGACAAATACGTCATAAAGAGGTATTCCTGATGGTTATTGGTATATGTTAAAAACTCACCAGAAAGTTCAAAAGCACGAGGCTATTATGGGTAAATGTAAGGATTTTTTTGGAAAAACTGACGAAATAGAAACAAAGATATTTAAAAATAAAGCTATAACAAAGCTTAATGAAGCAACACTGCAGGACTGCTAAGAGGTTTCAATTAAAATAGAAAATGCTTAAAAAAGAAACATTCCTAAAACAGACTTTGTATTTGTCCTGAACATTACCATCTACTAAAATGGACACATCGTGTGTTTGGTACTTGAGATGCAAATAAACACACGTAGGAATGCAAAAACACGGTTGTTTTTCTCTCATGCAACATTGCATTGCACTACTTAACAATGTTTGCCATTTCACACGCGCCATGTATTTTGCCAACATAGCTTCCTAGAAGCTTAGACTAGTGCAGCTAACATCAGCTTGTGGTTAATTGTCAGTAAATTATTTCAAGTTGGACGACCTCTTTACTTCATTATGTTACTTTCTCCACTTTGCACCAGGTCCATAATGTCCCAAATGAACCATCCCCTCTATTTGTTCAATAACATTGCAATTAAACAGAGTACCACAACAGTGCGCTTTCAAGTAAACGGTTTTATGTTCGGGCCTTTGTCTAATATGTATACACGCTACCAAACCAAGGGCATTTATGCTCGTCAAAATCCAATCGAAGCAAGCAGCAGGGATGGTGGATGTTTCCAATGCAGAGTAACAATTTATCGATAAGATTGTTTTAAAGTAAATTTTTTAACCTTCATGTCCTATAAGAGCTTTTATTCCACATCAAAATTGCACAGACACGGGCATTCATGATGGACCGAGGGTCTAGCAAAGAGGTTTCCAGTCCACAAGTCATGCCCTTCAGTTGGCGGTATGGTGGCAGAAAGGTCACGTATGTTGCTTAAATAACGAATGCTGGAAATTGATTTCTTGATGTGAAAGACATTGAAAACCTCTTCAACGTGTTAAGATTTGGCCAGGCTACTAGTAACCACTCACTGTGCTCTACGTCATTGCTGGAAGCTTAGCAATGTGTCACGATGGTACAAAATCACACAATAACATTTATATACAAACGTATGTACGTACACAAAGTCGGTATTTCTGGTAAAATATTCTGTCTTAATATCCATGCTTAGGAGCTATCCTCTGTTTACATGTTTTGTTGCTAAAAGGAATGTATCACTATCCTACGCATTTTTGTAAACATATTTTTACCGGTCTAGTTTGACATCCTTACATTGCAATTTGAACAAAACACTGTCGAAAAGGATTAGTCCTTTTAAATAGATAATAATATAGAACACACAACCAAACAGCATCAAATGACAAATTGCACTTTAAAAATAATAAGCTATGAACGCTAAATGAAAGTTAGTCCAACTGCTTCACGAACAGCATGGGAATGGATATGAATATATTTCTCAATGCAATGTGCCAATCATGAATACTAAAGTTGGATTTAAGGAAAATTCAAGTGAGCAATAATAATGGGATCCGCCTAATGTTTTGATCCTCTAAGCGTTGTTTCAGGACCAATATAAATATATTGTTATGCAAATCATGTATTTAAATGTTTTTATAATATTCAAACAATTAAAATTCCAAATGTCAACCTTAAAAAACGATTTTAAAATAGATAAGCCCACAATGAATATTAAATAGCACACTGCATTCTATATACCATTAGAGGATGTTGCTTGCTTTTTCATTTTGAAATTAACCCCTCAAAATTAAGGAAAAACATGTCAAGGTTGCTGAGAAGTTGGTCTAGTTCAAGTCAGAGTACTTTCAAAAGTTCACAATGCACACACAAAGATGTGGGAAACGAAAGGACATGCAAAGATCATGACATCTCTCCTGCAGTCAACTTACTGAAGTCTGAAAATAAAGCTTGCTGTCAACTTGACCAACGACCCCAAAGTTGCGGGCTCATATCGAGCGCACACTACAAAAACGGCTCGCATAAGCTCTTTGTGCTTCTCCAACGACAGCGAATTTTGCCTCCCAGAAAAAAAGATGTACACACAATCCCCAAACTACATCTGTCTCTTTCTCCTGTAGCACTCTCTCCAAAAATAGGAAACAATTGAGCCGGTGATCTATTGAAGAACACCAATGCACAATTCTTCCAAGAGTGGTACCACATCAGTCATGAAGAGAATTTTTTTTTCTCAATAGCGAAAGAAACGGTGGCATTTTCACTCCAGTTCAGAATATAAACGACTGAAAAAATACAAAACTAAATACTGACACTGCGTTCTAAGATACCATACAACGATAGAGCCTCAGACACGAATGGACCGTGTGTAGTCAGACAGTTTGTTTATTACACGACTACAAAACGATTGTTTTATATGGAACATCGTGTAATTTACTTTCACAGAAACACACACTATTTAATAACTGGTTAAAATTAATGAGAAATGTTAATCTTTCTATTCACACTGCCAGAACGCTATGCTAAATCTTAAAATTATACTGTAATGCAGAAAATGTGGTTTAATTAGGCATTACTCAATGGCATTAGTTGTAGCCTTATTTTTAGACATGATTCTGTTTACTCAGCCAGTGCTAGAATTTATAGCGCTGCAATTATAGCAAGTACTCTTGGGCCCTCTCACATCTAACCAGCCAAACTATGTTGTGTGTGAAAACCTAAGGGGCAGCCAATAGAACATTTATTAAATTAGCAGTAGTTTTTTGCAGGCAACTTGTGTTAATTGTATTGGTCACATAAGACACTTAGACACTTCTGACAACCACTGGTCCACTGGAGATAATAAGAGTGTACGGCATATGCCACCATGTGACTTAATATTTAAATGCACTTATTCATTGGTAGATTTTTGTAATTACAAACAGAATGCCATTATATCTGAAGACGAAAATTCTGATGCATGAATGTTCACAAAACCAATAGTTGGTTGAGAAGAATGAACATTCATTGAAAATGTAAAAAAAAACGTAACGACATTGATCCGTGTGGAAAAATGCATGCCTGAAATGCCTTGAAATAGAAAAAAACATGAATTGGGAAACCAGAAAACAAGACATTGCAATCACTTTGAAAAAAAGTGAGAAAGGCACGATATGTTGCTAGAAATGACAAATGAAGGACAAAACTCAAGATAAAATGGCTACTAAAAAAATAAAGGATTTCATTCAGTGGTGAATTGAAAATGGAAGATAATGAATAATAATAATGTTACAGCAAACTATTTAAAATAATTACTGTATGTTGGCAGAAGAATGCAATTCAATATTAATGGAGAAAACGTGTTATTGATTGGCAGCCTCGAAATTGAAAACACGTGACAAAAGGGCTAAGGAGATAAGGAGTGATAGAATCAAGAGCAGGTGTTGTGAGATAGTCAAATTGTGGCTGCGCAAGTTTCTGAGGACATGGCATTGAGCCTTGGGGGGTGGCATTCTTCCAGCGTTGCACGAGGAATTGACATTTTTACGTGGGTGGCAGTGGCGGATGTTATTTATGACAAATGCACAGTTGCCATCACAACACTCACATGAGATGGGTGCTGCTGTCCGTCCAGTCAGGCATGTACTTGGCCCCCAAGGCGAGGGCTTTGTCACGGAGATCGCTGCGGAATGGGTTCTGGAAGCCGCTCAGCACGAACGCCACGCCTCGCAGAAGCTGCCCAAACTCCACAGCCTTTCCGCCACCCTCAGGACCCCGAGAAGCCCCCGATGTGCCCTGGGAGGCCGAGCTGTGTTTCACGGGCGTTGGCTGCTTAGTAAATGGCTGAGAAAAGTCCTTTCTGGAACCCTTTGCTGGCCAGGGGTCTCCTGCCTTAAGACTGCCTGGAGAAAGGGGTGCACTGCTGCCACCTACAGCACGCAAGTACATAACAAATAGTCAAACGGTTTGACAACACGTGTACATGTGATGCATAAACTGTAACGTATTCTGTATATATCCCCTTAATTTGTTACTGTATTAATATTTTTCCAAAAAGGACTATTTGTTAAGTCCATATTAAAATAAAACATTACGTCTTCAATTGCCTATCACTTAATATTTTTTTATGTAAAAAGGGGAAAGGTTTCTAATGTAGCATTGCTTTAATTTACTTAAAAAAGAAGTGATAGCATATTGAGGTATCTTTATCTAATTCATAGTACACTCCAGTGATAGAGGAAGCATGTTTTTAATACATTATTGGAACTGGAATATACTATGTTCAGACATTTTCACAAGAGCATGCCGACACATGCCATTTTGCAGCCAGATGTAATTCTGTAGTCAAAGGCTGGTGTTTTTATTGGCAGAACATCAATGTTTCTCGCTGAAGACCTTACATAAACCAAATACACACACAGCATTGGTTTTACTAGTATTGATGCTATGGGTAATATAGTTTAACATTATTGCAAAGGTTATGGAAACGAGTTTTTTTACATTTCCCGCCAATAAATTCATTCTTAATCCAGCTCACAAAAACGTATAATAAAGTGAAATTAACGAATGACCTCTATGAACTTTTCAGAAAATGTACACCAATGAAAATAATCACGTGCTGAAAGGCTCTCGCCATGACCGCTGCTCATAATGGTAAAAGTATACAATGCACAGCTGTTGAAAAATGTTATTTCCCATTATCAAACCTTTAGTTTTAGGTGATGATTCAGGCGCGTCTTTTTTAGCCGAAGGGGGAGTTGTTCGTTGCTTTTTAGGTGTTGTTTCGCCCGTGTGATCAGCCTTTCTTTTCCCTGAGTTGGTCTGGTTGAAAATGGAGGAAAAATTATTAATTGGAAGACATTCATATTTAGGTGCTAAAAAAACATATGTAAAGGCTCAACCAAGTTGCATCCCTTCTAGCAACACTCCAATTAATATTTTATATTATTTTGACATTCAACCACTTATACTTCACTCACCTGACCACTACATAAAAAAAACAGACTCCCTAAAATACTCTCCCAATGAACGCGGCTCTCAAATTGTATGTCATAAACTGCACCGTATTGTATTGAATATAAGACTCAAGTGTCAATAAACTATCACACAGTGGCTTCACACAAACACGACGATCCAAGATCCCAGTTCCCTTGCGAGATTCATAACATTGGTTTCTGTATGTCTAAAATAAAAAAAATGAGCCAATAATCAATATTACATTTGACAACTTTCACAGGAGGATCAGGCACCAATAGTAGTTTGCCCCAATAATGAATTGTACCTTATTTGAGAACTGTTTGCTTCCACTGAACTCAAGCTGCTTGGCACTGGGTGATCCCTCTGGACTCTCCGATTGTTCAGTTGTCAGAGTCGGTGTTGTACAGCTTGGTCCAGAATTTTTAGCTGAAAATGTAATTGTGTACATTTTCTTAAAAGCGAAAACCTGCACTTCATTGGACTTTTTTTTGCTACTATAAATTTCCCAACAGGATACAAAAAATTTTTCGATTTCAAGCTTTCGTGACTGCAGGGATTCATCTTCTTGGTTCTTTCGGTAAAGTCACGTAGAAGGGTAATAATAAAATAATAAAAAATTAAACATAATAAAATACAATTCTCACGACGTTTCGGCCACAACACAGGACGGCTGCTTGTGTTGTGGCCGAAACGTCGTGAGAATTGTATTTTATTATGTTGAATTTTTATTATTTTATTATTTCCCTTCTACGTGACTTTACCAAAAGAACCAAGAAGAAGGATACAATAATTGTTACAAAAACCAAAGATCCTTGGTATACTTAAAAGAAAACGTTGTGTCATCGTGCTAAATAAACTCAGTCTTTTCAAAATATTAAATGGTGTTATTTTTTAAGAGTCGACTCATGCACTCTACAGCATGTTGACAAACTTCAAGCGTACAGTCAACAGAACTGTTTACGCATTTGCCATTTACCTTTTGGAGAGTCATGATCTGGAGGGCTGCTCTTGCCAAAGAATAATGCCCCTGGCTTTATATCTTCACTTTCATCTTCCTCTTTAATTTTAAAACCTGCAAGTTTTTTCCCTCTCTACCAACAGCATGGGAGAGAACAGGAAATTAAAAACACATATCATATAAGAATCAATCGATACACATGCTCATGTACAGATAATTAAATGAACTCCCCTTCGATGATTCTAACGAGTCTACCCACGTTTTCTGAGGCATACATCAGGTGTGCTTAAATCAGTGCATGCAATGATTAACAATTTTCTCACGCAATACACATTAAATCTACCGCTGCCGTTGGCACTCTAGAAATCCAGGGTGACTCATTTGGCTAATGTAGTGCGGTTCCGTTTATTCCGTGAAATGAGATTAACTCTGCAATGAGAGTGGTGAATGTCATGGGTGACGTTAGCAAATGGTGCAATCTTACAGGGGAGTCTTTCAGATGGGAGGTGCTTGGACCAGTCCACTTGGTGCCAGGCTCTGGAGGAGAGTAAAACTTTATGCAAGCCAAGCCAAACTTGAGATTCTGCCAAGTAAGGACACACGAGATCGGCACGGAGCCAGCCAAAGCATTGGTTAAGGCAAATCGCTGCTGCCAATGTGAAATTAATTAGTCTGTTATAATACAATTGTAATTTCCTTTTATGCTTTCTTTGGCCTTTTACATAATTGCCAAAAGCATCAGAAACAAAGCTGCAGCAGTAATCATTATAGCAAACTATCAATCTCCCAGTTGCCCTACAAGCCCTGCATCATAGTAAGCCTTGAATTATGGCTTGTTCAGTAATTAGTTATATTGGATTTTATATGCATTACATGTGCTCTCTTTTGAGACTGGATTTTCTTAAATACCATTTTAATTGTATCAATAATCAGTTGGAATATGCATTCGGAGACTAGGCAAAACTAAGAGTGATAAATCATCAAAACCAGTAGATGTCACGTTTATGATGCAAAGTGCACACCTTAGTGTAGGGCTGGGTGCAAACAATCTTCACAGTCTCAAATTGCTTATCAGCTGCAGGCCGACACAGCTTCTCAGGGCCAAATATGCGCACCCTATCTGTGTTCTGAGCTCGCTTACTCTCTCCAGGGCTCATAAAGAATGACATGGCACAAATCACCTGCAGAGAGAGAGAACAAAGTTAAGTGTGCATTTTTAGTGTACCTGACTCATAAGAGTGTTCAGACTTACGTACTAGTGACTCAATACAAGTATGTGCACATGAGAGTAACTGCATTACTGTATTCTCCTGATTATGACACGTAATTTTTCCCCCTGTATTTTTAAAGTTGGGCATGCGTCTTATAATCCGGTAAGTGTCTGTGGATGTGCGAGACCACATTTGCATAAATGTATTGACACCGGGCAAAAGTTTAGATGTGTGTCTTATGTTCTAAAGTGTTGTATAATGAAAATATGGAATTAAAGCCCTTCAAATTTCAGAGATGCCAATTATAGAGATTTGTATTATTTGGCATTGCAATGTCCATGCTATATTTTCAATGCACACAACACTTTAAAGTATATTTAATTACACGTGTTAACACTGCCCGGCTGCAATTGTCCACAGAAACAATGGGCAGCACTTAATAAGATCCACACAAACCACTGAAGATGCAAAAGTGAAAAATAAAATAATCTCCTGTATGACTGCTGCCACGAACACCAAACCATGGACCACAGAACTTTCGCACTGCCCCAAATGTACATTTGCAGGTGGCATATTGGCAATTCACAAAACAACTGAATAGTTAAATCAATCAGAATTGAATCTCAAATAATTGCTCTTCCGTTGACGATATGAAAGAAAAAGGCAAGATGTTAACATTTTTACAACAAAAATATACAACTCTCACCTCATAATCTTGATCAAAGGACTTGACGTTGCCACCCAGCACTTCCACAAAGGCAGACCCATTGTTTTGAATTTCCACAGCATGTATTTGCTCTGGTTTTTCAAACTTTAATATTTTTTTTATGAAGTGTGCAAAGAGATGAAAATATGTTTATGTCAATACAAATCAAAAGACATTAGGTATACGAGTATAAAGTATTTTTCTCAAAAATGCATATTCAACTAATTTAACCAAATTAAAGTAAAAATGCTTTGAGTGACAATGTTAATGTATCTTACTCCAATTATATTTATCTGTGCTGGTAATGTACATCAGTCTTTACTGCATTTATAAGTGTATATTTAAAAATAAAAGGATACACAGTTATTTAGTGATTTTCATTAGCAAAATAAAAAAGCCAAACATAACCAAATCATTTCACAACATCATACCAAAGAGGTTCCCAAAAATACTTTTGCAACACAGATTCATATAGCCACTGTACAATGCGTTGGTTTTAATGGCTTTTATTCTTGTTTGGTAAGTGTTTTAAAAAGATGCCACAACTAGCTCTGTATGTGCAACTACAGGCAGTCCCCAAGACACAAACGTCTGACTTACGAGCATCAACACTTACAAACACACAACCATACGATATTATATTTAACCAGCCAACTTGTGAACGTCCTTATGAACAGAACCACGGAACTATTTTGTTTGGTGGAGCGATCCCCCAAGATATGTAATTATCCCCAGCTTCCCGCGCGATGCATGACAGTGAACCATCCGACTTTATTTTGTTTTATTCACTGTACATTATTATTACAGCATAACATGCAAATGTACAATGTTTCTTATTTATGAGTTAACCAATTCTTCCCTTTTTTGTTGAACCATAACACATTTATTAACACTGACCATTTGTACAATTAAATATTTAGTTCCAAGAAATGAACACATTGACTTACAAACAGGTCTCAGGAATGTAACCCGTTACTTCGAGGAATTCCTGTATATGCAGTCCTTAAACTAGGTAACTCAAGTAGAGGTATAATTTAATTCTTACGAAAGTAAGCAAGTGTCACAAAATGAAATAAAATTACGATATATTCTCTTTGTTTATATCAAGATTATAGCCCATCAATGTTAGATATTTATTTTAAAAAATCAGACCTCAATACAGCTATCACACCGATATAGTAACTTAAATTTAGACAATTTCACTGTCAATAGACATTCAAGATCATGTTATGTATGCACTCATATACAGCCGTGTCAACTCACTGTTGAAGACCTCCCCGTGCTTTATAAGAGGGTTGTTTGACCATACATCAGCATATTGATCAGTGCGGGTAGGTGAGAGGGGTGGACTACAAGACCAGTTCACATATCACTCGATACTGCTGTTAGCCAAGGCAAGGAATCAGTGCACCAATCACTGTGCCAAAGATCCACCCCCCATGAAATGCACGTCCCACTAAAAGTGTAAATGTACCTGTAGTGTTACAATGATTTGCTTTTCTCCATAGCTTCTACTTTTCCACGGTTTGTCTGCATCCGTATTAAGGAGGTTCTCAGCAGTGGCAACCTAAGTACAAAAATAAGAACCATCACTCAACTTCCATCACAATGTGTGACATACCATTGTAAACGTGTACATTTAAATGACAAGGATTTTTTATTAACTGGTATACACAACCGACAAAACTTACATTTTTAAGCTGTACGGGAAATGATACGCAGTGGTAAAAAAAAGTCTCCCCGTTGATGTACTACTACCACCTATTGACCGAACATTTTTAGTGCTCTACCATCTGCAAAGAACTGAAACGGGTGGGTGGTTCTGGTACAATAACTATGATCCCCATTATTGCATGCACGTTTTAACGTGCGACTATCCTTTTCAAGTGCATTCGTGCAGGCATTACTCCTTGTTGTTTTATTACAGCACTGTCATCAACAGAAACGGGCGCGTGTGATCCGTACAAAACATTATTCATATTCTTTGGGTCTTTCGGTAAAGTTATGAAGATAGGTTCAAAGAAATTAAAAAAAATACGACGTTTCGATCGCAACACAAGCGGTCATCATCAGATGACGTCGTAGTTTTTTTGTATTTTTGCTATTTATTTGAACCTATCTACGCGACTTTACCGAAAGACCCAAAGAATATGAATTCCTGCAGTCACGAAAACTTTACGTCAAAGAAATGTTAATTTCAGACTCAAAGAGGACAGCAAACGTTTGAGAATGCGCACTCTGCGATTGAAAATTATTTGGTGCGACTATTTTGAGACTGCCACGCATTGCTTGGCCTGTGGAAACAGACCTTGGTACACATTTTATATTCCAGGCACTCAAGGGGATGGGGACAGCACTGCAATTTCCTGGACACTTCGTCGGTGCCCCATGACTACAGCACCTGACAAGCGCTGGTGGTGGTCATCCAGGCTCATCGAAGTACTAACCAGGCTCAACCGCAGCTTCCGAAAGCTGATGAGATTGGGTGCATTGGAAAGCGACTTGGGTCTTCGAAAACCATCTAATTCTGCAAACGTGGCAATTGTCTTTATTGGAGGCAATTTTTAGCTGTTGTAAAGGGACATATACCTCAATACAAAGAATGTTACAGGGAGAGTAAGAGTTCGTAGATCCATTTAATAGGATGTTATTGTAATGTAAAATACGCTCAAGAATCATCTACTCTAACTGAACAGAAGTTATCCTTAAAAAGGCACTATTTTAGAAAGCTTTGATTTCCAGCAAAATTGTAATCTTTTAGAATATAAAAACCCGTGACTGCATATCAGTGTTCTGCCATTCATGATCTCTACTGCCGTACATCACCATCTGATTTCGGAGCAAGATCGGTGATCAAATTGCACCTCATATCCCACTTTAATTTCCCAATGGGCCGATGCAATATACAGTATGTCATCCCCACAATGCCGTGTTTTGTGTCATATTTTAACACGTAACAGTACCTCCGTGAAAGCTCGACACGATATTCGTTTAATAACTATTTTTAAAAACATACACACGACTAAACAAAGTTAGCAAGTAATTGATAAGATTTCATTATACTGTGCAAATACAGATTTTTTTTTTTGTCAATCCACTACTGCTGGATGAGGGCCTCCCTCCCCACGCCATGCGGATCGTGGGGGGTCGTTGACCATACTTCACCACGTCTGTTCGTGCTCACGTGGCAGCATAGATTTTGATGCACTGCCCATAATGTATCACCCTAGCTGCCTGTAACACCACGCATCTGAATGTGCAAGGAGCCGATGCGATTGACAAAAACACTACAGGACCTTCATAGCCCTGTACGTCTTTATTAAAGTCAAAAGCAGACACATTCACAACTTGCAAAAGTCGTGGGAACTGCTCAATCCCGCAGGCAGGCTTAAGTCAGTGGGTAGAAACTCCACGTTATTGTGACAGGGACCAGTCTATCCGAAGAAAAATTGAGGCCCAATACCATGGCAGCAGCGCCTCACGAGGTGGTTACCAATTTCATCGACACACGAGGATCATTGACGTTGGTGAGGTTGATTGGGCTGCATCGATCCGGATTAATTTCTGTTGCACCTGAGCAACCCATCACTGTGCTTCAGTACATGTACAGTTTCTTTATGCCAATCCACTGCTGGATGAGGGGCTCCCCACGCCGTGCGGGTCGTTTGACCATACTTTACGGTGCTGGTCAGTACTAGTTTTAAAAGGCAGTTAGGACTTAAAAGTCCTGCAATTAATAGTGATAGGTTTTTATCCTTTCAACTGGTACAAAAACTGACACCTTTATACAAGGCATCATGTTTGCAATAACCACAACACAAGCAGTCAAATGCAAACAAAAGAAACAACTCTGATGATGATAATATGCACGGTGCACCGTCCTTGAAGTTGATTGGTCCACACCCAAGACAGCTTTTCTTAGAGCCTAGTCTCCATTGGTGTTGCTGCAATTAATGTTTGCTGCCCACCATACAGCCCATAACAAAAGGACCAACCCAGGCACAAACGCTTAGCCTCCAAAAAAATCTAACGGATGTGGGGGCACATACCGGGTAACTGCTCATAGTGTATGGCGTTTTACTCTGCATCTGAACTCTGCTATAAAGTATACTAATAATGATTTAACAACGCGTTATAACGAGTGAACAGTTGTTCGTGCTGTGGGCTGAACGCGTGTTTACACGGTACAGTAGGGCAGGATCGCCACATGTGCAGAGCGATGCCCCCCTTTTGAGAAAATCGCCTTACCGTGTCTTGGCTGCTGCAATGTATAACTTTCACGGGCGTTACTTCAGTCATTTCAACAACAAACTCGTATTTAAAATAAAACCCCACGACGCTATACGCTCAATATAAAATACTATCTTTTTTTTCGTTTAAACAAAAAATATTCTTCACATTTAAAATAAAAAGTCACCAGGGCCTAGCACAAATCGACAAGGCTAGTCCCAAATCTGCCCAGGCGTCCGCGCTTCCTCGTGTCAAAACGTACGAACCCCGACTATAAATAATCGCGTGCGTTGTTTAATTAGTCGTGTGATTAGCTGTGCGATTAAACGAGTGATGAAATACATCGGGTGGGGGGGGGGAGCGGAAAACCCTTCGGTAAGAAAACGAGGTTGAGAGCAGCGCCTCCTCGTACAAAGCCAACCGAGGCCCCGTATGGAAGCTTCCAAAGTGCAGATCTGCCCCGGGGGCGGCCTCAAAGCGGGCGTCGCGCTACCCATCGCGCGGAGACACCCTCAGGGCGTTTGTCACACACATAACGTGACTAACGCACTTGCAATGCGAGCTGAGAGGGCTCCTCTCTGTGTGTGTCTCTCTCGCCAGACGTGGAGGGTGGAAGGACGCCAACGATGTCTTGAGCAGCAGCGAACAAGGACCTGATTGTCCATCAGCAGCAACAATGCACACTGGGGTTGAAAGAGCGATGAGCACTTGATCCAGTACAACTTCAACGAGTCTTCAAACTCGATGGCCAATGTATTTGTATCATTTTGTAATGTCCTGTGTATCATCACCAGGATATCCTCACTGACTCACCAGACTTTTTTTTTCTTCTTCAAGATTGTCCTGTAATTTGGCAATATACACTACAGTGCTGTAATGGTGACCTCTGTTTAACCCTGTAAAACATCACTGTCTCCAGACGTATATTGATAGGCCAATACCATACGTGATTGTTCTACATGTGTAAGCAAACCAGAGTTTCAGGAGAAAACCCTTTCAAGTTCAAGTTCATTTATTAGGTATAGCCCTGTGAGCCGTTCAGCTTCTTGAATCGGTGATGGGATAGCGCCCCAATACTTTGTACAAATGAAGCCATCCCACAGCATGCATTAGAGACGAGCCTTTCACTGTCTTAAATAACACAAAGCTACATTTAGATCCATCAGCTTATGAGTCTTCAGAAAACTTCGTTTTCCAGCTGATTTTATTTAAAGCAGCAAATGTCGGCTTCTGTTGAGTCCTTTACCAGCAGTGTCGCCTGTTTAATGATGTGGGGTTGCCTCTTGTTCTGAATTCATATTTTACAGCAGCATTTGTTTAAGCAGTAAAAAGCTTTGGCCAGTCAGTATTCATTATCTGAATTCAAATTCTTCTGGTGTTCACATCAATATAAAGTTTTTTAAAGCATTTTTTTTTACATTTTAGTTTACTTAATTATTCAGTTTTGTCAATACAAAGCCTTTCAGAGTTTGAGAAACTCTAAATTTCCAGAACAGGCATTTAAAAGACAAACTTCTGAATTTATTATGCTGCAATGAGCCAGCAGCCAGCCAAACTGGGCACCAAAGGCATGCTTCGTGATTTATATTCTATAACTTTTTTTAGTCTAGTTAAACAAAACTAATCTTAAACCTACCTCCAAATTGCCTTGAAAGCAAAACGAATCCCCAGATATCGAGATGAAAGATCAGATGAAAAATTGGTATAAATTAGTTTTAGTCCCTCAACTACATAATATATCTCTACACATATATCTTCCTTTAATGACATACATTGGATGATTGAAGTATTATATACCTTACCAGATATTGCGAAAGCAGATTGAGCGCCATTACTGGTTAATTTGCCACTCACCAATTATGTATGGATCCCTGCAGTCACGAAAACTTCAAATCTAGATTATGTTTAACTGGTAGGAACCTCCTGGTTACACCAGCCCACAGGGGATTATTGTGTCCGTCGTGCAGGGATGGGCTGGATGGTGAGGGAGGGGCTGGGTGGGGAGGGTGGGGCTGGGTGGGGAGGGGAGGATGGGGAGGATGGGGCTGGGTGGGGCTGGGTGGGGAGGATGGGGCTGGGGGCTGGGGGCTGGGTGGGGAGGGGAGGGTGGGGTGGGGAGGGAGGGGCTGGATGGGGGGTGGGAGGGGTGGGGCTGGGTGGGGAGAGGCTGGTCACCCCGTGGTGCCCTTATAAAACTCAACGTTTAACCTACTCACGCCGGCTTGTGCCCGCCCTCACAGTCGGGCATATTTGCGGAATACACCACGCCGCCGTTGACCCTGGCCATTGACCGAGCAACCAAACGTTCCGACCAGCTCCCTCCACAGGAATGTGTTACCGTTGCCTGGAACCAATCTCAGGTCCCAAGGGTCATAGTTCTGCAGTGCAATGTGCAAATAAATTCGCCACTGCTGCACCCCCAAAAGAGTTGATAGTCTTAATATAATTCTAGATATGAAGTTTTCGCTGTGGTTGTCCCCACCTGATGACGGACGCTTGTGTTGCGCCCGAAACGTCGTGATTTAATTTAGTTATTTTTATTTTCACCTACGTGACTTTACCGAAAGAACCAAAGAGTATGGACCCTTAATATATTCAAAATCTAACTTACACGTGAATTATGTTGGGTGTTGATAGCCTGAAGTAAATTCTTAACATAACTCAAACATTAAATCTTACCATCAATACAACAGTATAGCCTTTTTTACTTCTATTTTTCAATGAAACGTACTTGGCGTCGTATTTTCAGCTGCACTTTAAAGGTTACTTAAAAACACGACAAAATACATTTTATGAACAACGCTGAAATTTCACACCACTCGTTCCTGTGAACCTCCGTCCGGGCATGCATCAGTGGGGTTACATTTTCAACTTAACGTTGTTTGTGGAGTGACCCTGGAAATTTTACCATGTCAGTTTTTTTATAACTTATTCTTAGTTTTTTTCGGTAAAGTCACGTAGGTAAAAAAATAAAATTAATAAAAGTAAAATAAAATAAAAATCACGACGTTTCGGAGGCAACACAAGCTTCCGTCTCCGAAACGTCGTGATTTTTATTTTATTTTACTTTTATTAATTTAAATTTTTTACCTACGTGACTTTACCGAAAAAACCTAAGAATATGAATCCTTGCTGTCACGAAAGCTTCAAATCTAGAATTCTTATAACTTATCTTGAAGTGTACTTTATTTTTTTAGTGTAGCTCCATTGCGTGAGAATGCATGTTTTAGTATCAAATGTCAAAATAAAGGTTGATTTTTTTTAAGGGCATGGCACCATCAGACACAAATACGTCTGAGTGTGGGTGGCGTGAGGTTGACCAATAGCGGCCTGACACCAGCACTTTAGAGGGCTATAGGAGGAATAACTACACATAAATCGTTGTTTATTTTGATTACAAAGTACAGGTATTGTATTCATGCTGACTGTAGGCGGCGTGAGATCACTATTGTTTGCTAGACAAGCACTACAGATTCTTGTGCCAGAATCGTTACTGCCACGTACCCCGTGGGAGAGTTAAATGCCCATCGTAAAGTAACTTTGAGGAGGGCACCATTCCCTTGGCTCCTATATTTAAAGAACCTCAGGGAGAATTGTCCTTTGAAGTGCTGCTGAGAACTGGCCACGTTGCTTGCTTACTACACAGGGCTCAATACAAACGCAAGAGTACAGGGCATACGTGGCAGTCTCAGTCCATTTCTTGTCAATCCACTGCTAGATGAGGGCCCCCCCCCACCCACCAAATGGAGGCATATCCGTCAACCCCTTAGGGGCCGTCCATAAATGACGTCACGCGATTTTGGACGATTTTGACCCCCCCCCCTCACTCGTCACATGGCGTCACAATAAGTCAGACCCCCCCCCCTCAAATATGACGTCACAAAGCTCTGCCCCCCCCCCCCAAAATAAAACTAAAACTAAAACATGCTTCAAATCGCTTTAAACTATTGTCATGGTAGTGCGGTATTTAATGTGCCGCTGCACTCTGATGTAGGAGAAAACATTAAAAAGTCTATTTAACTAAGTAAAACGTGTTGTCTATATATACATTTAAAGTTGCGCATTTTGATGTGACGTCACATTTCTCACCCCCCCTTCCCCCAGGTGCGTGACGTCATTTATGGACGGCAATTCAGGACCTTATTGGTCACCACGTTGCCCTTATACATCTCAACGTCCATCCTACAAAATCCCATCTTAGGCGAGAAACACAAACAAATAGTTATAAATATGTATAAACAAATACAAATATTTATAAACAAATATATATAAATAAATATTCATAAGCAAATATTTATAAACAAATATATAAACAAATATTTATAATATATATAATTATATATTTGCCATATTTAAACAGCTGTCCACGCCGTATGGACCTGCAAACTCAATCTCCCTGTACAAGAACACACACTTGGGGTTAAACCGCATTGGTTGGATCTAATCTAGATTTAAAGTTTAGTTATAAGTAGTTATAAGTAGATATAAGTAGTTATAAGTAGATATAAGTAGTTATAAGTAATAACCGTGACTTTACCGAAAGAAACCAAAGACTACGCCATTGGTTGGACAACTGTGGGAAGGTGTCGTGTGTGGGATCATTTGACCATACTTCTCCACACTATTGGTAAGTGTATCTTTGCACAGCTGTAATTGCTCCGTAAAGTAAATTAAATGTAGATGTTTACGCACAACTTGCGCGTTGCTTTAATCCCCGACAGATCCTTGTAAGTGGCACGTGGCCTGAGGCCTACAACTGCCTTATGCCCCCCACCGATATTTTGGCGGGAAAAGAAATCGATATAAAATTATCGTCTCATTCGGCACCCTCATAATATTCTACATTTGAAGTTTTCGCTGACTACTAGGATCCATTCTCTTTGTTTTTTTTTTGGTAAAGTCACGTAGGTTAAAATGAAAATTTTTAAACATTTATTAATTTATTTTCTTTTAACCTATAAGACTTTACCGAAAAAAAGCAAAGACTTGTCTTGTTGCTGTGCTAATGCTGTGTTTTTATTTTGTTGTTTATGGCGCAGTCAGTGAGGGGGACCTGGGCCTTCGTGTCTCTGCTCCATGGCCCATCATCATGTAAGAAGCCAAATAGCGAAGAGCTTTTGATATAAACCGCGTGTGTGCAATTGTTTAGCTTGCAATTATAACTGCAAATTAAGTCACCTGCTTCGGAATGCATGTATGTGTGTTGTGTCGTATTTAATCTCGCACTCGCGATGATTTACTATCTTGTTTACCCCTGAGGCAAACTCGCAGGAACGCCATCACTCCTTGGGCTTTTAAAAATCTCTTAAAACAAAATTGTTGGTTCTTCTATTCACCGGTGGGGGTTTGTTTTCTTACACGGTACAGTGCTCTACGTAAAAGTAGTTCGCTACACAATGATGTGTTTTTTTACAAAACTAGGCCCTGTGTATGGGCTCGTTTATTTGGCCATACTTCGCCGCCCTGGTCCTTTTCGGATCGATTGGTGAATGAAATCGTGCTTGCCTAACAATATCCCCCCAGCAGTCTATAACAACTGTTGTATATGTGGGTGACCGCCTGTACAAGCATTATAGACTTAGCCCCTGCTTATCTTCACGAGATGATGATAAAACCAACACATTCCGGGTTGGTTTGATGATCATCATGGGCGTATAAACAAATACATCGAATTTTTATTTTAGATACGGTACCATCATATACAGGTTGGTCCAGGTGTCTTGTGACCCCCATTTATTACTCTAAAACTTAATGTTTTGTTATACCAATCGGTCTGTGATGCAATGTAACCATTATAAAATAACCAAAATGTTCGGGGTCAATTAATTGGGGGGGGGGGGGGGGTCACAAGACATCTGGACCACCCTGTATAACATTGGCAGGGGGCTTATTGAGCCACATTATTGTGCGTGTGTACACGACAGCAGGCAACGATATTCGTCAAGGTGCAACAGCAGAAGCTGCAGAAGCTGGTGGCAGAAACCATGCAGTTGAAGGCATTGCTGCCCAAGGTGGTGCATGGTGACATCCTGCAGGCCACCACCAAGCTGGGACACCTTGAGATGGGTACACGTCGAGCCATCCACCACCTTCAAAAGCAAGCCCTGAACCCTGCTGTCACTTGTTGTTAAATCGCTCAAGGGTCCTCTTTGCCACACCTGACCGCACAATAGCCATTTTCGCAGAGTTGAATTCACAAGCACTGTTGCAGGGATCACTCTCTGTGCTTTTCCTTTTTAGTGTATAAATACAAACGCACCCCCAAGTACTGTAAGCCTAATACAGCAGCTTATTCGTTTTCAAAAATGGTTTTGGTGGGATCCAATATCTTCTGTCAGTTGATCAATACAGTCAAATGAAAGTGTTATTTTAAAGTAATCAAAATAATTCAGCATATCATACATTCTGAAAGCATGCGTTGTAATCAACATTTTTTTTTTGGTTTGTGTGTTTCAGCAACAAAACATGAATAACTGTTTTGAAATACTCTACTGGCTGCCTTCATAACCTTTTCAAAGCAAATCCATTTAACTGGTGCATGACAGCTTCCAATGATGTGATGCATATTACATTAACTTTTGTTGATTATATCACCACCTTGTAGGCTGCAAACAGAGAGAGCTCAACATTCCGGAAACTTGAAGCTGCAGAGCTCGTGAACATTATTTATGAAAATAGATATGCGCACATAATGCTCATAACATTACAGCACCAAGCAGGTGGTGTTCTAAGGCTTACAAGCACTCTGCCGTAGCGTAAGAATTACCCGCAAAAAAAACTCCTTTCTAAAATAACGAGTTGAATTTGCATGTTTCGAAGTCATGAACTTATAATAAAAACTATTTAACGAGTACATTGTAGTCTAATCTGAACCGCTGAATTACCTTATGTCGCGCACTGCATTGTGAGCTGTTTTGATAGTTTTGGAAGATAGAGACAAGGAAGTGGAGAAACTGCGTGTGGATTGTGAGCACCTTCGAGCAAAGTTGGACATTGCATTAGGGGACTGTCAAAAGGAGAAGGAGGTAATTTAGTGTGCTCGACTTAGTTTAATACACCATCGGATTTTACAACGTTGCGGCTTTAGACATCAATTCCAGTGTATCTAGGCTTATAAAAGAATATACATATATGTATGCATCTGCCGTTTCACACAAATCCTTCCGAGGGATTTTCACCTGCTTTGGTTAGATTTCTTTCTAGAAATATAATGTCCAAAATAAATGTTGTCAATAGATCCGGCACAGTTAACCAGATATTTGATACGAAAAATGTAGTCTTCAAGATGTGTATTTTCTCAGATGTATAAGCTGCTTTTGTTAGCCAAGGGAGTGCAGAAAATTATTCAGGCAGACATGCAAATTTCATGCGATGTTAATCTTATAAAATATTCTTTTGCTACTCCTGGCTACAGGATCCTGGTCAGTGTGTTTCAGATAACTTTCATCTTTTCATGCTATTAAAAGTTGCATCATTCTAATGTACACTCAACATTTAAACTAAGTTAAAAGTTGTGCACAAAAACCAGTTAAGTCCCACAATCCCTTTTTTAGACTAGACTGAATTTGGAAACTTACAGCCATGGCTATGTTAAATACAGTACATGCAATAATAAGTACCGTACAAGACCACCACATTTGAAATACATTCTTACTGGAGAAGCATTGCATGGAATTGATACCTCATCAGATAGCATAATCAATACCAATGAACGAAAAGTATAAAATTTCACTCTTTTACTTCAGGGTGGCTTTCATGTGTGCGTGCGCAATATTGTCTTAAGTGTTTCCTGTGCTTCAGGACAAGTTGCAGGCCCGGCGACAGCTGTCTGATGCACAGCGGCAGCTGGAGCAGCAAGCGGATTTCTGCACGTCTCTGGGAGCGGTCGTGTGCACGCTTCTCTGGAGGGTTTCTCGCTCCGAGGCCAGCGTACAGTCAATCCTTGTGGGGGTGTGTTCCATTACACTATTTATTTTGGTTCTTGTCATACATGGGTGCGTGCTATATGCTTGTTTTCTCCCAATTTAGTAATACGGGTTTTTTTTCCACTGAGTATTTTGAGTTCCCTGAAGCATTGCTCAACTAATGGTTATGCATCATTGTTTTTTTTGCACAAAAATGTATCCCTGCATTAGCTGTACAAGTTCCTCCAGAAATGTGTTTGCAACTTTGAACATTGTCTTTTAGAGTAATTTGGATAAAGTGCACAATTATGCACCATCTTCAATGCTATCTTATGTAACATGCATTAGCTAGAGCATTGCATGTTAATAAGCAATATTACTCTGAACTAATGTACACAAATTTGATCTTACAATGAAAAAAATCAGACAAAGATAAAATGTTAGAGAAAAATCCAATTCAACTTCTTAATGAGAATCTTGCAAAAATATTTTGTTATAAAATCAATTAAATACTAGCTTAGAGGGGTATGCATTACCGAATGCCCCCGAGCAGTCCTGAAGATCACGACTGCTCCCTGACGTCGCTGGCTTTGGTTATATCTGTCATGTGACCTCAAAGCGTGCAGCAAGATGAATATGCATATTATGTATTCAAATACCATGCGTAGTTCATGTACATTTTTTATTCCTGAAAAACATACAGTAAGCAGATTATCTGAAGTGCCGACTGCATGTACAGCATTATTCTATTGAAAATACACAATATAATGTTGCTTTGATAGAGATGGTAAAAATACTCTTTATATGTTGATATCGGTTTAATAGGCATTCAAATGGAGCATTTATGCCTTATATAAAGAGTGAATTCCCATGAAACCAAATATAAATTATCAATGGGCCATGAGACACCACCTATCACAGCGTAGTGTTTTATTCAGAATTGATATTCCAACTTAAGTACTGCAGTGATGAGCATGTAAATGTTCTTTGCTTTCAACGTACTAACCTTTCTGCAACTGTCATTCAGTGCAAGGTAAAAGAGTTCTTCACCCTCGCCAGCCAAACAGTGGAGAGCTACGTGAAATCATTGCCTGGCGACTTTAAGACTGAAGATGGAGAGGAAAGCCAGTTTGTCTTGGCAATGGCTGGCATTGTTACAAGTGAGCTCTTAGCCAATTCAAAAAATACCTTCACTGTACCATAATGTTTATTGCATTTTGTATAGTGGTACTTTATATATTAAGTCCTGTTACTTTACAGATGGAAAGTGAACAAAAATCTGCCTTCATAAAATGTTACTACAGTATCGTGTTACAACTGTATATGCCCAAGTACTTTAAATAATATTTTGACTCCATAAACATGTTAGCAAGACTTCTAATGCATGTCCCTGTGTGTGCTCAGATATTGCAGCCACTGCCTGCGGTCGGGAATACTTGATGAGCATGCCTGGAGGGAAGACCATTTTGGATGTCTTTCTGCAGATATTAATGGAGCTTTCAACCGGCCAGTGCATCAAATTCAAAACGTACGTCATAGAATGTGTAGTTTATTTAAATGAACTTGCTGTAAATCGTGAGGAAAGCATCTCGGCTATATTTGTGCATGTTTTTGTTTTGTTTCAGCCTCATTTTAATGACACTGTATAATGTCAGCATCAACACTAGTGGACTCCAGTACCTGGCAGAAAAACAAGGGATGGTCAAACTCCTGTGTTGGCTTTTAGAAGGTACTGCTGTTGGAACTGCACATTCTAACGGTGACATTTAATAAAAAAAGTATATACAGTAAAACCTTGGATTGCGAGCATAATTCGTTCCGGAAACGTGTTTGTATTCCAAAGCACTCGTATATCAAAGCACTTATATAAAATTGTGATCACGTGACGCTCGGCAGACAAAGCGTATGCGTACTACTCATTGCAAGACCTCGCTCGTTTATCAAATTAATATTTATTAAAAAAATTTGCTCGTCTTGCAAAACACTCGCAGACCAAGTTACTCGCAATCCAAGGTTTTACTGTATGGATAATTTTACAAGTACTGTAGAATATTTTCCAATATAAACACGAAATCTTAAATTCCATATCACTGTTTACAGATTAATGACCATCTCCATAATCGAGGTTTTTTGGTTAGATCGCGTAAATATAAATATAAATATTGTCGTTAAACCCGCCACCACCCGACACAGCCAATTAGTAAGGTTTGTGACAGAAATAAAACATGCCAATCTTGTTACTAGTTCAGCACACCAGTGTGTTGGAGGGTAAACCCACAACATCTACAATTCTAGTACTACAATGTGTGAGATTACGCGCCAACATGGGTGTGCTGAACTAGTAACGAATTGGCATGTTTTGTTCACATCACAAACCTTACTAATTGGCTATGCCGGGTGGTGGCGGGTTTAACGACACATTTCTATTTACGCGATCTAACCAAAAAACCTCTTATGATATTGGTCACGAAAGCCTACGTGTTAAACAGATCAATGACTGCTTGTTGTATCAGGTGAGCAGGATGCAGAGCTACGTTGTCAGGCACTGCGCCTCATCCAGTCCCTGCTGCTAGAGCCCGGCACCAGCCAGGAAGTGGCAGATGGTGTGCGGGCCTGCTTGCCAGAGCACTTCCTGCAGTCCCTGTTGGCCAACCGGCACGTTGAGCTTCGTGACGCCGCGAAGGAGCTCCACGAAGACCTCCAGGCCATCCACATTAAGGGCTAGACTTTTGTTCAGGAGCCCACAGTAATATCCAGTTATCTGACTATTAGATTATTTGTTGGGAAAATAAACTGCATGGTCTTAAAGTATAAAGCCAAGGTCTGAAGCACACAGACGTTTTTGAAAACGGTTCAAAAGGAAAAAAAATCTGAATTGTTGATTCATCATTTTGTGTTCAGCAACTGAGGAAAATTGACGAACTGGCAGTGGATTGGTATTAAACTTGGATGACATGTTTTTCTGTTCAGGTGCCAAAGTTAATGCAACCTGTGCATTATATTGTGAAGTTAAATAATTCAAACGAGTTTATAATCCAGATTTCAAAACAATGTTGCTGATGTCATGTGAGCAATAAATAAATAACATTTTTAAAACTTTGTGTACAGTATTAATTCATTGTACATTAATATCTGCATTTTTCGCCAATGCTGGAGGTGTTTTTATTTCTAAGAACCAGTTTTTCTTCTGCATGCTTTTTCCTACTAACCTTGCATCGTTAAGTGAAAAGCAGCACTTGAATGACGTCTATTAAACTTAATCTTGTGTGAACATGTTTGATGAAAAAATATCCAGCTGAGCTGGCTATGAATTAAAATCTGGTACTCGTGTAAAATCCAAATTGAGGTATTTCTTCTTTTGGGATGAGCACAGTTGGGTTGAGACATTAAACAATAGACCACACATACATATGTATCATTGACTGGGGTTTGAGGGTGTGGATGCTTGCTAGGCAGGTTTTTCTACATATGATGTAGTCAATATGGGTAAATCAACTGCTTTACCAATATATTTATAGCAGGCACAAGTGTAAACTTTCGGTTTTGTATAATTCAGTTCAAATGGAGGAGCATAGAACACTTGATATGATTTTATAATACTGATATTCATTGGGTAATGATAAAAAAATGCCACTGTAAGAGTAATTTATACTTAAAAAATGTGAATTAACAATATCCAAACGAAGCTTGTATACATTATAGTTTGAAGTTCCATTTACTGAAGACGCCATTATATTCTTTGTACGCTTAATGCTGCACCTACTAATCAATGGTAACTACATCAAAATCAGCATCATTGAGCTCTAGTAAAGAGTTGTTGCAATTGTTTAGTGGTCCAAGAATGCATCTAACTTTAATTAAGGTGCCCTGCCATTCCTCTCATGCAATGGGTACGCCTGACATTTTGGCTGACCATTTTACTCTAATTATGTTACCAGAAACCTCCCAGTCTGCGTCAACAACATTCAAGAACTACCGTCATACGACGAAATTGGTTCTGCTACATCCCCTGTAGGTAGTTTTCGTGTTACAGCATGAAACAACATTCTAATTGATGTATTCCTAATCTTGCATATACTTTTCTTTAGTTATTTTAAAAGAAATGTACAGACACAATCATAAAGAGATCCAAAAAGTAAGCAAGCAGATATATTTTTTTCCGAATGGGCCTTCAGAAGTTAAATGAAAAATAAATGCAGATTAAATATAACATCAAAAATAACCCTGCCTTCACTAATTATCCAAAATGTACACAGTGTTCATTCAAAAGGTTGTAACCAAAAGTACCGTTCTGGCTAAGAAACTTGCAATTAGACCTCGTCCTCTTCGTTTCCACACCCTGCCATTAACTTCAAAGACATGACTCGTACATTACCACGGCTCCATTTATACCATTTGGCGTCATCTGGTCCAACACCATGTGAGACTAGGCTCTAAGAAAAGCTGTCTCAGGTGTGGACCAATCAATTTCAAGGACAGTGCATACATTATCAGAGTTGTGTTTTTTTTTCTTTGCATTCCGACCGCAGGTATTGTGATCAATGCAAACATGACTCCTTGTACAAAATGTGTCAGTTTTGTTGCCAGATAAAAGGGTTAAAAAAACAATTATCGGCTCCATTTATATTTGTGCCTCTGGTTCCACAACACACTCTTAAAGAGGATAACAATAAAAACAAACTAGATGCGTTTGTGTAACTGCTAAGGACAGATCGGAGACATAGAAATATTAAGAGGACAAAATACATGGACCGAGATTTTTCCTGGATCATGGTAAAAAATATTCCCAACTTTATAAAGAGCAAATATAATAGAGTAACGATGATAAAACGTTGACTGAAAAAATACTTTTAATATAAGACAATATATGGGTGTTAACATATACTAGGTTGAATTGCAAAAGCATACATCGATAAGTGTTTTGACCAACGCTTTAACATCCTTATATGTGCTGTCCTGGATGGGAATGATGCGTGCAGGCCGGAACATCCCACGTGTGTTTTACGACACCGTGTAGAGGTATAGGGTGCCAATCTCCACGAAGAACTGCAGATCACACAAACACAGGAACAGGCGTAAATGCAAATCCTCCGTTTACAATACAAAATTTACAAAAGTGCCTGCCATCGCCATGGAAATAATTTAAATAATAAATAATGTATCATGTAACGTGGACGTCAGTCAATTTCAAGTTAAAAATACACATGTATTCATTATACTATAATCGTTGGTATCAAATTATTGTGATTGACGCTTTGGCTTTACATTTCAGCGAGCAGGCCTTTATGTTCTGACCATATGGAGTGCACTAAAATACTCAATGCAAAGTAGTAAAATAAAACATTTAAACCACGTATGATCATTTAGGGAACAATATGATAACCTATGTGTCGTTTAGGCAATGACACGGAGGTTATCATAGCCAATATGATTCACAACTGCTTTGTAATGCCACGTAATGATATAGCCACATTTCTGCGGTTAAACCATTCACCATACAAACATTGCCAACCAAATTAAATGGTCACAGATTCAATCGTAAAAAAAACTATTCTTTGGCAATGTCAGTTGGTGGAGGGTCTTACGACAAAAATGTGGCCACACAACTACATGGCCGAGTCCAAAAAGAAATTTCGAATCGCAATATATTCTTACTGCATGCAATCATTTCCACAAGATGTTCTGTGCCGGGAAACAGTCGAGTGCTTACCACCAAGACGAGGATGGAAAAGCCGAACCAGGCAAGAGGGAAGGTGTAGCCATCAACAGCCGATGAAAAGTGCCCATAGCAGCCCTAAAAACATGAAATGAAGAATTAGCCACAAATGCCATGATTGTTGTTCCTGTAATTATTGCATCACTCGTGCATAATTTCACCAAAATTCAAGCTGTGGATGCAGGCCTACATAAAATATTAACTTTTTTTCTATCTGACGTGAGAATTATAATGAATCACATCAATGTACACATAGTGCCGAGTAAAGATTTAGTATTATATGAGCAGGAACCCGCGGAACTTCCGCGTGGATTTTATGATGAGGAGCAGGGCGCTATTTATCACCAAACTCGTACAACTTCACATGCACACAAAAGACAAAGACAAATATCTCCCCCTTGACAGACTGTAGGGCCAAGTGCTGTTAGCGAGCACCTATGAAGGCCGGCACGGCACACGAGGGGGTGGGTGGCCAGCACCACGCCCGGCCGCCTTTGTATCCCTAGTGACGATGTTTACACATCGCACCAGGTACTCATTTGAGGCTGAGTCGACCTATGTGTATGTGTGACACACATATGTGCGTGTCAGACACACACAACAACCGCCATTCGCCACTAAGTGGCGGTGACGTCACCACGACGCTTGTGCCAGGCCATGTGCACCTTGAGGCCACACACACACAGACACACTTTCAACACACACACACTCAGCGGTGACGTGAGGACTCATTGCAGCTGGCCAAACCCCAAAATAGTTGAGCGGTTCGTTTCGCCAGCGCGAGTGGGCGTTTGCAAGTTGCATTGAAAAATATTCTTTGGTTCTTTCGGTAAAGTCACGTAGATAGAACAAATTTGAATAAAGTCAATAAAAATTAAAAGCATAGGTGCGCCTTTTGGCGTCATCTGGTCCAACACCATGTGAGACTAGGCTCTAAGAAAAGCTGTCTCGGGTGTGGACCAATCAACTTCAAGGACAGTGCATACATTATCAGAGTTATGTTTTTTGTTTGCATTCCGACCGCAGGTATTGTGGTCAATGCAAACATGACTCCTTGTAAAAAAAATGTGTCAGTTTTGTTGCCAGATAAAAGGGTAAAAAAACAATTTCCATATTTTGCTACTGGCAAAGGAGGTTCCAATGATGGTTGTTAGCTATGTGTTTGTCGTAAATTGGGGGGGGGGGGGGGGGGGCCTTCGTCGAATCAGTGTATCGACTTACGATCAGTTTGACTAATGAACGGGCCTCGGGAACACAACCCGTTCGTAAGACGGGGACTGGCCCAAAAGTGTTATGACGGTGAGTTACATATAATTTTGTATTTTGCCGCACGGGATTACTAATTATTGCACGAATAGGGTGTCTAACCTTTATTTTATTATCAAAAATGTGTTATCATCACGTTTAGAGGGCTGTAACGCGGTTGCAGCAAGCCGCCATCCAGCCTGTGCAACGGTTGCTAAGTAACATTATGTTAATGAGTCCCGTCGCTCACGCCGATTGGATGCAGTGCGTGACGTCACCACGACTAAACAAAGGAGGGCAAAGTGTTATAGTGGGAAAAAAAGTGTCTTGGCGTTTTATTATACAAATTATACGATACTAATAGTATAGTATATGATGTCACCGTGCTGTATTATGTAGCGCCTGTGGCATTGCGCACCGAGCGTTGTTTTCGGGTGCCGGGGCTAGGAAAGGGCCGAAGTGTGCTCACTTTTTGGAAGATGGCATCTGGCTTGCCCAGGATGCAGCCCATGCGACCGTACAGGTATTCGTCATTTTCGTTCATCACGCAGCATTTCGTGGGCCATGGGCTGTCGGCATCGTCCTGCTTGTGGTATTTGCTAAAGGACGACGTGTAGGAGATCCAGTCCTCAGGTCCGTTCACCCCACAGCATTTTTGCTGAAAAATATCAAGGGCATAGAAGATAAATCAGGTCACACAAGTGGCCCTTAAAAAAACAACCACACCTATTTCATAATGTACGTGTACAAAAACACTAAAGATGACAAGTACATTTTTTGGGTAAAGTTAAAAACATTATTGGATTCAGTTTATACCAATTATGTTTGTTATAAATTATTATGAGGTTGAAACACTGCACAATAAAAACAGGTTACATCATTGTGTGACACGAGTGATATTTAATCAATGGTAACAATGACAAATGTTTCACGTGACTTATATTTGCTAGATTTTAAAGTGTTGTGTGTTATCTTGAACTTGTTACATGCTGAAAATGCGCATACCGTTGACATCAAGTCCTTCCAGTTGTCCGTGAGTTGAGGAATCTCGCCGTAATCACGAAGCATCTGCTTGAGCATCAAGTTCTTTGTGCCCACCAACTGGGAACGTGACAATTCATGAGTACATCTTCAGTTTAACTGTTGAACCATCTATCGGCAATGTTTACTTTAATTCATAAATTCACTCCAAATTTGTATAACGGGTACAATTTTATATTTAAGTCTTGCAAAAAGATTTTTAGAAAAAATACTAAGCCGCGTTAATAAGTGGTGTGGGGAAAACAAAGTAAATCCACTACCATGGCTTTTGGGGATTTAGAAGCAGGGCTCAAATTCAGCTGGGACCGCCTTTGTCAATGACCTGGAAACATCTGTCTGCATCCGGTACACCACATCCCTAGTGCCTCTTGCTCTGGCTGTTGCTACTAGTGCGGTAGTGGAGTGGTGAGCGCTCTGCTCTTTGAACCCGCCAACCAGAGTTTGATTCCTTCTCATGACCAATAATAGTGACGAAAATTTGAACCGGTCCTCGGCCTCCCTTCGGGCAATTCAGCCAACAGTGACGATGTGTAATGCTTACTCATTACACATCGTCACTGTTAAAGGCAGCCAGGCGTTTTGGCCATCCACTCCCTCGAGTGCCATGCTGGCCTTCGTACGTGCTTGCTAACAGCACTTGCCCCAAGAGTCTGTTAAAGGCTATACGGGGAGTCTTTGTTACTACGAGTTAAATGCTTTTTCCAGTCTACCAGCAACATGGAAAATATTTCGTGAGAAATGAAGCCCTGCTTCAAAGATGAATGTCTCTGAAACTTCAGACTATGATTCCCAGTGGCGTTTGACTTACATAGTCCCTGTGAGTGAAGATCACGATGCATGATGCTGCTTCGAAGATGAACACGATTAACATGAGGATGAAATACTGTAAAATACAAAAAAAACACACAAGTGTGAAACACATTATCATCATGCAATATTAGTCGCACTGGTTTAACTACATGCAAAATTGCATTCAATACCCAGTACCGATCACGGTGAGTTAGTAAAATTATGAGAACTAACCGGGTAATAAGGTCCAAGGTCCTTGCAAAATTCATAATAACTAATAACAATGTTAATAAAACTGTTACAGTATAAGACCTCTACTGTAACGTCAATGTGATGTACAGACTCGTATAAGACTCTCAAAGGGTTTTAATGCTAAGTTACTAAATAAGGTCCACAAGTTTAATCACTCTAAATTTGAAGACCCGTCATTATGCACCCCAATCCTGAATAAGTGCACTGATTGTATACTGGTCCGTCTCTATTGATAACTTGCTGTAGATCTGGGTTGACTTAAAATGTTATCAAACATGTTTTGGCAGTCCCTCATGGTGCATCAATGTCAAAGTACAGACTAACCAAAACCACGCGGCTTTCTTCAATGACACTTTCATACACTTTAGACTTGACTGAAGATCAATGGGATAGATAGCTATCTCTCAGTATTAAGTTTTCTGCCCAAGAGCAAATAGACTTGAAATGAAGATAAAACTGTCACAATATTGCAATCTTCACTCTAAGGAGCATTGCTGTTGGGCAGAAACGTAATAAAATGGCATGAGATAGCCATCCACATCCTCGATCTTCATCTCCAATTAAGTCTGAGATATATGTGTGCGTGTGTGCGTGCGAACTAATTCGGCGGCCTACCGCTAGCAGGGCAGACCGCTGCATCCTCCACACGGCGTACATCCCAAAGATGCCGAGCAGAAAGAAGGCAAAGCCACAGAAGATGGCGATCCAGGCTGCGGCAAAGATGTCCGTGTTGTTGTCGGCGGCCAGGAACGGGTAGATTTTGTAAGGGTCAGTGACGACCCATATGGCCAGGGCCATGAGGGCCACTCCACACAGCTGAAGACACACCACATTGCATACCCGCCCCGTACTTTTGGTTAGTTTTGGCCAAGTTTATATTGGCAGTGATTTGATGGAATGCCACAATTTAGGAATGCGGTTTGATTTACAGACTCAATTCGTTCAACACCTGGTCAGTTTTGCAGCCACAATTGACTGCATGCACGGGGTCACATAGAATATTGATATTAACATGTAGTTGATGCGTGCATTGTGAGCTCAAATATCGAAATTAATTGATGAATCGATACATCGTCACCTCTACTGGATACACAGGAACTGGAGAGTACTAAGATCCAAAGCCCTCAAAAATCTAAAACTGTACCCTAAATATTTATTTATTTATTTAGAAAAACACATTATTTTGAAAGTTCCATTAACACCGCACAAAATATCCACATGCTGATGAACACACCAAATGAATACCACAAAAAAACAACTGTGTGAGCACGTTCGTGGGAGATGTGCGTTGTACCGCAATGATGGCATTTCCGAAAAACACGAGCGCCCGAACTAGCTTGGTCACCGAGGACCAATCCTCTTCGTATTTCACCATGCCTGGGCTTGTTCTGTGACACGGGAGGTCGGAGGCATTCATTAACAGCACGTCAATTCTATGAGAAAAGCTGCACGATTACAGGACATCAGCACCACACCTATATAGCCTTCAAGGCAACTTCTCTTTCCCACAGTCCTCCTATACACCGCCAGCTGACATGTCATCCATTTGGGACCAAAATAAATAACCGCAACTTTATAAATGTTACGTGTACATAAACAGGCATTTTAAAGGCCACCAAATATCCTGCTTTTCATCAAGTGTTCAAAAGGTTTCTCAAATACTAACCAAATTGCATTTACTTAGAAGTTAGCTTATTTTTAAACCCCCACACCTTCATTCAATCAAAAAATTGCCAAATTAAAGTTTTATTACAACGCGAAATCCCACTGCGCCGATCTCTAAAAACGTTTAAATCCCATTAAATAAAACATGTTGATCGCCCATCAAGTTGCACACTACTCGATGCACACATACAAATGGCAGAAAATGCGTGACGATAAAGCAAATGTATGAAGGAATGCATATGTGCAGAATCGAATAGCATATCTTCTCTGCCTTGCAGTGTGCTGGGTAAATAATGCCCGACACGCCACGTGCAAGCAGCATAGTATCTACATGATTTTGTTTGTTTGTTCCATGTCAAATGCAGCCAATTTAGAGTAAAAAAATTACTTTTCATCAAAGTTCTGTAATGCCAACTCAGTGCAGGCAACTTATAAAACACGCATTCTCATCGTGTATGACAAATGTATGCTACTCTACATCGAGTTTTAAATCCAGCCCTATCTATACACTCTCACAATGCCTTTTAAAAATCCAGCATGTCATTTGAATCAAAGGTCATGTTTCTTGATTATCACTCAGTTCACTGACAAATAAAACGAGCAGAACAGGTAACGTATATTCTTGGTTCTATATGAATCCCTGCAGTCACGAAAGCTTTAAATCGAAAGGTAACGTATATCCATCAGTCGAAAACGTGTGTAAGTACACAATTACGTCTCCTTGCGTAGAAAAAAACCCTAAGCAGCTTTAGGTTTTTACCGGTACATTAAACCAGATATATAAGTATCCTATATTACATGGTATTTTTCTATGCCACTTGATGGTTCTGTAATGTCCTGAAGCAGTGAAGTGAATATACTTGCATCCTTTGCAGCTGTTGTATACACTCTGTGAAACGTTGTAACCTTTGCTAACAAGACTTATTCTCCAATAGCGTTTCCCAAACTGCGGCATGCGTATATCAGCAGTGGTTATATGAGCAGTCTGTCGGCGACACGCCAAATCATGTATATATGGGTACATATGTATAAAACTATAACACAGTGCTAAATATTTTATGTCGTTCAGTACAAATAGTTTTGAGAGGTTATATTACCATTTTGTAGGTGGCACATCGGCTTAAGTTGTTTAAAATTATGGTATGTAAGTTGAACTTCTTTCGCACCGTACATAGCTAACCGTGCTAATCGGAGGTGCGGGGTAAAAACAACAATAAGAGTGAGCCAAGTTTGGGAACCGCTGCTACACATTACTTAAAGCCAAGTTAAAATGCAGCAGCAATAGAAAACCCTTACCTGTATACACTCGTCGAGATGCTGGGGTTAAACGTGCCAGGTGGGGCAAGCGCTTGTAGTGTCACGCCTCGGAATTCCACCTAGTGGCTTTATAGCCACAAGTTCTACCCAAGTACGCACGTACACTTACAGGCAAGTGCGCAAAAAGGCCAAGACCCAACCCAAGCCATGGGTGTGCCTATTGCGTATCTATTTAATGAAGCATACGCACAAACCCTCACACAACGCCCTCAAAAATATTTAGCATTGTATTTTTATTAAAGTTTTTGTTTAGTGGTTATGAGTGGTTACAATGATGAATAAGACTCCTGTATCAGAAACAGTTTCAACCACACCGACATCTCCGTACACACATCAAGGGGTGATATATGATTTTAGCATGCGAAAGTCTTATTTGAACAAAGTGGTTAAGTTGACAACACAGCAATGTGTGATGTATAAAACTATTCATGCTGTAGGAACATGCACAGTTGAATAATTAGGGCAACATTAACCGCAGCATAAACAATAGAGGCCTTGTTCGAAGCCTGATTTTATGTTTGATAATATATGATGGACAAACAGCCAACAGTCTTGCTGTCGAAACAGATGCCACCAATTCTCTAAACAGCACATGTTCACGTCACACCAATCAGTCAGACATTCACTGCCAACGTCACACTCTCATGTTGTTGGTCATCCCTTGGGTGTGTGTTGACGGAGGCAATCTCGCATTTGTATTAATGAATCCCGTTCACATGGGGACCCTGAGAAGATGAACAAATAAACAACAAAAAGAACCAATCACAATACACATACATTAACATTGTTAACTGTAATGGAATTTTTTGTATCAACTTGTATACGTACATCGCATATTAAACCAATGTCTATGTAGGAGGTTAACGTCCAATAATTGTATGTTTTTTGTGGGAGATTTTTTATCATGCATCGATGAACACTTGGGGGTATCCTACATTATTATGACAACACTTTCTGATACAATGTTGATTTGAGGCTTTTGTGACTGCAGGAATCCATGCTCTTTGGTTCTTTCGGTAAAGTCACGTAGAAAAATAATAACAGATCACGACGTTTCGATCGCCACACAAGAAATCGTCCTCGGATGGGAACGATTGCTTGTGTGAGGACGATTGCTTGTGTGGCGATCGAAACGTCGTGATCTATTATTATTTTTCTACGTGACTTTACCGAAAGAACCAAAGAGTATACTTTCGTCCGTGCAAGCATCTTGCCTCATTCTTTTTATCGGTAATAATAACAGCAGCACAATCCCATCAGACACATTCACAAATGCATGCTGTACAGGCTGTCATTTTTGTCAACAGCCTCAATTGTTACCTTTTATGAAAAAAGCGTGAAGCATTTCAAAAATATCGACTGTGAGTGTTCAGAGGCAACATCATTAACGAGGCTTGTAGGTTTGATAGCAAACACACGCGGAAATGTTTATCGATATTCAATATGTATGACACTCATGGAAAATGATAATGCTTGAGGATCAATAGCAAAGTCATACAATAAAACACTTCACTCAATTTGGGTAGCAGGGTGGCATAATTGTTGTGGTATGGGACTGTCTGCCTTGCCCAAGCTTCTATTTATTAATAAATCGTCAGGAATTGATATACTTTTGTAATTTGCATTTATATGTGTATTTATTTATTTTGAGTGACTTGCTTACCTTACCTATACTTTGCACTCCGAAAGATTTTTGCATTATTCTAACTTTCTGACTCGCCCCGACTGGACATCTGTGCAAAAAGAGCTTCATAGCTCATTGGATGCCTTAGGTCGAATTTAAGATTCTGATTCTGGTAAGACTTGCACGTCACAACAAGAAATCCAAAAGTTCAATTCCAGACTCGAACGCCTTTCTGTGTGGAGTTTGTATGTTCTTCCCTGTTTTTGCACGAGTTTCCTCCAGGTCCTCCAGTCGGCTCTCATAGCTAAAATAATCTTTTTAAAAACTTTTTTTTAAACACGCTTTTAAGAAATCTACTAGTAATGGCAGAACTCCACGACTCCAGGAAGTGGCCCCGAAGCTTGCCATAACGTAAGGGACCGTAGCCAATTACAGCCAACGTCAGTTGACCGTGGACCATTAGACCCAAGCCGAAACATAACATATAAAAAATAATGTAATTTTTTTTTATGATAGAATATAGTATTGTCATCAGTATATGACATAAGTATACCAAGTTTGCAGTCGATACAACATTGGGAAGTGGGTTAAAATTGAGTTACAAGATTTGAGGATACGACAACAACAACAGAGTTAAAAGAAATCGTGCAAAATGGTATTTGCCAAACACACCATCGCTAAAAAATCACTAGCAAATGGCTTAATTGGGATGACACTTAGCAAATTCATCCTTTACTGCAAAAGAAAACGTGTCAGAAACCTCAAAAAGGGTCTTGAGGCTCAGTGAGGCTTTGATTGGTAAACAAGCAAAATAAAATAATGCAACTAACTTTCACAAATAATCACTTAACAGTACACCATTGAGCCCTCTATTTAGTATTATTACCAAATATACTTTAAGTGATAACGACCATATCTTATTTAGCTATAACATATTTTTTTAACGTTAAAAACAGCACCCAAGAGACAGGGACAATTAATTACTTCATCGCTCGACTTCATATCTCCTGTTAATAAACCCATGCTGCAGAGATGCCAGTCAACACACCTTGAGTTGGGTGGAGTGCAGTTCGTACCAGTGCAGTTCGGCATCACTTTGGTTTGTATGGGAGGGAAACCAGCTCTTTCTGTTCCATGAGAGATTTTAGAACGCACGACCGTAAAAAGAAAAATTGTAAAAATCACGCCAATCACCCAACCATTTCAGGGGTTTCTGAGCAGATCCGTTCAGTACACACATCGAATATAATTGCATAGCTTGTACACTACACTGAAGCTATCGATGTCATTTCAACACATTTTTATGTATAAAGAGGATACATGCATATGAAGATGATGTACAATAATAAAGACGTACACGTGATGAGATAATGGTGAAAGAAGAGGGATTCTCGTTTTTGAAGCTAAATGTACTGGTGAAAATGATTTCTGTACTGATAGATTCAAGTAGCCTCTGACCAATTCACCTGGAATGTGCCTGATCTTGTCAGATCTAAGGGCTGGGTACAGTTCGTGCTGGGATGGGCAACATGCATAAAACAGGCGTAATAGGCTGTGGGACTACAGTTTAGGGAGCAGAGGGAATTTGCAGCAAAATCCATTGCTGTACAATACTTAGAGACTGCCATGCCTGTGTTTCCCACCTTCACGAATCCCCTACAGCAACCCACGCATTACAAATTAGCTCACAACTAGTTGTGGTGAAACACAGCAATCTCTGTGTAAATCACGATTCAACAACATTTTCCATGTAAAAGAGGGATGAGTTAAATTCGTCTCAATCGGCAGTTAAAAGGCTAGAGGGAAATTTATATTTCAGAGCCATGTACTGTAGATAAACTGTGTAACGTGAAAACACAGATTCCATGTGACACACACCCAGCTAAAGAATGTTTTGGAGTGGTCCAATTCGTGATTCTGCAAACACACCCAAGCAAAATGCTATGGACAGTCACCAGTTAATGCTATTTTGAGGATACACCCATAATATTATACTTGAGAAACTCACCCCCCCCCCCCATTCTTCAAAATGGCACAGAAATAATGCATGCACGATGCAGTGCCAGATGACTGTTTCTCGTAAGACTGCATCATTATTTTAAACATCAACACTGTCTCGAAAGCTGCAGGCAATGTGACCTTCGCTTGGTTAATTTTACGTTCTAAAAAAATGAATGCGTCATTGCGAGACCGTCAGAGATGCAACAGCTTGGGGAGGCATTCACCCAGCAGTGGGTTGATCATGCCTGATGATGACGATGAGAAACAAATACTCGATTGTACAGTAATGTGTTACCTTCATCCTGTCTTCCCTTTGCTTACGGAGCAAAGTCAGAATCTCCTGACGACGTTTCGCCTGATAAAATGTTAAACACAGGAACACGATGATTTACATTCATCACACGTGCATAATTGTTCAACATGATCGGTGTAAGAAATGGTAGGCAGCATGTAATTGATGTGTGTTATTAAACGCAAAGGTGTGGGAAGCTACATACACAACATCAATAATATTATTAATATACGCACACATTTTTCATATTTGGCCCTCTCTTCCACTTTTTCTTTTAACCTTGTCTTCATGGAAAAGTCTTGCTCCTCTGTGGACATGGTAGAAAAATTACGAGACAATCATTTTACTTCTGTTCATTGGTGTTTTATTCAGACATTACAAATATCACGCCAGAAACAAATACATTTCATTATTCTTTTTTTTTATAATTAGCAACTCAATGAGTTATTTAACACTTCTTGCACGTAAAACATTTCTCAATACTGTACTTCTAAAATCCAAAATTATTACTTCACATACAAAATATACCTTTATAATGCAACATTTTATCATTAAGTGAAATAAATTTCGGTCTGTTATATGTTGTATGGGGCCGTCCATAAATGACGTCACGCACCTAGGGGGGGGGGATCAGACATTTGTGACGATGTGTGACAAGGGGGGGGGGGGGGGTTGAGAAATGTGAAGTCACATCAAAATGCGCAACTTTAAATAAATATAGACAACACGTTCTACTTAATTAAACAGACTTTTTAATAAAAAAACATTCTCCCACAACATCAGAGTGCAGCGGTACATTAAATACGCACTACAATGACAATAGTTTAAAGGGATTTGAAGCATGTTTTATTTTTGGTGGGGGGCAGAGCTTCGTGACGTCATATTTGAGGGGGGGGGGTCTGACTTTTTGTGACGCCGTGTGACGAGGGGGGGGGGGGTCAAAAATCGTCCAAAATCGCGTGACGTCATTTATGGCCGGCCCCTATGCAGTATAAATGTGTGCACTGTGAACCCAGTGGCGCCGGGCTTAGATTTCCGCCCGTGGCAAACATGAGAGGCGAGATATATCTGAACCGTGCCGAGCTCTTCCGCCTTCACAATCTCCTAGAGACCAGCGTGGTGAAGTATAGTCAAATATAAACTAAACCATTTTTTATTTTACCAGATAAGGCCCACTGAGCTATATCGCTCTTTTTCAGAAGCGACCTGACTATCACAGAGTTCAAGTTCATTGATTAGGTATAGCCCTGTGAGCCATTCGGCTCTTGAATCGGGTGCAACCGCAACAAACAAAAAACAAAAACATGAACAAGAAAACATCTTAAAGTGAATGTGACTAAGTGCAAACAGAAAATCCAAGAAAGGACAGCAAAATATTGCAGAAAAAGCACCGTACACCAACACTGTGCAAAAATCCCAGTGGGATGCAAGTCAAACAACAACAACAACCACAATACAACTTAGATTAAGGCCATCAGTCTAACAACTTAGATTAAGTCATATCACAAATGATAGCTCAACGAAGTGGCCTATCATGGAAATTTATAGAAGCAGCTATATATTCTAAACGCCGTGATGTTGATTCTAAATGTTGAGAGAAAAACCGGAGGACTCGGAGAAAAATTCACGCGACCACGGGGAGAGAGGCACGCAAACTCCAAATATACAGCAGACGTCAGGGTCGGGAGCGAACCCATGGATACTTTAAGATTTAATTTGGCTGTAAATTAATATTGTTACAATCGTGTACAATCAAACCGTGCATTGCTATTCCTTAATAAAAACACGTGGATAGCCGTCTGTATGTAAACGTGTCTGATTCATCTGCAGCTTACTTGCGTCAGTTGAAAGTGGTGCCTGAGTATCGCTTCCTGCTGAAGACACATGCCAATACAAATTCATCAGTCAGCTTGTGTTTATCTTTCACACTTTCTGTGAAGACTCTGTGTACTTCACTCTGTAAGTCCTTGAAATATCGTAACTAAGTTATAACCAGCGGTGAGTGCCTGCCAGTTTTTATTACCAAATCTCTGTGGAGTCATTCATAAGCCTACTTGTTAAACTGATCTGTGGTGTCAGTTGTGGTTTGAGATCTGTAATATCTTGTTTGATATTTGTATTATTTTATTATTTCCCTTTTACGTGACTTTACCGAAAGAACCAAGAATATCTTACCAGCAAAGCCTCATTGAGTGTCTCACTACTTTTTCAGGAGGGTCCTGCATTGTGAATGTTTGCCAAATACCTTTAATTAGTCTTTGGCTTGTGAGAGGAGACACGAGTACCCATATAAACCCCACAAATACGATGCTGCAGTATGAATAACACACCAAAGTTGCTCTCTGTGCATGTCTCTATGTGTGCCACCACCTCTCTGTCCTACAGGTGTCCATTTGATAACTGTTTTTTACCCTTTCATCTGGCAACAAAACTGACACCTTTTTTACAAGTAGTCTTGTTTGCATTGACCACAATACCTGCAGTCGGAATGCAAACAAAAAACACACAACTCTGATAATGTATGCACTGTCCTTGAAATTGATTGGTCCACACCCGAGACAGCTGTCCTTAGAGCCTAGTCTCACATGGTGTTGGACCAGATGACGCCAAGAGGCGTCATCTGGTCCAACACCAGATAAAAGGGTAAAACAATTATCATATTTAGCTACTGGCAAATGAGGTTCCAAAGGTGTCAATTTCTCGACGTGCGTCTGTGCCTCTCCAACCCAGTGCCTCTGTTGCGTCTCGACGTGCCTCTCTGGCTCTCGGTGTATTCCTTAATCGCTCAGTCAAACCCAGCCAATTGAGGCCGGGGGGCTTTATATTCAGCCGGCACACGCCACATTACCTCGAACTGCTGCTGGCTGTGGCCACGAGACGCACAAACCACGTATAGCACGCTCTGCCAGCGACCCGGAGAACATTCGGCGATGAGAAAAAATAAATTCCAGAGTTGAAGCTTTCGCGACTGCAAGGATTCATACTCTTCGGGGGGTTTTTTTCGGTAAAGTGACGTAGGTAAAACTTAATAATACAAATATTTTTAATACTTATTTCTTTTTTTACCTACGTGAAAAAACCTAAGAGTATGAGAAAAAAGAATCCCTGGCCAACTGCAACCACGTACGTGGACCCCGCTCCCTGTCCGCCACCCGCAGCCGCTGCCCGATGTCGGCCGAGACGAGACGCGACTCGAGCGGCGGCTCCAGGCAGGCCGACCTCCACAGGGCCCGGCCCACCTCCACGTCCCCCGCCTCAGAGCCCGTGAACGCGGCGCAAAGCTCCCACCAGCGGGTGCCCTCCTCCTCCTCCTCCATCATCATCTCTTCCATCGTCATCTCCTTTGCCATCGTATCTTGCTGCTGCTGCTCCTCACCGTCCCCGTCTAGGGGCGCTCGGGCCTGGCCTCCCCGCCGGTCGAGGTGCGTCATGCTCCGCCCCGCGAGACCAGGAAAGACCGTAGGCTTAGTTCGCCCTCGGCCTCAGCGCAGGCCGCGAGTCCTTGACGACGGTTGCCATGACAACGCTTGCCTAGACAACAGTTGCTATGATGCAAGCCCATTCACAGCTTCGAGATATTGCAACAAGAGTCCAAGTATTCTTGGTTCTTTCGGTAAAGTGACGTAGAAGGGAAATAATAAAACAGTAAAAATAATACAAATGATCACGACGTTTCGATTGCAACACAAGCAATCATCATCATCAGGTGTGAAAACCACAGCAAGAAAAGTGGCCACTTTTTTCAAATTTTCTTGCCGTGGGTTTCACACCTGATGATGATTGCTTGTGTTGCAATAGAAACGTCGTGAGAATGTAATTGTTTTATTTGTAGTATTTTATTATTTCCCTTCTACGTGACTTTACCGAAAGAACCAAGAATATTAATCCCTGCAGTCACGAAAGCTTTAAATCTAAGAGTCCAGTAATTAGTGAATTTTGGCGAAGTCCACTGTCCTTGATGAGCTTAAGTTTTGAAAGAAAACCGAATCCCACGAAGAAAAACCCACCACTCATTGACGAGGGGTCAACAAACGTCCCCAAGTGTGGGACGTCAACCCGATTCAAGAGCCGAATGGCTCACAGGGTTATACCAAATTCATGAAACTAAAAAAATTGAAACTTTTTAAACTTCTCTGTGCTGAAATCTCCTGGCCACCTCGTGGCACCGCGGGGATTTGGGAGAAAACATGTATTAAAAAGTCTATTTAATGAAGTAGAACGTGTTGTCTATATTTATTTAAAGTTGTGGGTTTTGATGTGACGTCACATTGCTCAAACCCCCCCCCCCCGTGACGTCATTTATGGACGGCCCCTCATCGCTATTGAGGGTTCTCTAGTGGAGGCCCCTGTACGTACGTGGAACTTCTTTCGCACCATACGTAGCAACTGTGCTAATCAGAGATGCGCGGGGGGGGGGGGGGACAAGCTAAACACAAAACAGTTCTTAAGAAGTTATTCTCAATCTAAATTTAAAAGTACATAGCTCCAACGGCTTCATAATATTCGCCAGCAGTTGCGTGAGCGAGGAACCACAGGGCTGAACCTTTGCTTTTTTTACCCTCACCACAAATCCATGCCTTCAATACGTTCACCTCCGCCTTCATCATCCACTTTATAGGATTGACCTTCCCCTGCGGCTTAAACCGAACCGGCCGAGCCAGCCATGCAACTTGGCCGACAGGAATCAACTCGCAAATTGGGCAGAGTCGAAGAAGCCCAATCACTTAAATAAAAAAAATACCCTTAATCCAGAAAGTAAATCTTCACCGTCAACACTTTTTCAGGGAGGGTGCTGCAATGGAATGTTTGACCAATTTTAATGAGCGCATTTGTGGTATGGAAATCCGAGCACCCGCAGAAAATCACATTCCACGGAATAACAAAAAGCTCAACCCAGATTATTTCCTGCACTGCCATCTACTGATCTCCTCGCAGCAAAGCTTCATTGTGATTCACAGACGGACGTGACCAGAGGTCGCAACCAGGTACCCGATACCCGTACCCTACCCGATACCCGGCTACCCGTACCCGTCTGGATACTGGTACCCGTTTGCGACCCTGGTGCGGCCGGGTATGGGTACGGGTAAGGAATCAAAACCCATTTGCGACCTCTGGACGTGACCCACCAACCCGTACCTCCAGTTCTGGATGTGCAAATCAGCAACGCACATTCGACTGTTTGGCAGCAGCAGAGGAAATGCATTCTCTATCAATGCAGTGTATTTCTGGAGTTTAAAAATCTCAATTGAAAGAGGAAGAAATGCCCAACTTTGAATTAAAACAAGTTTTCATCTTCCCAGTCATACGAGTTACGTAATAGACAATGACGACGTGTAATTGGCAGTGGTTATAAAATACACACCCAAGAAATGACACTTATTTGATGCTTGCATTAAATTATGAAATTGCTAATTATATAATGCGATTTTGTATCTGCAAGCATTTTGTATCTGCATACCAATTACTATTCGTTGCCAATTCTGAAAAGTAATGACAATGAAAAAACAAGCTGATCGTTTTAATCATTCATCAGGATATTTGCACGCATTTCACGTTATTAATGCATTAGCCGTTTTAATATTTTAAAGTATGCACATTATTACACACTTGTTAAATAGAGTATTGGAAGCAAATGAATGACATTTAACACTATGTACAAAAAACACTTTTAATCATGCCGTACAATATCACCGTGTTCAATGCACCTTTTATATCTACACCAAGTTGTACAGATTCTGTATGTGTAGCATTAGCTTTTTTTTCTCATGCGTAGAACCTACAGCCATGACACAAGTACCAAGCGCTGCGTGATGTGTGGGTATTCAGAGCATGCGCCCTGTCTGTGGCATGAGTAGGAGCTCTCTCTGCAGCACAGGGTCGCCCCCCACTGGTACGCGCCGGCCCCCTGCCGTGCTGTCCGTCACCAGCGTGATCTTGTTGAACACTCCGCGACCAAAGTATTTGGCCACGACGGAGAAGCCATCCGATGAATGCTGCAGCTGTCGAGAGACAATCGTGACAGAAGAGTATAACTTATTTCAGCAATATGTAATAAAGCAGGAACTTTATACATAGCGGTTAACGACCCATTAAAATGTGATATTTTTCCAGGGACCATAATTACCAACAGAAAATTTGGCATTGTCTACAAACGTTGTTTTTCAAATCGAATTGTTATAATTTTATGAAAATTAGAACTATAAATATTCAGCAATTTTCCATTTGTGTTTTATTATAGGGAACAATTATTCTGTTTATCAATGTTTCAAAAGTTTTGTGTGGATGACTAAGCCAACAATTCTAGATTTGAAGTTTTCGTGACTGCAAGGATCCATACTCTTTGGTTCTTTCGGTAAAGTCACGTAGGTGAAAAAATAAAAAATAAAAATAAGATAAAAAATAAAAAATCACTAAATAAAATCACGATGTTTCTTATTTTTTTTCACCTACGTGACTTTACCAAAAAAGCCAACAATTGTTGGATATATTTACCAAATGATACAATACCTCATGGTTATAACTAAATAAATCAGAATGCTCCCAATCTCATCAGATCTCAGAAGCTCACCAGGTTGACCCTGGATAGTGTGCGGCAGGGTGGCCACCATGCACATCAGATTCTTAAAAGCTCCTGGGTAATGTAGTGGGTAGCAGAGGGCATTGCAGCAAAAATCCACTGCTGTGTTGTATTTATATGTATGTATGTTTAACTTCTTTCACACCGTTCGTAGCCAAACGTGCTAATCGGAGATGATACCATGTGTATGTTCACTGCCTTCTCCAACCCGGACTGACCGGCAGGAAGTGTGGTCAGGTAACCCCCACAACCACATAGAACATCGACAGCCCCTCTCATCCATCAGTGAATTCACTAAAGGGCTGTACACACACACACCTCGTGGTGGAACGTCTCGTGCAGGTCCCGTGAATGCTCTTGAGCGCGAATGCGCTCCTGCAGCTTGCGGTTTTCGGGCAAACAGGCGGGGCACTCGGCATCGCTCTCGGCGTAGCCCTCGAAGCAGTGCTGGTGGTAGGCGTGCTCGCACAAGAAGTGTACAGATGGTAGCTCCAGCGGATGCTTGCACACGCTGCACTTTGTCACCTGAAAAATTTTCGCACTGGTGGAGAAAAAAGAAAGTTGTAAATCATCAACTTATAAAGTCACTAAACGGCTGTCTAGTGCGTTTTTTCATCTGTAAGTACCTTTCCTCGTAACAGTGAATACATTGTTGATAAGTACCGGTGCAACTCTACGGGAATTAGTCACAACCATGATAAAAATGTATGTCATTTGTTTCAAGGGTAAATAAATCATACTAGGTCTCCCTTGAAATGAAAACTTGTCTCAAAAGATATCACTTAGTTCTAAATAAAAGCCAATGAAACATAAGCATAGCTTCAGGAATGCAAATAAGTTGATAATGATGAACACAGACAGTCTTTTCCCATATTTCACACTGAGAATATTATTAGGGGTTGGCGCAATGCGCTATGAACTCAGCGACCCGAGCTTGATTTGTGGCCAAGGATAACATCAGTGGCAAGCAATATATGAACTGGTCCTAGGCCTCCCTTCACAAACCTACACTGCATTGATCAGCATGGCGAAGTATGGTCAAGTATAGGGAAGGTTTGATAAAACAGTAGAAAGATTAATTGCTGTACATTTTTTTTATTTAAAGAAAAATGTATTAACTTCGACAACTTATTATTTTCCAAAATCGAATTGTTCCTATTTCATAGTCATGCATGACGGTTATTAAAAGATCCAAATAGTTCATTAGAAACTAGATTACAGTAACAACTACTACAATTGTGTATTACAGTTTGAGTAAAACCTTGGTGGGCAAAGAGGCTTAGTGTACAAGTGGTGCTGTAACTGTGCACACACACCCATATGTATGTAAAACTTCTATGTATAACCATGCTAATCGGAGGTTTGGGGGAAGGACAACAAACTACACAAAAAGCAATTTTAAAAAAATTTGTTTTCAATCGAGATTATTTAAAAGTGCATAGCTCCAGTGATTTCCTAATATCAGAAGGAAGAGTGTTCCAGACAACCACAGAAGCGCATCTGAAAGCGCGCGATGCGGTGACCATCTTTGTTCGATGGCCAGTCAAAAGCTGCTGTGAGGATGACCAGAGTTCGTGTGATGGTTTATTCTCCAGCACATATACACACCTGGTGCGCAGCTCCTCAATATGGCCACGGATCTTCTCCGTTTCCTCTCGATACCCACGCACGTACTGCTCATCCTCCGCTATCTGCTCGCACTCTGACTGTAGCCGCCGGATGATGTAGTCCTTGATGACTGCCAGTGTGGCTGTTGAGTTGTGAGCCAGGGTCTGCACCACTGACAATATGTACGTACCACAACAGAGATTTAATAAGTTTAATATCAGGAACATTTGACCAAATCACCCAGAAGAATACGTTCGACCCCACAGATATTGAAAACTCGGCACGGTGGAGCCTGGATAGAGCTTGGAAGGGCAACCACGATGCACACAACAGGTGTTATAGACTGCTGTGGGATTGTTGGGGGCCGCGCAGCAACATTGTTGAACTGTCCTTCTATGCTCAGAACCACCTTCAAACCAAACCGCACTGACCAGCATGGTGAAGTATGATCAGATAACCCCTCTCCCTATTACCTATAGGGTGTATGGAGGCCCTCATCCAACAATTGATTGACAATGGTATGTACATTAGGAACTGTGATAATTATAAATGTCGAAAAGAGCATTTAACAGTCATAACATTGACAATGTTTATGAATGCGAATGTGCAATGTGGCTGCGGTGGTTTTACCAAGAAGGGGCGGCATGAGGTTGTTTTGGTCGATGTGCTGTAGCACCTCCGTGATGAACGGCCGACAGTTTTCCTCCTTCCGAGCAAAATATCCCAGGGCCTGCTCCCAAAGGCAGCTCTCACGATCACTGTAGCGCTTGCACGCTTCGATTACACGTTGGTAGTCATCGCTCTCCATGTGAAACCGCACTATCTGCTGATATCTGCTCCGGGAAACAAATACGCAGAATTCTTATATCCACACACATGTAATGATGTAGAAAATCATTACGGTCACACTTGCCAAAGGAGTGCATTTAATGAGGCATCCAGCATCTGCTGTTGCCACACTGTGCTTTTCTTCCCTAATTGCTTCACTTTATCATCCCATACCCTTAGGCTCTCAATCTTCGGAATAAATGTTTTTTTGCAATATCGCAAATAGTGCTCAACAACGGATGCTCATGAGTCATGGCAAACGTAACTTTATTATTCAGTAATATTTACAGAGTTCATAAAGCGGAAAATGTGCCCACTCACAGCTGTGCCTTCTCGTAGAGGAACAGAATGCCATCCTTGAAGTTGTTCATCTGACACATAATGAGGGCCTTGTCGAAGTTGCTGTTGAACGCTCCGCTCGTCAGCAAAGCCATTGTGGCATTTTCCAGGTTCTTTTTTTTCTAACTCATCAAAACGAAAGAAAACCGAGTGTCATTACTTCCATGTGCTCCTATTAGAGATAAAATGCCTGCTGCGTTTGTGAACACTGCAGCCATTTGCTCCACCACACAATGCAGTTATTAAAAAATTTAATATCTTGCATCTCCTGCTTTTCTCTTCTGTTTAAACCCTCTGAATAATATGACTGATGAGCTACAACTTGAGCCTAATCAACATGAAATATGTACACAAGCATCAACACATATTAATGTTTGCAAGGCAGAACTAAAATTGCATGATTATGAGTTAACTTAAAACAAACGTTTAGTCATCTGTGTACTTTTTATTGGAATTCAACTCACATTATGGTATGTCTAACAAACTCAATTAAAGCTGTCATTGTGTAACATGAATGTAAATATATTTTGACAAACAGCCGAACCAGTTGGGCAAAAGTATACCTACCAAACGCTCAGAAAGTTCAACCTGGTTAAGCAGTGATTGGTAGTGGTCTGTCTTATACCCCCTTGAAGAGAGGTACAAATATACAATGGGAAAATGTGTTAAGTAAAATGTCTCTGATTTCATGTATCTCAATATCTCCCACCAGCAAAAGGAGAGAAATAGAGATATACAACCCACTTAACTGTCTGCACCTACTTACATAATTTAATATCAACAACACCTAATAGCTAAGCAATGAATCGTATTCTGGTGCAGGCACACCTGTGGATCAGTCTCGTGCATCCAATCGCACAGGTAAAGCTCCAGCAAGGTGTCGTTGACACCCTGCGAACATCGTGGCTGCACCTCAGCCATGTGCTCCAAAAATGCTTTTAGCTGCTCCCGGTTATTGGCATATATGTGGATGAATTCCTCCGGGTTTGCCTGCGCGAGTACACATTTGAAAACGTCAGATCAACGCAGACAAAACGCATCCAACCTGGACCACAATTACATTCACTTAGTTACAGCAAATCCATGTACCGTTTACAGTTCAATTCGCCTTTATAGATTCATGTTTAAAAAAAGCAAACCACAGTGCCATGTGTATGGCAGCTACTTTTACAAACGTGGGAGGAAAAAACAAGGATGTGCCAGGCAGACGTTTCTTGCTCAAGAATTTGTCATGCCGTTGTTCTATTCTTGCAAACATTACAATTTAGTTTCTACTTGTTATGTTCAAAGAGGGAATTTCGTGCGACTGAATTAACGACATGTCTCGGACCGCATCCGTGAACATAAAGCAGACTTGAAACACGGTAGGACAAACACCTCAGCTGTGGCAGATCACTGTTACAATTCAGTGGGTTCACATGATATCGACTTCTCCAAGACAGAGGTTCTCTGCAAGCCATCTGGCTACCATGAGAGATTCGTTCATGAGGCGATCCACATATACAAACACAGAGACAATTTCAACTGAGAAGATGGATTCTGGCTTAGCAATCATTGGAAGGACGTAATAAACCATTTCGGATCTTAACTGATTGTGTCCACGTTTACGGTGACTTTTAGACCGCGTTCCACTCACTGACATTGACTATATATCTTGTATTCTCCGCAGGGAATGGATTCTTTGCTTCGCTGCAAGCTTCCTATCACCACTCTCCCATTGACATATTTCATTGCTTCCTCTTAGTACCTTTCACGCGACGGTCAATGGTATAGTGTATAGCACATTATATAATAAATAGTATTAAAGTGTAATGTTTAATACAATGTATAAGGTAATATATAGTATCGTAATTTTATAGTGAATATATAGCAGTGTGCTATACAGTTGAGTGGGTAGAATAAAACAGTGTAATATGACAAGGTATAGTCAATAAGCATATTAGTTGCTGCGGCACCATATTATTAACATTCCTTCCCTTAATTAATTCTAACCTTATTCCCTCCCTTTGATACTGCTAATCCTGCATAATGCATGGGCATAATGACTTTAAACCCCTCGCCAATCCTCCTACGTATCTCACAAGTAGTACTAATCGCATATCTGCATTTCCCATAAATATGCTAAATTCCTCTTGATATGCAAATTATTTTGTCAAGACGCTCTTCGCCCCTCCATTCCAGCATAAATAGTCGCTCCAAGCCTGGAGCGTGCCATTCAGACTCTGTCTACGTGACAGACCTGTTTTCCACCTGAAGACGGCTGCTTGCGTTGTGGCCGAAACGTCGTGAGAATTATTTTATTATGTTTTTATTATTTTATTACTTCCTTTCTACGTGACTTTACCGAAAGAACCAAGGAGCTGAATTAACCTTTTCAGTTTCTGCCGCAAAGGCAGAGGTATCCCCGTCGCCGCTGTGGGGATCAGCTCGCGGCCGGTACCCCGTGCACAGAACTTTGAGCAGCCCTGTCGTCTCCACTGGGGCGTACTGCACCAATGTCTTGCCGTACTTCTTCAGGTTGCTCTCGGCCTGCTCAAACGGCAGCTTGGCAATGTACACCAGAGCTTTGTGGCAGTCCTGCACACGTGAGTGACGTCCACAAAGCAGAAGGGGAAAGAAAAAAGACAAAGCATGTTTTGGGACTTGTGAAATATACTTTTGCTTACATTCACAATTACAGTTTTTTTCCCAAGGAAGATAGCAGACTGACATAATATTTAACTAGAGCATGCGATATACAAAGATGTGATTTGAGTTACATACGTTAAAAAAAACAAGATCTAGTTTTGGCCTTCAGAGAACCATAACATAGTTTGGTGACGTACCGCATACACCTGCATATCTAGTTGGTGATATACTGTGCTCCTCTGCAGCAGTCCAATACAAGAAACACACCCTGCTGGAAGACTTTATTCCCATATTTCAGTCATGAAATTGCAATATTAAATAACTGTTATGGCATGCTACTTTAATGCACCAGAGAGACGGTATGAAATGATTCGCAAAATACAGTTTAAATTGACTTAGTTTTTCACACCTGTTGTAAGGAAGCAGTAAAGCAGGGGTCCTCAAACTACGGCCCGCGGGCCACATGCGGCCCGCCGAGGACATTTATCCGGCCCATGGTCACTAATTGGGCTGGAGGGGCTGCCTGCTGTTTTCCCGTGCTGGTCAGTGACAGACAGCCGAGGAGTAGGAAACCCAATTTAAATGACAGTAAGTGCATTTATATTCTGATTGCTATTCAGTTGTATGAGGTTATATGTTGTATGTTGTGTAAGCCCCGGTTCATACTGTTGCGATCTCTGAGCAGTGCGAGTTCAGCCATATGCTTGTATGGCTGAACTTGCATTAGATTCGGAAGAAAAAAGGCACATGTGCCTTCTTTTTTCCTGCAGTGGAATCGGATCGCATGGGTCTTCTCCCCCATGCGATCAGATTCCTATGCGAGTTCGCAGATCGCACTGCGATCTATGAACAAAACTGCAGGTGTAATTAACTTTTTAATGGCACCCGCACCAGTGTGAGCCTGGGGTAAAAGCGGAGTTCCCCCAATCAGACTGCATTGATGGGCAGTGCAGTCTGTATGTCTCTGTGTGGGCAAAGTTATTGCTGGTATATTGTTTTTGTAGCGCTGTATATATATTGGTATTTTACTAATAGCAATTTTGACTCCCTAGGAAACAATGATGTCAAGAAAGAGAAAAATTGACTCGGAGTGTAGGATATTCAAAGAACAGTGGACTTATGATTACTTTTTCATGCAGTACAAGGAAAGAGCTGTGTGTCTGATATGCCAGAATATAGTGTCTGTGTTCAAAGAATACAATTTACGTCGACACTATGAAACTCAACATAAAGATAAATATGATTGTTTGGTCAGAGAAGTGAGAAAAGATAAAATATTAAAACTGAAAAATACATTAACAACTCAGCAAAATACTTTTGTGAAGCAGAAGCAGCTAAATATTTCATCACTGCGAGCAAGTTTTCAAGTTGCTAAGCTAATAGCGTGTACTGGCAGACCATTCGTGGAGGGAGAATTTGTTAAAGAATGCCTTCTTTCTGTTGCCAAAGAGATGTGTCCAGAGAAGGCCGATTTATTTAGTACAGTGAGTCTTTCAGGACCTACAATTACACAGAGGATTGAAGAAATGGGAGACAATTTGCATCAGCATTTGCAAAACTCCACAAAAAACTTTCCTATTTTTCCTTGGCACTCGAAGAAAGCAATGATGTTCGTGATTCTGCACAACTTCTAATTTTTATTCGTGGGACGAATGACTATTTCGAAGTCACAGAAGAGCTTGCTGCACTGCAAAGCATCAAAGGAACAACTACAGGAGAGGATATCTATGAAAAGGTTTGCCAAACTGTGAATGGTTTGGAGCTGAACTGGGCTAAACTAGCCAGTGTGACAACTGATGGTGCTCCTAGCATGGTGGGGTCTAAGAAATGAGTAATTGGTCGCATTAACCAAGAGATGGACAAACATAACCATTCTCATCCAAAAGCCATACCCTGCCTCATCCACCAACAAGCACTGTGTAGTAAATCACTGAAGTGGGACTCTTATGAAAATTGTGGTATCTTGCGTTAACTTCATTAGAGCTCATGCACTAAACCACAGACAATTTCAGGAATTTCTGTCTGAGCTAAATGTTGACTATGAAGATGTTCTGTACCACACAGAAGTCCGTTTGCTGAGTCGAGGGAGAGTTTTGAAACGTTTCTATGACTTACTTCCACAGATTACAGCTTTTCTGCTTTCAAAAAACAAAGAAGTACCAGAGCTCAATGATGCAGAAGGGAAATGGCACCTTGCCTTTCTGACAGATGTAACAGAGCTACTCAACAGTTTCAATGTACAACTTCAAGGAAAGGGGAAGCTCATCTGTGATATGCAATCACATGTCAAAGCATTTGAAGTAAAATTAGACCTCCTTATCAAACAAGTGAAGGAGAAAAACTTCTGCCATCTCCCCACAACTCAAAATCTGTTAGCGGAAAAACCATTGGTTGCATTCCCAAACAAAACATGTGTGGATTCACTGGAAAAAATTGCAAAAGGAGTTCCAATTTAGATTTAAAGAGCTTCATCTCCATGAACAGGACATACAGCTTTTCCATAACCCATTTTCTATTGACATTGAAAATGTGGATACAATTTACCAAATGGAACTGGCTGAACTGCAGAATTGTGACTCTCTGAAAGACGCATTCAAGTCAAGCAGCCTTCATAATTTCTATGCATCTCTCCCCTCTGAGACATATCCTCATCTCAGGAACCATGCACTCAAAATGGCAACCATCTTTGGCAGCACTTATGTCTGTGAACAGACTTTTTTCAGAATGAAACATTTGAAATCTCCAACCAGATCTAGACTAACGGATGCACACTTGCATCACTTGTTACAACTAGCAGTGACAAATATGGAACCGGACATTGACCATCTCATTAGCCAAAAGCAGGCCCATAGTTCCCATTGAAATACTGGCAAGTTTGTTGATTTAACTTTACTTGTTCTTCATTTTAAATATTGTATTTGTTCCCGTTTTGTTTCTTCACTTCAAAATAAGATATATGCAGTGTGCAAAGGAATGTGTTCATAGTTTTTTTAAACTATAGTCCGGCCCTCCAACGGTCTGAGGGACAGTGAACTGGCCCCCTGTTTAAAAAGTTTGAGGACCCCTGCAGTAAAGCATTATGATTAGTAAATCATAAAAAGCTTTCTAGACTTGAAGTTTTCGTGACTGCAAGGATTGGTTCTTTCGGCAAAGTCACGTAGGTAGAGAAAATAAAATAAAACAAGACGTTTCGGGCGCAACACAAGCGTCCGTCATCAGGCGGGGACAACCACAGCGAAAACAATCGCAGAAGTATGCCAAAGAGATGACTATGACAAGGGATTATATAGGAGCCTCCTTTGAGTCTTGCTCGTCTCTTACTGGACATCTGTGAAAAAAAGCTTTATAACTCATCAGATTCCTCCAGTATAAATAAATATTCTGATTCTTGCTAGAACTCTTGTGAGATTAACACAATTTTAGTGATAAAGTGGTGAAGCTTGCAGAGGTCATGGCTAAAAAGTAACCTTGATGTCTTCGAGCTGGATCTTGAGGTACCACTCGTGCTGTGCGTCCTTCTCAGCCAGGTAGAGCGCGTGGTCATAGTATCCTGCCTGGCGGAGCACCTTGATGGCCGTCTCGACGTCGAACGCCACTTCACTCGTCTGTTAACATAACAGGTGCGCACGTTTAACGTTACAATGCAAGCTACAATTTTCAACAAAAGAAAGTGTTGCTGGGGAAGACATTTCTTTGTTTGTTAATCATCTCCAGACAAATGTATAATGGTGAAGGTAATCATTCATAGCCCTTATGTCAATCCACTGCTGTATGAAGGCCTTCACATACCAGGTCAGTCATGGGGCTTGAACATATTTTACCACACAGATCAGTGTAGATTAGTCCAAATTCCCATTTAAGGACCATATATCCACATGACGAAATGTTCTCCACGATGCTAAAGAATTAATACAGTAGTAGTTTATACATCAATTTGGAAGTAATACAAAATATTACTTAAGTACACTCCAGCATACCTTTATGAACTCTTCCAGCTTAGAGCTGTCCTTGAGCTTGGTATAGCAGTTGAGCAACAACGTGGTGTGGTCCTTGTTTGCTCGGGATTGGCGATGCAGGGCCTGCAGGTATGCCGTTAAGTTGTGGATTCGCTGAGCGTCTAAGAACTTGCGAATGACATACGACGGCTCCAACTTGCCAATGGTCCTGGTGAAAAAATAAACCTCATTCAACACTACACATAGTATACATCTCATAAACCAATGCTCTAAATTTAATGCACATTTATTGCACTCATGTGTTAAGTCACAATTCAGATACTTTCACGTAAAATAACACTGGTCAAAAAAAAAAAACTTTTTTTCTGGCCTGGACTTTTGCAGCAGCTGTTTTAGACTAATTTCAGGGTGCTGATTCCAAATCTGATCTCAGATTTGCTCTATCACATCTCATTTTATGCTATCGGCATACCCCATTTTCATTGATTTTACCCGAAATTAACTCTGTCACTTATGATTGCAAGTTGTTGCGAGTCAGTGACTGCTTTAGTGTTAAAATATGGTGCTGTATTTTTAGGATAGTGTGTTTATAATATCATTTTATGTAGATATCCACATTTATTTAATATTTTCTTCTGCCGTTTTTATTGAAAATGCAATATTTGATATCTCAAAAACCTGATGTGATAGACAAAAACTGATGCCAGATTTGGAATCAGCACCCCAAAATTACCTTAAAACCGTTGGAATATCTTATGCCAGAAAAAGTGTGTTGACCAGTGTTATTAATAACATCATAAGAATAAAGACAAGTGCTCTCAATGCAGTGTTCGTATGCCTCTATCAGCTGACGCACCTTATGTACTGCTGGATGGCTCCATCGTGATCTCCCTTGCTGTACAGGTGATCCCCATACTGCCGAAAGATCTCTGCTAATCCATCCGTGTCCAGGTGTTGTGTCTTTGCCACGCTGATAGCCAGCACGTACAGATTTTTCTTAAACAGCATCTGTTGTGATGGTAATTAAATGCATGTTACTGCTACTGTACCTGGTACATCCATCATGCCTGAACCTAAGCTCAGCTGTCACACCCAATGGATTTCATAATTTTTTCAACATTTACCCATTTTTGTTGGAGTGGCACCTTTGGTGTCATCTCATCCCTGTGACCACCTACATAGGAAGGCTACTGAATACATAGAGACTCATCTAAATTCCTTTTGGTTCTAGAGTTAAAAGCAGAGTGACTGACAAGTGTAAAAACTCTTTAGATAAAGCAATACTAATATAATTTGAAAATAATGTAATTCAGCCATCCATCAATTGGGTGCCTTGAGTGACCTGTTGCTCCATTCAAAGTTTTCCGCCACTCTCCAATAGATTTACATTATGGAAAAGAAATATTTTTTTCCCATTTTTGTTGAATTTTCTTATTCTTGAACTATTTGAGTTATTTTATATATATATATAAGAGCAGAAATATAACCACCTTTGAACAAACCAATAATAGTAAGATAATGCAGACAAGGAATATATCAAACAAATTATTTTGTTTCCTGGTCTTTTGAATTCTTTAGGGTGGAAAGGATCGATTTGTTTTTGTCTGGTACAATAAGTTAATGTTCCTTACCTCCAGCTTGGTCTGCGTGTCCTTCTCATGCAGGGCAACCAGCTTGTTGTCGCCCGTTAATACAAAGAGGGAGCCCCACTCCACCAGCACGTCCACCACGTGAGGGAAGGGTGCCGAGTAGGCAATCAGCTTGTTCTCCAAGTCGTACACCGTCACCATGTGCATGTCCATCGCTTGCCGGTCCAAGCCACTGCCGGACGATCTGTAAATTTAACATCTGGTCTTCATTACAGAAATTACCACCGTCTTTAAGAGTCAGTAAACAAATTATTAGCCCAGAGAAAATAGATTTTAAAATGTCATTGCCAGACACGTTACCCTTATACGGAAAATAATATTACGGAAAATAATATTACGTAAAATAACCCCCCACAATGCGCACGGCGTGGGGAGGCCCTCATCCAGAAGTGAATTCCAAAAAGGGCCACACAGGCAGATTTATTAAAATTGGCCATTTATATTGAATTACTCATTATCATCATCATCATTGATCACTCATAAAGGTTCGACATTTCTCAAATGGGCTGCACGAAACGTGGACCCACCTAGGCATGGACTTCGAGTCCTTGGAGACGACGACCAGGTATCCGCGGAACCAGCACACGAGGCGTTTCTCTCCCTCGAAGGCGAAGCAGGGCCCACGCTCCTCGGGCTGGTACATGTACACGCAGTCGTCGCGCGCCACGATGAACTGATTGTCCTGCGAGAGGTCGCTGAGCGTGGAGCAGCGCAGGGCACATCCGTGGGGGTCCAGCACGTGCCGCTCAATCTTTGCCTGGAGTATGTATGACTAGGGAACGTCAAAACAAGAGTAGAGAAGAAACCTTAGTATTTAGAAAACATGTAGAGAACATCTACGACCGACAAGGAGCGATTATTCAGCACGTGTGTAGATGCTACATCGTTTGTGTTCACGACAGGACTGACAGATGGCGACTGCTTGTGTAGGCCTTCATTCAGCAGTGAACAGATCATGGTAGCTGATGATGTATATGTAATGCATTGTTTGAAGCCACAGTAAAAAAAAATTTTACAAATACAATGAAAATACTTTTTCTTATTTATTTTAAAATCAATGGTTGAAGCTACAAACAAGCTGAAAATTAGTATAAGAGAACAGTGGGAAAACATTGTTCATTTTAAATGTTTTATTAAAATGTGACATATGCAGTGTGATTTAAATGCATCAAATATGAATATTCAATAAAAAATATATATTCAAATACGGGTTCTTAATTTTTCAGCATAAAGGCTGGCAAGGTGTATGTTTTTTTTGTATCTGTTATTAAACCACACAAATGGATATAGTCACCTGCACGTTGTCGGTGGTCACCACGAAGAGGTGCATCACCTTGCCCACCTGGCGGAAGGCCAGGCCCGTGATGGGGTACGTGCTCTCATGCACCACCTGTGTCTTGCTGTGGCGGTCACGTGTGATATCTCCCTTGATAAGTACCACGCTGCCGTCCGTGAATCCTGCAGCACAAACGCAGCAGTGGCCCTCACTTGCAAAACTTGCAAAACAGCAGCCAGTAACCGCCCACGCATGACAAAACATTTCAACGTGTCCAAATCCAACCGTATCTCAGGACGCTGTACAGAAACAGTAGGTCGGTTAAATAAATGAAGTAGGCCCATTGGCAGAGGAAATAATGAATGCCTTGAGCCTGGACTTAACAGTGGCAGGAAATCAACAACACAAATTGGTCGATGGCAATTTTAGACAATGAGGGTAGCAGAGGAAAATGGTCAACTTACAACTGAAGGACAGTTGATTGAGGAATTCGTTGAAAACAAAATGTATGTTTCCTGGTATTTGGATTATATGACCATATTTCCAGGGTCTCTCGTTATCAATGTTCACAAATGCTAAAACACTCTCCAAGTGTCAGGCATTCACCTATGCCCATGTAGTTGAGGCCCTCATGGATGGCGAGGCAAGTCACTTCGGTCGGCTTGTTGCTGGGGATGGCTCTGAAGATGCGGCAACACAGTGGGATGCCCGTCTTGTCACGTTTGTCCATATTCCACACTTTTACCTATGTTGACGAATAGACAAAAATACGTAATTGAGCAATTTCCTCAGAGAGTTATACTTAATAGGAAAGCCAATTTGTTTAATAAGCAACATTATTTAGCGATTATAAGTAATAAGTGAATGCCATGCACATGTATAATTCAAATGTCTTGAATTATTGAACAAAACTAAAGATTAGAGGTGGCACAATGACCAGCGTGGGCCCTGGGCCCCTTCTCCAACCCACAATGACCAGCGTGCTGGCGCCTGGTCATACGACACCATGACCATGGGTCGCCAACCTGCGACTCCGGAGTCGCATGCGGCTCTTTAAGGACTTTCTTGGTGACGCTATTTATTAAGGACCACAATCGTGTATTCACAAACATTTTTACAAAATTCGGAAAAATGGCTCTTGTTATTTTGGTTGCCGGCTCCTGCCCATGACCGAAAAGGGTGGGTAGGCCTTCACCGAGAAGTGGATTTACAAAGGGCTATAAATTAATCTATTTTACGAGATGTGTATTCAAAACCAGCGTTTTAAAATATCTAATTAGTGATGCAGTTACTTGACAATGTGGAATATCGATTTGCAATGCTTCACATTCCCATTGGCTGCAAAACGAGCATCAGAATTGACTTGCCATGGGGTTGATTCCTTGCTCGTCTTCGCCCACCGACACGAACAGGTTGTGCTGCTTCAGCTGGTACAGGTGCGACACCCGCAGTTCGTACGCCTTGAAGCTGCTCAGCTGCAGATTCCGATTGAGGAAGTGAATGTTCCCTTCGAAATGTGCGCGTGTTAAGGAACTTCAAGAGCATCGCACGAGTTGTCACTGCAGACATGTTCACAGATTATGCCTAACTTTCCATAAAATACAACTCATCTGCTCTATTACCCACACAATTGTCAGTTCATATATAACATGCATTTCCTGCCTGTGACGCTATCAATGTAGTCCCAACGCAAACCCTGATTTGTAAATTTGAATTCCATTTGTCCAAACCTTTGTGTTGGTACAAGTGCGCGGACACAACCTTATTCGAGCCAGTACAGGGGTTCTCAACACTGCGAGTCGGGGCAAGCTGCGTGGAATATCGCGCAGGAGACATTTGGAACGCGCACAACTTGGGGGCCACGTTGTTGCATGAAACATGAAGACACCGCACACGACAAACGCGTATCACCGGCATGGCGAGGGCATGTGATGTATGTCTCTGTAGCATTAATAACCTAGGGTGGTGGGGGGGGGGCATGGACCAGTGGTGTTGTTTTTGGGGGGGGGGGGGCACACCAACAAGTTTGATGAGACCCACCGCAATCCCCGATACACTCAGCGGTGTCTGCCCGAGAGAGCGGTGGCACAGCGGTTAGCGCACCGCGCTACGGAAGCCGCCGACCCGGGTTCGATTCCCGCTTCACGACCAACACCGGTGACGATTGTCTGAACCGGGTCTCCCCTAGGCCGACTCGGCCTCAAATGAGTACCTGGTGCGGTGTCTAAGACATCGCCGCTGCGGAAGACAAAGGCGGCCGGGCGTGGCGCTGAGCACCCACCTCCTCCTCGTGTGCCGTCTCCGCCTTCTTAGGTGCTACTCGCTGACGGAACTCGCCCCCCAAACATCCTGCGAGGAGGCGCTACACGAGGGGGGTATTTGCCTTGTTGTTTTGTGTTTCTCGCCCGACTCGGCGGGGAAGGCCAAGAGGATATCCCCGAAGAGCATCTGCCCGCGTCCGCAGGCGCACACGCTGACGTTGAGCGCCGCGAGGACCATCGAAGGCCCCGGCGCCTCCCGCGGGGTCCCGCGCCGCCTCTTTGTCGAAGAAGGCGAAGCGCCGCCACTGCAGGAACGCCATGGCTCTTATTACCCCTTCCTCCCGCTACCCGCCTCACTAAAACCCTACAACGGATCAGCGCGCCTCACTAAAACCCTACAACGGATCAGCGCGTCTCACTAAAACCTTACAACGGATTGGCGCGCCTCACTAAAACCCTACAACGGATCGGCTCGTCTCACTAAAACCCTACAACGGATTGGCGCGCCTCACTAAAACCCTACAACGGATCGGCGCGCCTCAATAAAACCCTACAACGGATTGGCGCGCCTCACTAAAACCCTACAACGGATCAGCGCGTCTCACTAAAACCCTACAACGGATTGGCGCGCCTCACTAAAACCCTACAACGTATCGGCGCGCCTAACTAAAACCCTACAACGGATCAGCGAGTCTCACTAAAACCTTACAACGGATTGGCGCGCCTCACTAAAACCCTACAACGGATCAGCGCGTCTCACTAAAACCCTACAACGGATTGGCGCGCCTCACTAAAACCCTACAACGGATCGGCGCGCCTCACTAAAACCCTACAACGGATCAGCGCGTCTCACTAAAACCTTACAACGGATTGGCGCGCCTCACTAAAACCCTACAACGGATCGGCGTGCCTCACTAAAACCCTACAACGGATCAGCGCGTCTCACTAAAACCCTACAACGGATCGGCGCGCCTCACTAAAACCCTACAACGGATCGGCGCGCCTCACTAAAACCCTACAACGGATCGGCGCGCCTCACTAAAACCCTACAACGGATCGGCGTGCCTCACACAAACCCTACAACGGATCGGCGCGCCTCACTAAAACCCTACAACGGATTGGCGCGCCTCACTAAAACCCTACAACGGATAGGCGTGCCTCACTAAAACCCTACAAAAGATCAGCGCGTCTCACTAAAACCCTACAACGGATCGGCGTGCCTCACTAAAACCCTACAACGGATCAGCGCGTCTCACTAAAACCCTACAACGGATCAGCGCGTCTCACTAAAACCTTACAACGGATTGGCGCGCCTCACTAAAACCCTACAACGGATTGGCGCGCCTCACTAAAACCCTACAACGGATAGGCGTGCCTCACTAAAACCCTACAACGGATCAGCGCGTCTCACTAAAACCTTACAACGGATCGGCGCGCCTCACTAAAACCCTACAACGGATTGGCGCGCCTCACTAAAACCTTACAACGGATAGGCGTGCCTCACTAAAACCCTACAACGGATCAGCGCGTCTCACTAAAACCCTTCAACGGATCAGCGCGTCTCACTAAAACCCTACAACGGATCGGCGCGCCTCACTAAAACCCTACAACTGATTGGCGCGCCTCACTAAAACCCTACAACGGATCGGCGTGCCTCACACAAACCCTACAACGGATCGGCGCGCCTCACTAAAACCCTACAACAGATCGGCGCGCCTCACTAAAACCCTACAACGGATCGGCGCGCCTCACACAAACCCTACAAAGGATCGGCGCGCCTCACTAAAACCCTACAGCGGATCGGCGCGCCTCACTAAAACCCTACAACGGATCAGCGCGCCTCACTAAAACCCTACAACAGATCGGCACGCCTCACTAAAACCCTACAACGGATCAGCGCGTCTCACTAAAACCCTACAACGGATTGGCGCGCCTCACTAAAACCCTACAACGGATCGGCGCGCCTCACTAAAACCCTACAACGAATCAGCGCGTCTCACTAAAACCTTACAACGGATTGGCGCGCCTCACTAAAACCCTACAACGGATCGGCGTGCCTCACTAAAACCCTACAACGGATCAGCGCGTCTCACTAAAACCCTACAACGGATCGGCGCGCCTCACTAAAACCCTACAACGGATCGGCGCGCCTCACTAAAACCCTACAACGGATCGGCGCGCCTCACTAAAACCCTACAACGGATCAGCGCGTCTCACTAAAACCTTACAACGGATTAGCGCGCCTCACTAAAACCCTACAACGGATCGGCGCGCCTCACACAAACCCTACAACGGATCGGCGTGCCTCACACAAACCCTACAACGGATCGGCGCGCCTCACTAAAACCCTACAACGGATTGGCGCGCCTCACTAAAACCCTACAACGGATAGGCGTGCCTCACTAAAACCCTACAAAGGATCAGCGCGTCTCACTAAAACCCTACAACGGATCAGCGCGTCTCACTAAAACCCTACAACGGATTGGCGCGTCTCATTAAAACCCTACAACGGATCAGCGCGTCTCATTAAAACCTTACAACGGATTGGCGCGCCTCACTAAAACCCTACAACGGATCGGCGCGCCTCACACAAACCCTACAAAGGATCGGCGCGCCTCACTAAAACCCTACAACGGATCGGCACGCCTCACTAAAACCCTACAGCGGATCGGCGCGCCTCACTAAAACCCTACAGTGGATCGGCGCGCCTCACTAAAACCCTACAACAGATCGGCACGCCTCACACAAACCCTACAACGGATCGGCGCACCTCACTAAAACCCTACAGCGGATCGGCGCGCCTCACTAAAACCCTACAACGGATCGGCACGCCTCACTAAAACCCTACAGCGGATTGGCGCGCCTCACTAAAACCCTACAACGGATCGGCGCGCCTCACTAAAACCCTACAACAGATCGGCGTGCCTCACTAAAACCCTACAACAGATCGGCGCGCCTCACACAAACCCTACAACGGATCGGCGCGCCTCACTAAAACCCTACAACGGATCGGCACGCCTCACTAAAACCCTACAGCGGATCGGCGCGCCTCACTAAAACCCTACAGCGGATCGGCGCGCCTCACTAAAACCCTACAACAGATCGACACGCCTCACACAAACCCTACAACGGATCGGCGCGCCTCACTAAAACCCTACAGCGGATCGGCGCGCCTCACTAAAACCCTACAACGGATCGGCACGCCTCACTAAAACCCTACAGCGGATTGGCGCGCCTCACTAAAACCCTACAACGGATCGGCGCGCCTCACTAAAACCCTACAACAGATCGGCGCCTCACTAAAACCCTACAACAGATCGGCGCGCCTCACACAAACCCTACAACGGATCGGCGCGCCTCATTAAAACCCTACAGCGGATTGGCGCGCCTCACTAAAACCCTACAGCAGATCGGCGCGCCTCACTAAAACCCTACAACGGATCGGCACGCCTCACACAAACCCTACAACGGATCGGCGTGCCTCACACAAACCCTACAGCAGATCGGCGCGCCTCACTAAAACCCTACAACGGATCGGCACGCCTCACACAAAACCTACAACGGATTGGCGTGCCTCACACAAACCCTACAACGGATCTGCGCGCCTCACGCAAAACCTACAACGGATCGGCGTGCCTCACACAAATCCTACAACGGATCGGCGTGCCTCACACAAACCCTACAACGGATCGGCGTGCCTCACACAAACCCTACAACGGATCTGCGCGCCTCACACAAACCCTACAACGGATCGGCGCGCCTCACACAAACCCTACAACGGATCGGCGCGCCTCACACAAACCCTACAACGGATCGGCGCGCCTCACACAAACCCTACAACGGATCGGCGCGCCTCACACAAACCCTACAACGGATCGGCGCGCCTCACTAAAACCCTACAGCGGATCGGCGCGCCTCACTAAAACCCTACAACGGATCGGCACGCCTCACTAAAACCCTACAGCGGATTGGCGCGCCTCACTAAAACCCTACAACGGATCGGCGCGCCTCACTAAAACCCTACAACAGATCGGCGTGCCTCACTAAAACCCTACAACAGATCGGCGCGCCTCACACAAACCCTACAACGGATCGGCGCGCCTCACTAAAACCCTACAACGGATCGGCACGCCTCACTAAAACCCTACAGCGGATCGGCGCGCCTCACTAAAACCCTACAGCGGATCGGCGCGCCTCACTAAAACCCTACAACAGATCGACACGCCTCACACAAACCCTACAACGGATCGGCGCGCCTCACTAAAACCCTACAGCGGATCGGCGCGCCTCACTAAAACCCTACAACGGATCGGCACGCCTCACTAAAACCCTACAGCGGATTGGCGCGCCTCACTAAAACCCTACAACGGATCGGCGCGCCTCACTAAAACCCTACAACAGATCGGCGCCTCACTAAAACCCTACAACAGATCGGCGCGCCTCACACAAACCCTACAACGGATCGGCGCGCCTCATTAAAACCCTACAGCGGATTGGCGCGCCTCACTAAAACCCTACAGCAGATCGGCGCGCCTCACTAAAACCCTACAACGGATCGGCACGCCTCACACAAACCCTACAACGGATCGGCGTGCCTCACACAAACCCTACAGCAGATCGGCGCGCCTCACTAAAACCCTACAACGGATCGGCACGCCTCACACAAAACCTACAACGGATTGGCGTGCCTCACACAAACCCTACAACGGATCTGCGCGCCTCACACAAAACCTACAACGGATCGGCGTGCCTCACACAAATCCTACAACGGATCGGCGTGCCTCACACAAACCCTACAACGGATCGGCGTGCCTCACACAAACCCTACAACGGATCTGCGCGCCTCACACAAACCCTACAACGGATCGGCGCGCCTCACACAAACCCTACAACGGATCGGCGCGCCTCACACAAACCCTACAACGGATCGGCGCGCCTCACTAAAACCCTACAACGGATCGGCGTGCCTCACACAAACCCTACAACGGATCGGCGCGCCTCACTAAAACCCTACAACGGATCGGCGCGCCTCACACAAACCCTACAACGGATCGGCGCGCCTCACTAAAACCCTACAACGGATCGGCGCGCCTCACACAAACCCTACAACGGATCGGCGCGCCTCACTAAAACCCTACAACGGATCGGCGCGCCTCACACAAACCCTACAACGGATCGGCGCGCCTCACACAAACCCTACAACGGATCGGCGCGCCTCACTAAAACCCTACAACGGATCGGCGCGCCTCACACAAACCCTACAACGGATCGGCGCGCCTCACACAAACCCTACAACGGATCGGCGTGCCTCACACAAACCCTACAACGGATCGGCGCGCCTCACTAAAACCCTACAACGGATCGGCGTGCCTCACACAAACCCTACAACGGATCGGCGCGCCTCACTAAAACCCTACAACGGATCGGCGCGCCTCACACAAACCCTACAACGGATCGGCGCGCCTCACTAAAACCCTACAACGGATCGGCGCGCCTCACACAAACCCTACAACGGATCGGCGCGCCTCACTAAAACCCTACAACGGATCGGCGCGCCTCACACAAACCCTACAACGGATCGGCGCGCCTCACTAAAACCCTACAACGGATCGGCGCGCCTCACTAAAACCCTACAACGGATCGGCGCGCCTCACTAAAACCCTACAACGGATCGGCGCGCCTCACTAAAACCCTACAACGGATCGGCGCGCCTCACTAAAACCCTACAACGGATCGGCGCGCCTCACTAAAACCCTACAACGGATCGGCGCGCCTCACTAAAACCCTACAACGGATCGCCGTGCGGCGCGCTTCTATTGGCTGCGGTCGCGCAAACCACGCGGCTCGTAGGAGCGTGCGGTACCCACGTGACCGCCGAGGCGACCAATCGGCGTCGTCATCGTGGTCCATGGGGGCGGGGTGGCAATCTGTCTGTCCGCCTGATGATGCCGGTTGTAATTACAGATTGTAAATGTTGTGGGTTTGCTCTCCTAACACACCGGTGTGTTGCTGTACCAGTAACGAATTGGCACGTTATGTTTACGTGACAAACCGTAATACAATGTGTCGTTAAACCCGCCACCACCTGACATATTGCTCGCGAAAGACGACGTCTGACAAACGTTACTAATTTGCTGTGTCGGGTGGTGGCGGGTTTAGCGACACATTACGTGATCAAAAAAGCCTTTATTATGCACTCATAGCTGTCAGCCCATACGGTTTACCCCAAATTCTTGTACGGGGAAATTGAGTTTTGAGGTCGATACGGCGTACAGCTGTTTCAATACGGGCAAAATGTTTTTTTTAATATTTGTTTGTGTTTCTCCCTTGCGATAACGACACGGGGTGACCAACGAGGTCCGACTTGGTCTGTAATACGGTAGGCACTGACAAGGGGTTGACAGGTATGTCCGCTGCACTTTCCCCTCTTGCATTTGTGCCAATGTGCTCAAGTAGTGGCCACATCTTGTCCGGCATCGATCTCGTCTGATGTCGTCATCGAGCCCATTCTCTGTTAGGTCTTCCTCTCATTCCAATTCCTTCCGTTTCTTTTCTTCCCCCGAACAACAACACTTGAAACGTTCCTGTCGTTTCCCATGATACATATATTCTTTGGGTCTTTCTGTAAAGTCACGTAGATAGTTTCAAATAAATTTTTTTATTAAAAAATAACAAAAAACTACGTTTCGATCGCAACACAAGCGTTATTTTTCTTCCTGATGACGAACGCTTGTGTTGTGATGGAAACGTCGTTTTTCTCATTTTCTTTGAACTTATCCACGTGACTTTACCGACAGACCCAAAGAATGAATTCCTGCAGTCACGAAAGCTTTAAGTCAACATCCTACATATTGTGTCCAAAGAGTGCCAGTTTCCCTTCTCTATCACTGCCTGCACCACCAACCCCACCAACCAGGCAGCCCTCCTCTGTGCAGTCACAGCCGCGCTACTGCCAGCTGCCAATTCGAATCGAGAAGGGGCTCAATCACGTGGCGCGTCGACGCGTGACGCCGACTCGCCACGTGACGCGTGACGCCGACTCGCCACGTGACGCGTGACGCCAACTCGCCACGTGACGCGTGACGCCGACTCGCCACGTGACGCGAGCTGGAGGGGCGGGGGGCGACCCCAAAATCTCCCGCTGCCCCCTCCCCTCCTCTCTCTTTATAATCACGTGACCGGCACCCCGCCGAATGGTGGGGGGTTGCACGGGTGGTGGTGGGGGGGGGCACGGGTGGTGGGGGGGGGCACGGGTGGTGGGGGGGGGCACGGGTGGTGGGGGGGGCACGGGTGGTGGGGGGGCACGGGTGGTGGTGGGGGGGCACGGGTAGTGGGGGGGGGGCACGGGTGGTGGGGGGGGGGCACGGGTGGTGGGGGGGGGGCACGGGTGGTGGGGGGGGCGGTTAGCGCTACGTCGGAGCCACGAACTCGGACAGCTCGAGTTCGATTCCCGCTCACAGCCACCGACACTACCGACGATTATCTGCACCGATAATGGGCCTTCCCCTAAGGAGGCATCCATTTAGTACGTACGCATGGAGGGGGGAGGGGGGGTTCACCCAAATCCGTAGCTTGCGAATGGCGGGGGGGGGGGGTCTACTGACAATGTACGCATAGTAAACAGGGGGGGGGGGGAGAAGCTTCGATAATAATTTGTCTAACTTGGCCTTCAAATGAGTTAGATAGTCCGGCGGTGGACTATCTGTTTGCTTAAACACGTTAATATTTTTAATGTTCGATCGTTTCTGCGTGGATTAAATATCGGCTGTTCTATAGGATTCGGGGGGGGGGGGGGTGTAAAAGTCCGCGTGCGTACAGGGAGGGGGGAGGGGTCAAGTATTGACAGATGTTTGCGTACCTACTAAATGGATGGCCCCTAAGGGCGACTCCGCCTCAAATGAGCACCTGGTGCAGTGTGTGGTAAGCATCGCCACTAGGGGAGACAAAGGCGGCCGGGCGTGGTGCTGGCCACCGAACTCCTCGTGCCCCGTGCCGGCCTCCATAGTTCGGTGCTGCTCGCGAACAGCACCGAACTATGAACAGCCTTGTTACAGGATATTACGGGGGATAATTTTGTTGTAAGGGGCCGTCCATAAATGACGTCACGCACCTAGGGGGGGGGGGTCAGACATCTGTGACGATGTGACGAGGTGCGGGGGGGTTTGAGAAACGTGACGTCACATCAAAATGCGCAACTTTAAATAAATATAGACAACACGTTCTACTGCATTAAATAGACTTTTTGATAAATGTTTTTTCCTACAACACCAGAGTGCAGCGCCACATTAAATACGCACTGCAATGACAATAGTTTAAAGCGATTTGAAGCATGTTTTATTTTCAAAATGGAAATATGGTTATGGGGGGGGGGGGGGGGCAGAGCTTTATGACGTCACATTTGAGGGGGGTCTCACTTTTTGTGACGCCGTGTGACGAAAGGGGGGGGGGAATCGTCCAAAATCGCGTGACGTCATTTATGGGCGGCCCCTTTACAGCTTATCGGGATTCCTGAAGGATAAACATTCTGTTAGGGGGGGGGGGGGTCGTGGCCAAGGGGCCGTCCATAAATGACGTCACGCGACTTTGGAGGATTTTTGACCCCCCCCCCCTTCGTCACACGGCGCCGCAAAAAGCCAGACCCCCCTCAAATATGACGTCACAAAGCTCTGCCCCCCCCCCTCAAAAAATATAAAACATGCTTCAAATCGCTTTAAACTATTGTCATTGTAGTACGTATTTAATGTGGCGCTGATGTTGCAGGAGAAGAAATGTATTAAAAAGTGTATTTAATTAAGTAGAACGTGTTGTCTATGTTTATTTAAAGTTGAGCATTTTTATGTGACGTCACATTTCTCACCCCCCCCCCGCACCTCGTCACAGATGTCTGACCCCCCCCCCCCTCTAGATGCGTGACGTCATTAACGGACGGCCCCCAAGTGACTCCCCCCCTCCCCTCGTTGCGTGACGTCATTAACGGACGGCCCCCAAGTGACTACCCCCCTCCCCTCGTTGCGTGACGTCTCCGAAGGCCCCGGATGGGCCACGCCCACATGGGTGACGCCCCACCCCCCCCGTGGAGCTGTATGTAAATGTGGCGGCCATGTTGGCTGAGGGGTGAAGTTGAAGCGGCGCTGTTCAAGGGGGCAACAGATGGTAACGGATTCGAAGGCGTCGAGAAGGACCGAGAGACGGGGGTTTTAACTGGTTGAGCGGGTTCACGACACGCGATGTTGACGCTAACTTTAGTAGGAGGGTTGCCTGTGCTGTTTTGCGACTCGCTTTGACTTGAAGCCGCGCGCGGATCGGGCTCGCCATGTTATCGTCGTCGTCGTCGTTGTTGTCAGGGGGCGCAGTGATCATGCGGCCAATATTCGTAACAGTGGCGGTCGTCGCACACACACACACACAACAACAACTATCACGTTTACAATGCTGTGTTATTGATGTTACGATCAAGCGAATAATCCATTAACTGTTTTGGTTTTATTGTATCGATTCCGAGTCGCGAATCGAATCGGGTCTCGATTAACTCGAATTGCCCGTGTCGCTTTAGGCAATTGTTATTTTATGTCCACGTGTTACATTTTTTGTTGAAATTGAATAGCGTTTGCGTGCGATTTAAGTATATTTTAACGTAAATATTGCAACGGACGTGTGAGCTTGTGCGGCGATTTCAACGCATTATTTGCGTTCCGTTATTTATATCAACATTACCGCTTAATGTCCATTATTTATATCAACATTACCGCTTAATGTCCATTATTTACTGCTCAAATGAGCATTGAGGCGGTGCTGATTTGTTGACAGCCGAGAGGCAGTCGTTGAAATTCCACATTCCAAAGGTGGGGACGAGCGTCCATCCCTACAAACTTCAGGGTCCATCCCTACAAACTTCAGGGTCCATCCCTACAAACTTCAGGGTCCATCCCTACAAACTTCAGGGTCCATCCCTACAAACTTCAGGGTCCATACCTACAAACTTCAGGGTCCATCCCTACAAACTTCAGGGTCCATCCCTACAAACTTCAGGGTCCATCCCTACAAACTTCAGGGTCCATACCTACAAACTTCAGGGTCCATCCCTACAAACTTCAGGGTCCATCCCTACAAACTTCAGGGTCCATCCCTACAAACTGGTCTTAGAGAGTTTTCTCGTCTTGAAACAACGCTACTGAAATTACGCACTCCCCGAAGGCCGTACAGCTGATAGGTTGTGTAAAATATAAATATTTTTAAATGCGGAGAGTATATATGCCTACACAGTGGTACTTTTTTAGGCAAAATAATGGGATACAGTATTGTAATATTGCATGGTAAAATATTGCAATATTGTTTGCTAAAATCGCAAAAATGGAAAGGGTAGTATTGCTTGTGTAATATTACTACTAAAGAATAAATATTTATGAACGTTCAAACTACTTTAAAAAAAAACTATGACCGTAGATGTGGAGCAGTAGATGTGGCATCACGTGGATGTGTAAATAAGAACGCCATCTTACCTAGGGGGAAGGGATAGAGAGTGGTGCTGCTGTTAGTATTGTGGGGTACGGGTGAAGGGTATAAAACCAGATGTGTTATCCCAATAGAAACAACTGTTTTAGGTTCCACGAAAACAAAATACATTTAAGTATATCCTTGGTTATTTCGGTAAAGTCACGTAGAAGGGAAATAATAAAATAATAAAACAATAACATCTTTTTTTTAGTTTTATTTTATGTTTTCATTTTATTATTTTCCCTTCTACGTGACTTTACCGAAAGAACCAAGAAGATGAATCCCTACAGTCACGAAAGCTTTAAATCGACATTTAAGTAATTAAAAATGTGTATGTCATTTAAATAATTCCTGGACCAAGTGAAATGTGTGAATTGTGTGGAATCTTTGGTTGTAAATGCATGTTTCGAATTCGAAGTGATTTCCTATTAAAATTAGCATTGAGAAATTGATGCTAGTCTCCCATCTACAGCCCTGAGTAAGTGGTGGAAATTCCACTCTCCTTTGACGAGGGCTAGTTTATCCATAGGAAAATTATGCTGTTGACTTCCCCAGAAAGTGGTACTCACGTTATCGACCCGGAGGGCTGATGGGCCGAGTTATCCCCCGAACCACGATGTGACCTCGCAAACATTGCGTTTGCGAGCCGCTCGCTCTGCCGCAGAGCCACCTTTGCTTTGAAGGTACAAAATCTTGCCTGAAACATTTGTTACAATGTTTTCTCAAAAGTGGAATAATTTTACACGTGTTCTCTTTCTGTTGTTTTATAATCTGTAGGTATCTGCCATGCCTACAACCTGTGCTGCGATTAAATGTCCGGAGGAGCGAAGCAGAGATTCGTTCATGAGGGGTATCACCTTTCACGGGTAACAGCACCGTTTGCACTTTTTCCCAACTCTGAAATATAAAATAACTTGGCAACACTTTTTTAAACACATGGTGAACAAACATTAACCACTACAAAAGTGCCTACATTCGTCAACTCTGATGCCAAGCAGGATTGAATCTGATTGATACTTAGGGCTTACCAGGTGTTGTATTCATGGGGCTTAGAGGTGTCACCCCATCGTGAGGATGAGTTTGCTCTGGGTTCTACCGTACACAAATCTATTCATCACCTTGAATGGTCTTGGCCACACATCTTGGCACACAACCCTCATACATATGCATCAATTAGATACAAAAAGAGGGCAAAGTGTAGGAATATCCATTGGTAAAATTTCTCCTCTCGTTTTTCTGAGATAGGGTCTAAAGTACCGCAACATCTACCCTGAGCCAATTGTGACACAGGTGTAGAGGAGTAGAGGAGAGTAGTGGCGTCGTGTGCGCTGTCCAGTGCGATGACGTCACGGGACGTGGGGTCACGTGCGCTGGACAGTGCACATGACGTCACGTCTCCTAGGGTACTTAAGGGATACCCCGTGTGACGTAAGCGGGGTCATTGTGGGAATGGGTAAAGTAAGCAGGGTGAAGAGGGAACCAGGTGTAGAGAGAGGGATCGAATAGGGAGTCTGGGGAGAAGCCGGTGGTAGCCGTAGAGGTGCTTCTCTCTCCGGTCGGTGGAGCCGGCAGAGTCCACGATCCGACACGAGAGAGAGAGAGACCGGAGCTAGCCGGCAGGGACCCGGACTCAGAGTAGGACCCCTAGCCCCTGGGAGTTGTGTACCATGTGTAATATTGTAACAGCTTTAATAAACCCTGGCGGAAGCCCTTAACTTACCTCCGTCTACGAGTACGTCCATCGGAACTACTCAACAAAGGGTTGAACGATTTCTAAATTTCGACACGGTTGCCACTAGGTGGCGCCAATATGCGCACAACGTATACCATAACCTCACCTGTTACGTTATTTTAACAACTACACCTCGTGCAAGTGTTTTATTTGTAATTCTGTTTGTTAATGTTTAGTTTTCCAAAGGATCCGTTTCGAAGAAAACAGTGGAGGATAGCTGTTCGCCGACAGACTCCAGATAAAAAGCTCTGGGAACCAAGTAAAAGTAGCTGTTTGTGCAGCAAACATTTTAAATTGGACATGTTTGACAAGACTGGGCAAACTGTTCGACTGAGGGACAATGCCGTACCCACAGAATTTGACTTCCCACCTCACCTGAAGGTATGTACTTTGATGTAATCTTACCTAGAAAAGTCATTTTTGTCTGTCTGTGTGTCTGTCTCTCTGTCCGTCTGTGTACGCAACTTGCGACGCTGTTAACTCACAAACTGTGGGGTTCACATTTCAAAAAAGTACCCAGATACCACACGATAAGCCCGGGGGTGAGCCAGCGCTATTCACCGGCTATCATCAGAGATTTCTTCATGAAGCCATCCAGATACAGTGAGGGAAAAAAGTATTTGATCCCCTGCTGATTTTGTACGTTTGCCCACTGACAAAGAAATGATCAGTCTATAATTTTAATGGTAGGTTTATTTGAACAGTGAGAGACAGAATAACAACAAAATCCAGAAAAACGCATGTCAAAAATGTTATAAATTGATTTGCATTTTAATGAGGGAAATAAGTATTTGACCCCCTCTCAATCAGAAAAATGTCTGGCTCCCAGGTGTCTTTTATACAGGTAACGAGCTGAGATTAGGAGCACACTCTTAAAGGGAGTGTTCCTAATCTCAGCTTGTTACCTGTATAAAAGACACCTGTTCACAGAAGCAATCAATCAATCAGATTCCAAACTCTCCACCATGGCCAAGACCAAAGAGCTCTCCAAGGATGTCAGGGACAATATTGTAGACCAACACTATGTGGATATCTCTCTCTGTGGGTTGTCCCTCTGTGTGTGTGTCTCTCTCTCTCTGTGTCTCTCTCTCCATGTGTATCTCTCGTTGACATACTGGTCTCTCTCCTCGTAGTTGCTCTTGCGAGTTTTTTGTTCTTGTTGCCCGGTTCTCTGACATTGACATGCTAATCTTCTCATTGGCACAACCGCTGGTTGCTGGAGCCGTCTCACATTGACATGCTAATCTCTAACATTTACGTACAAATACCATCTCTAGCTCCGCCCACGCGGGGGTAAAAACATTTTTTGAGGGTGCGGGGGGTCGACATTTTTCGGAAACCTTTTAGATCAACTATTTACCCCCCACTTTCTATAACTTTGGACTTCTGCAAGCCTTTTATAGTTTTGATGACAGACAAATGGACAGACAAACGGCACGCCGGGCTTTGACAATAGCTTAGTGTATGTATATGTTATGTTTTTAAGAGAAGACAAGTTTTGAAATATATTTTTCCCCCGGGCAACGCCAGGTACTTCCTGCACAATGTAAACAGTATAAAAATAGACTTTGTATTTTGAGGGGGAATAATGGATATATAATATATTGCCTGGGAAGTGAGCGGTGACGTCACATCTGTGATGTCACCCGCATGCGGCAGCGTCACGCGGTGTGGCTGCTGACGTCACGCATCCCCCCCAATTCTCCGCGTCGGCCGTGTATCCCGCACGAATGCGCGGCTGGGTGGGGGGGAAATAATGGATATAATATACTTGGACTAAACTATTAATTTACGTGCGAGGAACGGGTACACCTGCTAGTATGTAATAAAACAACCCATCAATGCTGAAAATGGGAATCTGATGCTCAGGAGCATTTTCACTTTTGAGACAACTTTTATGTTTTGGTTACATCCAGATCCAAGAATTCAAGCCACGGAAGACACGAGCAGACGTGAATTGTGAGCAAGTCATTATCTCTCCACCTGAAGACAATATATTGCCCTCTGTATATCTGGTAAATACATGCAAACTTAAAGTTTATCTGCTTCTTTCATTTTAGTCTCCCCAAATTATTAGAACAGCTTGAATAGAACATGTATGCTTTAACGTGCCTCTTTTTTAGTTTATTAATTTTATATTAATATATATATAAATATTTTTTAATACTCCACAATTTGTTCCCATTTTGAGATGACTCAATTGCAATGAAATGATGTTTCCCACATGCTATCCATGACTTGGAGTTTGCTTGGTAATCTGGTTGTAAAGTCATGCATCAATTAATACTGATAAAATACATGCCTCGAATTGTATAAGAATTTATGTTTTTATATTTATGAAACTAATACGCTAAGATAACAGTCCACTGGAGTGAACAACAATGTTCAAATGCAAACGAGATGGTGAACCGATAAAAAAATTAAATGTTGATTCCTGCATCGAATGACAAACCTGAATCATAACAAATTGATGTTTGGGGGAGGCAATTTATTGCTGCAACCCTACTTGGTAACATTTAAATTGGATCTACAGTTTCATCCAACACTGAATGCATTCAACATATGGCAAACCCGTTTTACGTACATTCTGTGCCTCAAAACCTCATTATGTAATAAATGTTTTGACTTTAAATCCATGCTGTATTTACGCATGCACACAGCTGTATTTGTTTACTTATGGATAAGGTGAAGGATTTGCATTTATCAACCGCTTCAATGCCGCAGCACCCCAAAGCGCCTTAATAAAAGAGAAATATACAAAATTACGTGCGCAAAAAATGGGGAAAACTGAAAGGGGCATAACAAAACAATGAGACAAACAACAAAAAACAAAGGGCATCGCAGATGCCTTTAATGAGCTTTGAAAGCTGCGCCTTTCTTTCTCTCTTGATTCCATTGCATGTGCACACATTCAAAGTCTTTTGAGGTTTGACATTTAAAATATATATTTTCTTCACGTATGTGTGCAGGACCATCAATATGCAATACGCAGTATTGACAAGATGAAAAAAACGTTGCAAATTGTGGAGGAGCAAAGAGATTTCTTAGCTAAAAAGCTGAGGAATGCAGAACTCAGAGAACAGCGTTTGCATACCACATGCACAAAGATCTCTAATGAGCTGGAGAGAAATCAATGTCTCGTTAATGAGTTGAGGATGAAGCTTGAATCGTTATCTGGCGACCGTTTAAGTTCACAGTAATTGTTCTAATATCAGGTTAATGATAAAGTACACACCTTAACCCGTTGAAATATTTTTTCTTTTCCACAGCACCTTTCATATTGCAATATTTTGTATATAAAATGTATATTAAAAAAACGTATCGGCATTATCCTTTACCAGAATGAGTAGCATTAAGATAACTGACTTGTGTGCCAGAAGCTTTATAATGAAAGGCAAATAACCATTTATTTATTTATACAATCCATTGATATAGTTTTCTATTTTATTTACATGTCGTATTTGTACTGCTTTGAAAATATACAATATCCCGTTGCAACTTTTATTTCTGTACTTTATTGTTCCGAATGTGGCAGAGATATGAAAATCCTAACGTCTTTTTTTGTACTTAACTAGATCTGATAATGTAAACCTTATGGAATGAAAGTGTGGTAATACGTATAATTTAGACTGGTTTCAATTACCCAATTACAACTTAATGCTTGGGTTTTACATTACAATTCAAAAAGTAAGAGCATCATCAGAATAAAGACTTCTCCACATTGTCGCGCGATTCAACATACCAGCTGACTCCTACATGCGAGCCTATCTGACACGTCCACCCCTGGTGGACGTCTCTTGGGTGGGCTCACTCCTTTGTCCACCACTTTGTCCACCACTTTGTCGTTAGTCTCGACCACCGGGCATCCTAAATTCTTGCGACGTGCCCTGCTCAACTCCAAACTTGCCCAGCCCCTTTTATTACCACTCGTCTATAATTTGAAAATTGTCAGCGTTGATTTGGGCAATGGTACTTCTACCTAACACGAAGAGCCATTGCTCAAAACGTTGCCTATTTTAAATTGTCCCTCTTTAAGGCAGTGTTATTAATGTTGTCGGAGTTATTTTTGCACCACTATCAACGTCGCAGCATCAAACCATGTTTCTTACTTGATTAAGGGGCCGTCCATAAATGACGTCACGCACCTGGGGGGGGGGGGTCAGACATTTGTGACGAGGGGGGGGGGGTGAGAAATGTGACGTCACATCAAAATGCGCAACTTTAAATAAATATAGACAACACGTTCTACTTAATAGACTTTTTAATAAATGTTTTCTCCATCAGAGTGCAGCGCCACATTAAATACGCACTACAATGACAATAGTTTAAAGCGATTTGAAGCATGTTTTATATATTTTTGTCGGGGGGGGGGGGGGGCGCAGAGCTTTGTGACGTCATATTTGAGGGGGTCTGACTTTGACGCCGTGTGACGAAGGGGGGGGGGGGTCATAAATCGTCCAAAATCGCGTGACGTCATTTATGGACAGCTCCTAATATACGCCCGAAGCAAATGAACTAAATGTCACTTGCACGACTATCGTTACGCATTTCGTTGCAAAGTGGACTGCAACAAGATGAAACACCTCGTTTCTAGAGTCCTATATGATGGTGCCTGTACACCGAATGAACTTAATCCCCAGCTGAGATGACCGCCCACTTAACACACTGCGAGGAGTTGACACATGGCGTGGCTTTGCCGGTGTTATATCTGCAGGCAACTTGCAGTCACGTCATGCAGTTTACCCGTGTTACTGGCCACGTGTAATGTTTATAAGAGACGGACGGCGTTAATTAAGGTGACCTCGATATCAATGTGCATTATAAGATCATATTTCCCCGTAGGACAATTTTCGCGTTTTTAGTTTTCTTTTACAAATGTATAATGAGCCCATCATTTTTTTTCCTGAAGACTATCTTACTCAATAGCTACGAATAGGTAGCTTCATATGCCAATTCAAACATTTAATCAGAAACGATTAAAATGAAATTCTTATGAGGCCACAGTCTCCAGCTCATCATCCAAGCTGTCTCCCGGACCTCTCGTGTAACTGGGAAGGGCCATTGCCCGAAGCGTCGCCTGTTATACAGTTATTATTTTTTTAATAAAACTGTTATTGACAAATGGGATTGATTCAATGGAAAAGAAAAAAATCGCCTTTGGCCAATAGGCTCCCCCCAACCCCCTCCCTCCCCTCTCTCCCATCTCCCCCAAACCTCCTTTCTCCCCTCCATCTCCACTCTCCCATCTTTCCACCCCCATTTCCCCTCTACCCCCCATTCCCCCCCCTAACCCCCATCTCCCTCCAGCCCCCCCCCTCCAACCCCAGCCCCCCCAGTTCCCACCCCACTTCACACCTCCCCTCATCTCCCCTCCGAACCTCCCCCCAACCTCCCCTCTCTCCCATCTCCCTACATCTTCCACAAACCTCCCCCTAACCCCCATCTCCCTCCAGCCCCCCCCCCCCTCTAACCCCAGCCCCCCCCCCCCCCCCAGTTCCCACCCCACTTCACACCTCCCCTCATCTCCCCTCTCTCCCATCTCCCTACATCTTCCACAAACCCCCCCCCTAACCCCCATCTCCCTCCAGCCCCCCCCCCCTCCAACCCCAGCCCCCCCCCCAGTTCCCACCCCACTTCACACCTCCCCTCATCTCCCCTCTCTCCCATCTCCCTACATCTTCCACAAACCTCCCCCCCCCAACCCCCATCTCCCTCCAGCTCCCCCCTCTACCCCCATCTCCCTCCACCCTCCACCCCCACCCCCCACCTCCCTCTCCTCCCTCTCCCCCAGTGTGGTCATTACCGGTGGGTGGGGGTGAGAAAGCGGCTCTACATTTCCCAACGCGGATAGGCTTCCGCCCGCGCTCGCGATTGGCTCGCGCTGCATTTACGCGACCACGCGATTGGTTCGCCGGAGAGGGGCGGCCGCGTCCGCGCTGGGAAATGTAAACGGGTCCCCTCCCCGCCCCCCCCCCCCTCGCCTTGCCGATGCTGCTCGCGTCCGCAGTCCGACGAGGAGGAGGAGGAGTGGGGCGCTCGGCCTAGCGCGGCTCCGTCGGCGCTTTCGTTCTTCTTCTCGTCGTGGCGTAACTACTGCCGCCGCTGCTGCTCGTCACGTCGTCGGCGATACCGAAGCAACCCCTCCCTCTATCCTCATCCCAGGTCGTCGTTCTGTGCACAGCGAGGAGGGATTTTTCCACGGTGAGAGAGGTGGCTTTGGTTGAGAAAATGAATGGTGGTTGGGATTTGGTGACACGGCGCCGCAAGATGGCTCGAGGCGGGCGACTTCTTCCCTTTATGGGGTTTGTGTGGGGGTGGGTTTTTCTTTTTTAGGGTGAACATTTAAAATGGGATATTTTTTGTAAACGAACCACCGGCCATTACGCATTGTTGTGTTATTGTTTTTGCGTGCGAGTGGCAATAACGCGCGAGGCGTGAGGGCATTGCCGTGGTGAGGGGAGTGACCGAGGGGTGGGTGCGGTGGTGGTGGAGATGATGATGTTCCGGGTTGCCGCCCTTCACACACGCACATGAAGTCGTTATGTGACGGCTACGTTGACAAAAAACGACTCTAATTAAGTTGCCATCATCACGTTGTTGCGTACATTTAGTACTGTGGACGTCACGGGGGGGGTGGGGTGTGCTGTGGCTATCCGTGACACTCGCTTCAAGCACGCCTTTGGTGGTGTGCAAGGTAAGGGTTGCGATTGAGTTAACAAGCCACGGATAGAAACACAGTTACGTCATAATAACAGTAGGTGGCAAAAACGCACTGCGCTACACGTACCGAGGCACAAACACCCCCACCCACTAAGTTGGATTCCCGGTCACGGCTAACGTCAGTGACGAGTGATGTGTGAACGTGCCACTTCACCAGCCCGCACTCTCTAGCCCATGGTGGTGAAGTATGGTAAAACAAACAACACCTCCCCCACCCCCTGTGACCGACAACTGCGTAGAGAAATAATTTTTCATCCAGCAGTGGATCGACAGGATCTGGAAGTGAAGTCCGCAGTGAGCAGTCCACGCGTAACGAGCGTGGCAGCGGCCCGGAACAAGATGATGTTTATATTCTTGGTTCTTTCGGTAACGTCAGGTGATGATGATTGCTTGTGTTGCAATCGAAACGTCGTGAGAATGTATTGTTTTATTTTTATGATTTTATTATTTCCCTTCTACGTGACTTTACCGAAAGAACCACGAATATGAATCTCTGCAGTCAGGAAAGCTTTAAATAGAAAGATGTTTGCCCTGTGTTAATGCCACCCGTCGGATCTAATTGGACTGCCCATAAGGCGATTAGTGGGGTTTAATGGCATTGTTTAAGCAAAGGATTTCTTCACTGCTGATCAGTCGGCCCACTTCGAGGTTTCTCTCATTTTGCCATGGTAATTTGTTTTACTTTGAATTCACTGTAATTCAATTGCAATACTGTACAAGTTGATTCACTGCAGAGTGCTGCAAATTATTCATTCGTATTTGGTCCCATGTGTTAAAAATAATAAAGACTGCTTTGGCAGTAATCATCAAACTCAAATACAAATAACTTTTTCCGTTCTTCAATTCCTTCATCGTTGGCCCATCCCAGTAACTGTATGTATCATTTCATTTCTATTACATGCGAATGATAATTATGCAGATGAGTTTTTAATGCATTATTTATAACAGTATGCAAGCATCAATCCGATGCATTGCGGTAAAAATGACGCGTGTGACGGCATAAAAAACTCGAATATCCCCCCCACACTAATTGAAACCAAGTGGAAAAGTACACTTTAGTGTTCTATGGGCTTTCAGTATAAAAATTGAGAGATTTCAATACCGCATTTCCAATGCATTGTAATGCATCGCTGACTATAACAGCATGAATTATTCAGCCACCATTAATTTTCATGAAAGATTGCTGTTTTTTGACGGAGCAGCGTTAATCGCTGGACGTTTTGTCATGCCCTCGTTATGTTCGAGGTTTAATTGAGGTTCGTTTTGCTCCCGCCCCCCCCTCCCCCCTTTCAGAGGCGGCACTGAGAACACACCAGGCACCACGAGACATGGAGCAGTGCACGGGGGCAAAGGCGACTGATCCCCAGCCGATCACCGACACACAAGGCGACCGTCGCTGGATGTCCATTGTAAAAGCGGGTGGTGGTCGCATCCGCCTCTCTGTCCCGAATACAAATGACCAGTCGAGGGCACTCCACCACAAAGCACGGCTCCAGTGGGGCTCTTGATTCATTGCGACAGTTTTAAAAAAATTGGCCAAACCCAAAAGCAGAGCTGACGAATACGGTTCTTCGTTCAGATTGCAGTGGTTATATCATCAAAGCGTTTAATTGCTATTTTCGATTATTATTTTGAAGTAAAAGCAGTTGTGGTACATTTTGGATTCCTGTAGAGTTTTAAGTGATACAAAGACGAGACGTATGTTTTGCATACGTCACCTCTCTGGTTAATGCTGGTTGAAAGCGGAGAGAAATCTTTATGCTGGAGCATAGAAGTTCAGTGCAACAATGGCTTCAGCTGGACTGCCCTCGACTGCCCACCACCTAAACCACACAGCGATATGACAAGCTGTGTTATGCATGGTGGTCACCCTTCCAAAGTATCCAGGCTAAGGCTTCTTCAGCTTCCAAGATCTGATGAGATTGAGAGCATTTCTGGTGATTTGATCAGAGGCTTTATTAACATGAGAAACCAATGGAATGCCTATGGTTCGTGACTCGTAAAAATTTAAATGAGAGGTGTTGATGTTTAAAACGATTATGGGCTATTAAATGCAATGTATAATGTATGTTTATGAAATGTTCAATGAAATATTGTACAGTAAATGACTTGTCAATCATTTTAAATTGTTGAAGTATATACAGTAAGTGTGATTCTGTTGTGACCAGGTCATCTTTAAATTCACTCTTGTAATCAGTCTTCTTTTCAAGCAGGAGCATGAATAATGCAATTTAATACGAATCGCAATTTCAAAGGTCCCACTGTAAGAGTTGGCCCAACTCCAATTGACTTGCAGCCAACTAAAGTTTTATAATGAGCCAAGTTGTTTAGTGCCGTGTAAAACATTCAGTGATGCGTGCAAGTTTGAATATAATTTGTGGTTAATACTTAGATTGGCTAAAATTGAGCTGTCCAGATCATTGTGAACTAAATAAATCTCATCTTCAAGCTCTGCAGCTAGCAGTGTATCACTACGTGTCAGAGAAAAGCCCCAGAAGATGACAATCAGATAACTCATTCTGAAGTAACTGTAGTACCTATCTATCGACACTAGATGCCATACCTTTTAATGCCCCACAAATATTGTTCATTGTATGTCAGAAACATTTGCATGTTTCAGCCTCAGAGCTGCAATGAAATGGATTTTTTACGTTACAGTTTTGCGTGCAGTCATTGTTACTGTGCCGAGACCATAAATGCACTACTTTTAAGAACCCCCAGTTTATCTACAGATGTCTCCCTAATTTTCAACCAAGGATCTTTAAGGTGCTGTCACATTGTTCCGACCCCTGAGTCACCCGGCCACCCCCATGAATTATCTCTAAGTGAGCAACTACATGAAACCTCCTGTTCATGGCTCATAGGCAAGGCTGTTAACTAATGTTTTTCGTTTCAGCACGAGTCCTACGTGATCGAGTGCAAGAGCAAGGAGCCCGAAATCCTCTTTGTGGGTGACTCCATGGTTCAGCTTCTTGGACAATATGAGGTTACCATCCCAATACATCTGATTTTAATTTGAATGGTTGTGAATATATATGTGAACACGATTGTAACATTAAACATGCTCACTAACCTTTTGACACATTTGTATTGTTATTCCATTTTTAAATAATATTACTGTTTCTTGCAATGCCATCTGTTTCCCAGATCTGGAAGAGGCTGTTTTCCCCCCTGCATGCACTAAATTTTGGAATAGGTGGGGATGAGACCCAGCATGTGCTATGGAGGCTCCAGAATGGAGAGCTAGAAAACATCGACCCCAAGGTACCGTTGTCTCAGAAAAATGCAACGATATTATTTAAAAAAAATTAAAAGTCATGCAAGGCCCTGATTGATTATAATATGTTAACCGCTGTGGATTAAATGTGCTCATTACACCCCCCATTCAAATATTTAAAATATAACTGGCAATCGAATGTTTTATACATTAGCTTTTAATTGGATGTTATTGTCTGATATGTTAAATATGAGAATTGACATTTACACGTTTGATTTTATAAACTTTTGTGTTTGTCTGCAATGTGGGTGTCTGATTCGTTTTCAACTTGACTTTTTGTTCGCACACACGCAGGTTATTGTGGTTTGGGTTGGCACCAACAACCACAAGCATACACCGGAAGAGATTTCTGAAGGGATTTTAGCGATCGTGACATACATAAATGAAAAACACCCCCAGGCTGCTGTTGTAGTTTTGGTAAGAAACGCATCTTGTTATGGTGACATAGCTTTAATACTCAAAACTACATTTGGCCATATTTCACTTCTAGTAGTCTGAATGCATTCTGTAAAAAAGAAAACATGCTAATTACTCTGTTTACAGGGATTTTCAGCCACTTGTTAAAAATTGCATGCTGAGGACCAACAGGATTGATGACACTTTGCATCCATGACGTCATAGCATCTCTACATGTGACCACTGATCTGTACCTCATATCTTCGGGTTTCTTATCTGGTTGTTTATCTCACATTGTCTCTCATCTCTGTCTCTCGTTTGTCTTTTTTTCATCATTCTAATATCTCGGTGAGCCATATCTCTCGGCGAGTCATAGCTCAGCAGGCCACTCCAAGGGCCTTCACGTGCCCGATGAGGCCCTTGGTCTGTCAGTTAAAAAAACCCTGCTGCTATCTATCGTTTGATGAGGCTGCTGAATTTGAAAGAAAAAAAACCTCACTGCATTAGTAGTAGTGCACAAGCAACTATAACAAAAATATACAACACATTGTCAGTAATACTGGTTTTAAAAATATAGAATTGGTGACGTTCCGGGGAAATGACCCTTCGTAGCACAGTCATTGTATGATCGTCAATGCCACTAATTGATTGAGTATATTGCTCACACTTGTGTTCCACAATTTGGCAGGGCTTGCTACCTCGTGGGCGGGATCCAAACCCACTTCGAGAAAAAAACCTGCGCGTCAACGAGCTCGTGGCAAAAGCACTCGTGCCCGCCAACGACGTGAAGCCGCCCCGGGCCCACTTCCTCGACGACAACTACGGCTTCGTTCACTCAGATGGCACCATTGGGCGCAGCGACATGTACGACTTTTTGCATCTGACGACGGGCGGCTATGAAAATCTCTGCGGCCGTTTGCACGAGCTTATCCTGAATCTTCTGGGCGAGACGAACGGCGCAGCGAAGACGCAGGGGGAACCATCCGCCTAATCACCTGAATGCTCCCTTACCCCACGGACGGGCTCGTTAGTTTTAGCCGACGCATTCATATGTGCAGAGGTTTTGTTCGGTCAAACTTTTTTTATTTACTTATACAATTTCGGGTGATAAAAACATTGGTCTTTTTTTAGATGACAGTTTTTGCTTTAGTTATCAATTAACCTTTAGACTGCAATCAATACAACAGTTTTGGGGATGGTAATGTAAATAATTGCATAATGAAAACCTGTTTAGTTTACTCTGGTGTATACTTGCATGTGTCAATTGACTCTTTTTAGTCTTTTGCTTAACAGCTCTAATGTTGCTAAAGAGCACTTCAGGTTGTATGGGAGGACCTTAAAATATTTGCAGTCCAAAGGTTAAGTGTCACTTCAAAGGATTATCAGAATGTCATGAACGTCTTAACATCATAATGCACACTGTAATCTGCCTATACGTTGTATGTGCCTGGATTAGAATAAGTAAGGCAATAATGCAATTAGTGGATTTTGTTTTATGAACAAAATTGCTGGAACCAAAAGCCTTATTTAATTTTCCTAATTTAAGTACAAATCTCACATTTTCTCCTATCAAGTTAACGATCAATGTGAAGAGACAATGTGCACGCTCATGTGATGAGATGGTGGCAGAACAATGGGTTTTTTTTGCTTGCTGTGGAAAGCTTTTTCTGTTTGTAGCATTTCGAACTTGTGTAACATTTAATTAAGAAGGAATATGTGACAGGTTTACTAGATAATTCCAAGAAAAATTGGTTCAGCAAATTTTAAATTTGTCAAACTAGTATCAAATATGTTCAAACCAACGGTTCTAAATTCACACAAACGCTCTCAATTTCTATATGTTCGAATAAAAATGTAACATGTTAAATTTACATTCGAATATGTTTTTTTAATATACAAATAATTAGGAATAGTGATTACGTAAACGTATGAGAGTTGAACAAATGGTTTTAACCTAAAAACAACTTGTATTTTTGATTTGTATAACTTGCTGAACCCCAATCTTTCTGGGATGTCAGAACAAAGAAAGTTCATAAGTACTGCCAGTGAAAGTCGTCTGATGTATGTTTTGTGTTTTAATAATGGCACAGGATGAATACTAATTTACAGTAACCGTCATTGCTTCACAAATATCACTGAAATAAAATGTAATCTCACACCAGTGTTTTATATACTTTTTGCTTGTTGCTGAACTTGCCACTGGCAATGTTATACGAACACCAAACTCTTGACTCTCTTAAGCGAATAACTCGTACTTTCACACTGACCTTGTTACCTAATTAGCTATTCGTTCTCAAAGCATTATAGACGCTGAGTGTCGGCTGGTCTCCTTTTAATAATGTACCTATTTATATTGATGCACTTGCATGGTTTCTGTTTACTATTCACGTGTTTGACATTTCTCTTCGAAGCTTATCACGATTATTGAAATGAGCATGACTGATTCTGTTCATGTTTACTGTTATGCCACGTGGGGCAAAATTATTTTTTATAAGTAGCAATTATGAATTTGCAATAATAATGAATAATTAACACTTAAAGCTGCATTGAAAATATAGTCCCCGCATATCCTACAGTGATGTGGCCATGTGACATCTAATATATTGTAGTTTATTTGATAAAAAACTATTTTTTCATTTTAGTTTGGAACAAGAGTTGGCCATAATTGAGCTGGGGGTTCTGCCAGTGCATCACGTTTAGAGCTGACAGATAACATTGGCACTAAATGTGTTATTACAGAAGGATACTGCATCTAAGCTGGACCAAAAAAGTGACCAACGTATAAGTAAGAAAAATGTTGCACATAAAAGAACGTCTGATGCAGACAATTATAAGGAAACTGGCACAAATTGGACATCTGTAGGACGATGTGTCAAAAAATGAAACCGGATTGATGCCAGAACGATCTGCAATGAACAATGAAACGGTTCTAAACATCTTCGCCCAGTGATTCTCAACCTTTCTGGACCCACGTGCAAATGGCAACGCAACACATTTTTGCAAACCACCATGCATTAAAAATGTGGTTAGTGACTACGGACCACTTTACATGAACTGGCAGACCACTACTTTTGACTAAAGGTGCAAAAACAAATAGCGGAAAGTTGGCGCAGTGATAAACTATATGAATGAGCAGTTTCTATGTTCTCCCGCTGTTCTATATGGTATTGGCCAAACATTCCAATACTTCAAATGTCTGCAAATTACTTGATTAAGATTACACACAACTCCTTGGCAGAAAGGTTTCTTGAGGCTCTTCTGGATAAACAGGCTGCATTTTTTTTGTTTAAACCTTCACAATAATATGTGAGGATGGTATAAAACGTTATAAACCCTATAAACAAGAAAATACTAGAGACCATTTATGTTGCAGACACTTTGCCTTTTAGTCCATGTCGTGTACACTTAAACAGCCAGAATCAGAGGTCGCAAACGGGTTTTGATTCCTTACCCGTACCCGGCCGCACCAGGGTCGCAAACTGGTACCCGTACCCTACCCGATACCCGGCTACTCGTACCCGGCCGGGTAGGGTACGGGTACCCGATTGCGACCTCTGGGATGAAGCCATGTTGCAGGTGCGGGTGGGTTGATTCTAGGAACTTGAATTGTGAGAAGAGACAAGACGTTGGGAAATGAGTGACAAACAGTTACTCACCAGTGACTCACGGCCTACCCGTACCCGGCCGCACCAGGTCGCAAACGGGTACCCGTACCCGGCCGGGTACGGGTAGCCGGGTATCGGGTAGGGTACGGGTATTGGGTACCCGGTTGCGACCTCTGGCCAGAATACAACATTATTGTATTGCTCATTAATGCTTCCTCTATTGCAGGTAGACACCGTGATGGATTCTGAAAATAGATTTTCGCAATAAAATTTTAATTTTAGAGAATGTTTAAATTGAAGGAACTTAACTGACACATTTAAAGTGCATGGCGACAACGCACCATCATATAATTTCAAATGTGGGCTGCAAAATTATGTATTTTAACAGACTTAGGACCCCAGGTGATTGTTGCTTGCAATACTGTCCAAGGCATGTGTTTTTTACACAGTCGTGGAACTGCTGTACAAATTATCTGCCACCCTGGGCATTGGTGTGGAATCGTTGGAAACAACCTTGAGTGATCATTTGGGAATGAACAAGGTGTGTGCACATTGAGTCCCCAGAATCTTGATAGGCAACATCGAGGGAGTGTGAACATATTTCATTGCAATCTTGACTTGTTGGAAGGCAGGCTGGGACAGGTTGAAGATGTGATTTATTACTGGTGAGGGACCTGGATTTCCCATTGAGACCCCCGACCCCGAATCCAAGCAGCTGTTCATGCAGTGGAAATATTCTCTCAAATATGATGGTCAATGCTTAAAATATGCTGCTTAACATTCTGTTAAAATAGAGTAATGTTTAGTCCTGGTCAATCAACGGCTGGATGATGGCCTCCCATGCCATATTAGTCATGGGGACTGTTTGACCATACTTCACCATGCTGGTTGGTGACGTTGGCAACCCAGCGTCTTTATTTTTCGAGCTCAGATATCACTCGCCACTTAGCGGTGGATGGGACATTATTTCAGGTCGCTGGTTTCATGGTGCATTGCGCTAACCACGGCACCACATCGCCATCCATTAAGAAAATGGTTTACATATTCACGGTACTGTATACAGTCGTAAAGAATGGGCTCTGTAGCCGACACCATTTCTCATAATGCTGGGTCATAGAGATGAGAGCAGTACACGTATAATTGTTTACCCAAAATATTTTCTACAGGGGCTCTGTAGAGCCCCCTCGAGTGGAAGCCATTGCACCGGCAGTGGTGCGAGCAAGCAACTGCAGGGCCGCACCTTTACCTTCTGAAGTCTATAAATAGTTTACATTTATAGAGTCCAATTCAGTCGCAATTGGGATTGAAAGACCCCTTGTCTCAGCAAATTTGTTGAAGCTATCCTCTGACATTCCATTCACCTATGTATTTACGATTAAATCAGTGTCCACATGTCCTCAAGGCCTTGATCCATATTCTCTGACGTCATCTTGTATTTCCAACTGCTCCAGAAACATTGCTCTCTATCAAATCTCCGACTAATCTTAACATAATGCAGGAGTCATTCGCTATTGCTTTACTGCGTCATGACCTTCCCCTCGCTGTATATTTATGTATTTTGCTGTTTAACACTGAAAACCCATCTCCTACCCCCAGTGACATGATATGTATTCTGATCACAGGTTTTTCTCCTTTTTTCTGGCAACAAAACAGGTGTTCAGATGTTAAAACACCAAATTGAAACCTTTTACAAGGAATCATGTCTGCATTAACCACAATGCTTGTGGTCAGAATGCAAACAAAAAACATACTCTGATAATATATGCATTGTCCTTTAAATATGTATTCTGTTTGAGCTGCTCCTACTCGCACGTATTTTTGTGTGTGTACTGTCTTAATTCTAGATTTGAAGTTTTCGTGACTGCAATGATTCATACTCTTAGGTTTTTTCGGTAAAGTCACGTAAGTAAAAAAAAGAAATAAAATAATAATAAATGAAAATAAATCAATTAAATCACGACGTTTCGGAGACGGAGACTTGTGTTGCCTCCGAAACGTCGTGATTTAATTGATTTATTTTCATTTATTATTATTATATTTCTATTATTATTTTTATTTTTTACCTACGTGACTTTACTGAAAAAAACCTAGGAGTATGTGTACTGTCTTGCACATATTTGCATTGTATTCTGAGACCTTCCCACTTAAATATCCATTACTGTTACTTGGTTATCACATTTCTTCGTGGTTAAATGTTACGTAAAACTAAGCTATTATAAATTGGTGCAAATCGAGTCATGGAGTGGACGCCACACCTGCCACCACATTCACAACACCAGTTTCGTTTGGGGTCCTGCTCAAAGGTTTTTCTCGCACCGCAAACCAGAGCTACCAGTTAAACCAGAAGTTCGCAATTTTGCTCTACCCCTTACGCCACCACATTCTGGTACACGTGTCCGTACTTTTCAATTGGCGTCGGCTGCGCGCACGGTTCCGTGTAACTCTGTGCAAGAAGAGGCTTTAACACGAAGGTGAACATTTCTGACGAATACCAACATAAATCCCTGCCCCCAAAACTTCAACTGCCCAGCTGCAATTTTCGAGGGGTGTGTGTGTGTTTTTTTACGGCAAGCAAGGACTGAAATAGCAGATCGCATCATGATCTCGTGCAGTACAAGCAGACAATGCCTGGCACAAATGCAACAAAACAGGAACCCCCACCACCACCAGGGGTTAGACAGGTAATAATCGCTTGTGTCTGTGTACAGGAATGGCAGGCCAAAGCTGCACGCATGCAGACGTCAGCCAGCACCTGCCTACCTAATCCTCGGACGGATTTTCCACCTCAGTTGTGATTGCCAAGTGATGTTTTCACGCGAGCACAGTCTTTCAGGCGCGGACACAACACATTTTCACACGTTTCTATTCCCCTCTATATTTCACCAGAGGTGTATGAAATATTTACTTAAAAGAGTACACGAGTTATCTATCGTCCTCTGTAGCATGTGTGTATGTAATCGTGCAAGAGGCTACAAGTCCTAACCGATGTATTTTCAAAATGTAAATTACGAATTCTTCTTGAGGAGATCAAAGCAAACACAACATTGAGGATTTATTTTTGCCAGCCTAAAGCTCCAATTAAGGTGAAAGCTATGGTCCTTCCAGACCAATGTTTTACAGCAGTATTCGATTGAACAGGAAAGCTGTGGGTTGGTGCAGAGAAGGCATGATTGAGACGCAGTGCCTCAGTGTGACACCAATGTCATAAAATATATCACGTTAAACATAATAAGAGATGAGACAGTTCTAACTGACAGGGCACACATATGTAAATCATGTTGAGTTTTATCGTGGCATATTTTAGGGTCGTAATTTAAATGTAATGCCAATCCAAATGAAAATTGACAGGAAAAAATTACATTGCCACCACACAAACGCTGGCTAAATGCTTGCGATCAGTATTAGTGTGGCATTTTGTTTTAAAAAAATGCATCCGCAGATATTTTTGTACGAGAAAAAATTAAAGGCACTTGGGTTTTTGTGCTCATCACAAACCTGAAGGCGATGAGGATTTACTCAAACTATGCCATGCTTCCAATGCTGTAAACCCCCA